TTCCGATCTGCAACTTCTCCGTATCGTATCAGAAAAAGGAAACAGAAACACTATGGAGAAGTGAATTTCACGCTGGAAATGGATTTCATTTAGTTTTCGTCAGTTCGTTACAATCAGCAAGGGAGATGGTGGAAACAAGCAAACTTAAAAGTTATGTTGGTTGGGGGAAAAAAGTTGCAATGAAATGAATTGCATGTAATTGCGCATCTTATGTTGAGAATTCATTAATTAAACTTTTAAATAATGTACTTCTGTCAAGAGATTTTCATAAATTAATCAAAAAAATTACGTTTTAAAAAAGAATGAAATCAATTGTTGCACTTATTAAATGTGAATTGTTGAAAGCATGAGATAAATGTTACAATTTGCATACTTTCAAATAGTTTTCAATTTAAAAAGTAACATAATGCAGACTGCATTCATATTAAAGATTCATAAGTGGAAAATAAAACTTCTAAATTAATTTTTAACTTCCACAAAACATGCCAAAAAGTTAAACATGCCAAAAAGTTTCTCATCTTAGTTTTCTATAAACATTCTTGTCAGTTTTCAAATAAAAATTTCAGAAAGAATTCAAACACCACATCAATAGTTTTGAAAATGTTTGAATTTGAAACTTTATTTTGAGAAAGTTTGATAGAAAGAGAGATAGAGGAGATGATGTGAGAAAGAGAGATAGAAACGTAACAAAACTTGCTACTTGTGCCCGTCAATGACTTGTACATAAAGCGAACACTTATCTTGTCGAGAGATACGATGAAAGGTTTGAAGAGGACGTGAAGTGGATTTATCAGTACTTAAGTGATTGAATGTTTGCAATTACCACTGAATATTAATCAAATTAACTTTTTTTTTCACACAGTAACCTCTCGTTGAACGAAACTTTTGACGTTTATCTATCTTAGATAATTTTTTCGCATGGTTGAAGTTAAAGAAGCATTAAAGGGAATCTGAAGCTTTATAAACAAAACCAAATTCAACAAAAAACATTATTTAAAAAGCTTTTAAGCTTTTTGGCTGTCGGGAAAGGATTTAATTAAATTTTTAAACATTTCAGTCTGCTTAAGTGATTTCTATGTACACATACTCAAGTTGTGGAAAAAAAAGTTGTGCAGCATCTCTTTACTTTAAGTAACTTAAAGTGCTTGTTCGACAGAGAAGTGCGATGGTTTATGACGATTTTCATAACTTTAAGAGTTATTAAAATACTCGTGTTCAGTACTTTTTAACTTCATTTCATGTAAATTAGCTTCAGCATTCACACAGCTCCATGCTGTTTAAATAATTCATAACTTTAAAATTCTAAATAGTTTTATGAGAAATTCTTCAAGCAATGAGTTGAAGTTAAATATGCTGAAGCTTTGCGGTTTTGTTTCAAAAGCATCCATCGGACATTGTATAATTGAGTGGATTTAGTATCGTCATGAACAACAACAAGAACTTAAAACAAACAAATCAAGACGTAAAAAAATTCAATGAGAAGTCAATTCAGCTCATCGTGACTTTTAAAACCGCATTATTTGACAGACATTGCATGTATCAAGTTTAGTTAATCATCATTCAAGATATTTCAATATTTAACATTTTTAAATTATTTTCACCAAAAGAAGTAAAAGGAAAGTCATTAAAATGAATTGCATGTGACGATCATTCACCCGAAAATCTTTCTCGTTTTAAATATTTTTTAAACTCAGAAATGAGAAAAAGTTTTTTAACTGTAATGAGTTGAACGTTTGAAGCACGACGAAGCATTTTATCTCAATTTTTCTGCGAAACATGCGCTCATTATGAATAATTGAGAAGCGCTGCGGTAATGTGCACTTGAAAAATGAAATAAATTTATTCGTGAAGCTTACCGTTGGCTTGCAAAATGTTTAATCTTTCATTGCATACAGCAAAACTACAATTTTGAATGAAGCGTGTCGAAAAAATTAATGCAAATTCTTGTGACTTTTGATCTCAAACTATCTTCTTTAATTTTTATTATCAACTTCGACGTCTTCTTTTTCTTTTCCCTCTTATTAAACTTGTTATTCAACAACGATGATTCCTCCGCAGAAAACATCGCAAACCAAATCCAATTTCAAGTTCGAGATTGCAAAATCACGAACAATAAATTCACAAGCAATAAAGTTCATGAATAACAGCAAAGAAAGAGCCTTGCGAGTAGCGACGAACGCTTTTGCCAACACCATCTTCGAATCAATAAATCACGAAAAATTAAACAATCAAATTTAGTCTGAAATATGTGCTAGCGCGATCCACGCTCATAACTTTTTTTACTTTATGGCCACTCATAATTCATGATAAGAACTCGAAAGAAATATAAAAAAGTATTTAAATAATAATAAAAATGAAATTATTCGTTGCAAGAGCAAACCGGACATCAAAACATGAGCGATGCGATATTTTAATCTGATAAAAATGATCTCAATAATTCATTTCATAAAGAATTTACCATCTCGGGACAAGGCAAGGCAATAAAAAGACGAGTCAAACTTTCTATTAAAGATTTCAAAGATGCTCTTCTAACTGTTTCAAAGCATTGTCAGATTTTTCTCTCTTTCATTCATGCAGATCTGAATATTTTCAGTTTATTCGAAAATCTTGATAAAAAACTTTTCTCCACCTCACGGAAATTCAAGCAACGTTAGTTATTTAATGAAAAATGAAAATTCTTTACAACCTTCAAGGTAAATTCATGTCGAGAAAAGTTTTTTTATAGTTCGTCGTCTCTTAAAATGTTGAATCTCCTTGTTTTTCTATTAAAAGTTTATCACCTTCAAGCATTTAAAGAAATACTTGAAATTCATGATAAAAGTTTCCGATCACATTCAACACAACACAAGACCATCATCTCATTAAAATTACTGAAATTTATGTTCTTCGATCGTCTTATCTATAGAAGATTGTTGCTAAATGTTCTTAAACTTCATGTTGAAACAACGTATGTTGTCCATACATTCTTTACAGACGTTAATAATTGACGAACATAAAAACATTACTCATGTTGGAGACTCCAAGATGCAATTTAAATTCGGCGCACAATATGGTTTCTTCTTTTGCCCTCTCACGCGCTCAGGCTCGCGTACCGGCAATCGAACGTGAACAGCGCAAGTTGGTCATAAATTTAAAACGCTTATGTTCATTTTGCAGTAAAAAAAGTCTTTTCTCTCATGCTATTCTTCGTTGGAATGGTTTTTTAATTATTTTTTTGTATAATCTTCTTAAAAAACATTTTTTTTTGTCGAAGTTTCTGTTCAGATTTCATTTCACTGTTGGTTAATCTACTGCTGTTGATGAAGAAGAAGAAGATCGAAATCTGTTCTCATGTATGGCTTCGGGGCTGGCAGGAGGTCAAGAATTAAAGCCAATAAAAATCCTTCGAAGAGAAGAAAACGATTTTAATTAAGCAGCAAATTTTTTCGTTACTTCGATATATAAATACATTAATTTTGGAGATTGCCCGCGCCCCTCCAAGACAACACCGAAGAATTATAGTCAGTTGAGATCTCATGTCGTGACTGTCTACAGTCGCGCACGAAAAAACTTCCAACGAAAACAGAACGCACCATGCCTGAATCTTGAAAGAATTGGCATATCGTGACCTATTCCATATGCCTTAGCTCTCATCTCATCTTTCATTTGCTTGATGCTTCTTTTTATATATTCATATATACATTATTTAATGTTTCGATTAAGAACAGTGTGGCACTTCACCAGAGTTTCTTTTTTATTGTGTGCAAAATTTAAACCTAAATAAATTCCACGAATATTGAATGTCAAACATTCTAAGTCACACTGAAAATGAATGAAAAGTCAAAAGTTTTGAATGGAATTCTCCTTTAACGAAGTTTTGATTTTCTGAAACTTAAACATGCTGCGTCAAACGTCTGCCAAGTGACGGCATAACAAGCTCCAATCAAAAACATACGGAGAAATATTTAAAAACATACGGAGGCGTAAATGAAGTCGCAAGATTTTCACGATTGCCGAATCGTCTGAAATTTGAAGGTTTAAGAATTTTTGTTATGCAATTGAAAGCAGAAACTTTTAGGCTGAGATTGACTTGTAGGCTCTTTTTTCTATTTTGCAAAGTGATGCGATTATTTTCATTATGACATTCTTTAAATGCTGCTAAAAATTCAATACTTAAATTTTATTCGACTACATCAAAGTCATCAAAATCAACAGTTTGAAAGAAAGCTCGATAAGCGAAAAGATTTTTCAATTATTTTCCCAAAGCGATTTTTGATTATTTTTGCGTAGCTTAAGTACAAATTCAGCATAAAAAATGAATCAACAGCAGGCAGAAATTGTTGTTTTAAAAGCTTTTCATCACACGCTAACTTCAGTCTTTGGAAATTGGATTCTTTAAAAAACGATTTAATAAAAAATGAGAAATAAAGTAAACAAAAATATGGATTTGTGTTAATGCTTTATCTCAAAACTCGTGACTGCTTCAGCATATTGAGATGGAATGGGAAATTTTGAAGCTTTATAACAAGCGACGAAATCTGTAATTTGTTAAATTCAGTTCATGCTGCTGGTTTTGTCATATTTTCTAATTATTTACAACGAAAATTATTTCAATTTTCCACAAACCTAATTAGATAATTCGCAATTTTTTTAATCGTGCACGTTTATTAAATTTCGACAATTTCCACTATCGATATAACCGAAACAATTCTTTCCATTTGCTTTCCGGTCTTATTTTTTCTATGTTTGAAAGTTATGTCCACACTTATAGGTCGATTGATGGTGAAGAAGTTGACTAAAATATCGTAAGTTGGTGATGTTGGAAAGGAACTTGAAGCATAAATTCCCTGTAAAATAATTATTGATTTTAATGTATATGAATTACAAATGCCAGCAAACCTTTTTAAATGGACACTTAAACGAAAAATTGATGTTTTCCTTTAAAATATCATAAATTGTTCGCACAAAAATGTTCAAACCTGGATTTCTGGTCATCGAACAAACATTCAAAACCTGTTGAACTATTATAGAATCTGTCGTAATATCGCGAGTTTCAATTTCTAGCATTGGATCGCGGATCTGTTTAACGACATACAAATAAATAGCAGGAACATTGGGACATGGATTTTTCCTCGTGTTCACTTCGCATGGACTTGTCGCATATGATTCGTTGATGTAGCTTGGATTTGCTTCAACTGTTATGTTTCTAGTCATGAAAACTTTACGCTTTAAGACAGAAAATGCTTGTAAATTTTTATTTAACTTTTGAAAAATATTTTCTCACTTTTGCATCAACTTCAATCAGAAGGAAAATGGTCGCAAATAAAGTTCGAATGAAAATTTTCATTTCTTCCTTTCAATGTTTGCTTCAATGACAAGCTTTTCAGTAACTGAAAACATTTGCTGTAATTTAAAAAAATTATGAAAAAAATTATCTAGCGAGTTAATCAGTTTAAAAATTGTCTGGACATAAAAAACAAATTTCAAAAATTATTTTTATGGTTAAGCTGGTCATCAAATTGCCGCTAAAAGCTTTAATGCAGCAATTTTTTTCTCTATTTTATCCCACAATAAATATCTAAGATCATGTGTTACTTTAAAAGCTTACCGACAAAGTCACAATGTGACGTAATATTAACGACATATGAGGCTTAGACGAAACTGAATATATTCAAAGAGTAATAATGGAACCTTTTAAGCTCCACAGACAATATTTCAGTAGCAGCAATGCTTCGTTTTGATTCAGCGTCTAATACCAGTGAAATTAGATTTTTCTTTCATCACATGGCATGATGATGATATATTACGATCTAAAAATGATTGTTTCGCAGGGTAACAAGTTGCCACTTACTTCCTTGTTCTATGTACAAAATCTTTCAGCTACTCTGCATGTGGAGTAAAAAAAAGAAGGAATGAAAAATAGTGCCAAGCCTTGGAAGGAAAGCAAATTGATTTTCTGATTACATCTTAATGCGTTATTTATGCTGCTATTCCGCAAAACGTTCTCTCAGCATCATTATATGTATGTATGGTTGCGATGGATGCGAAAAGAATCCATTACATTACGAAAAGGTTTAGGGAAGCGCTCATGTGAGTTATTGTGCACAACAATTTATTCTTATAAAGGTGAATTAATTTTTTTTTTTGCTTTTGAGAATTTTTTGTGTTGAAAATTATTTTTCTCATCATCACAAAGCATGGTGGAAATCATAATTGTAAGCTTTAATTTAAAAATTCCTTTTTTATGAGTGGAAGAAATTTCTAAAAATTCTTCTCAATCGCCAGATTTGAAATCAAGATTTACGACAAAGTTTAATTTCTAAGAATTTCTCATCTCATTTACTTCGATTATAAATTCATTCCATTACCTCAGCACTGCTGCCAGCATGCAAAGTTTCATCTTGAAATTTTCCTCGACTGCCTTTATGGTAATTACGTTGTTCTCAAGCTCTATCATGTGTTTGTTGCCAGCAATTTATCTGATGAATTTCCTTACCCAAGCAATGTTTTTTGTTGTATTTCTCTACTCAATTGTTAGTGGAAGAAAGCTTAAAACAGCTAACACAATGGTACACGGACAAAGGCAAACTTAATTTGCATATATAAAATTATATTTTAATCCGACAGAGGAGAGAAAAAATTTTTATTTTATTTTTTGGGAAAATATTTTCCTCTTCTTGAATCTCGCCCCTCCAAGCACAAAAGGAGTGTTTGCGTAGCCCTTTTGCTGAATCTAAAGTATTCTTCTCTCTTATTTGAAGCATCCGAGAGAACCATAAATATACATGAGTCGAGAAAAAGAAGTTGAAGAACAAAAGGCAGTAAGATGTATAATCAGTTGCATGGAGGATAAGAAGAAAAACGCAAATAAGCCTCGTATAATAAAGCACATTATGCTTGAGGTGTTCGCCATAAATGAACCGCATGTATACAGTTAAGCTGGAATTTTAAGGAGGCAGCAGAAGCAATTCATTTCGCTAAGAATTCTCAGTTGTTTAAAGCAAACAATGTGAAGCTGCACGAGCATCTTGAATAATAATATTCAAATTCTTTTCTTTCATTTTTAAGAAGGAATTATTATGAAACCATACAAGCCAAGTCACTTTCCCTCTTCTTATTAGTTTTATACTCTTTTTGCTGTAATGTGGAATTCGCAGAAAAAGAAATTCTTCTCATGAGTAATCTTCAAAGCTCTTGTTTGGAAACCCGAGGCACTTAAAGTGATTCTAACAACTTGAGTTGAAAACTTTTCTTTATTCTTTTCTTACGGATGAAATCACAAGGAAAAGTTTCATTTTTCGTTTCTTCAATTGTGTAATTTTTAGTGTAGTTAAATTCACTGATTAAAGATATGTTAGAATAAAATGACGTAACTTATCGAGAAATCTTAATCTACTTCATATTTAATATACAAAGATGAACAATAAGAAAATTATTTTGAAGAGTCCCGAGGCTTTTCATGTTGTGAAACAGAAACTCAAAGACTTTTTATTTTATTGCTCTCGCGCTTTCTTCTCTCTTCATTATTAAAAGGTCATGGCAAGGCAAGTGGAGGGACAGAAATAAAATCATAATTCATTTTAATTTTCTATGCTTCGCCTTTGTGAAAATCTTTTTATGATTCGAATCTTTTTATCGCAGAAGAAAAAGTTTTCGTTGTTTTTGTTTCCTTTTTGCGAGCTGTAAGCGTTTAACTTCAATAAATGCCTCATTTGATGATTTATGTGTCAATAAAAGCAAACAGTAACTCTACGACCGACAATACTTCCTTACAACAAATTTCTTGATGTTTTTTTATTCTCGGATTAAATTGCGAATCGTAAAAAAATGTCAGAAGTTTTGTTTGCTACATCACATGAATGAGAAGATAAAAAGAAATGAAACAAAGCGAAAGCGTAAACTCTGTTGCAGTTGAATAAATATAAGAAGTATGATTTCACTTCAAACTTCTGCAGCTAATGCCAAGGTTAACGTGACTCTTCACTCATCTTCTGAGTTGTTTAATTTAAAAACTTTCTCACGGTGGTGCATGAAAAATCGTCGTCAGTGTCGTCTCACATATCTACACAGCAGTTTCATTCACGCGTTAAATGATTTACGATTTATCCCAAAGAAAGAAGCGGTTGAAAACTTGACGCAAGATCTCTGACTTCGTGACTCAGACAAAACTTCCAAGAAATTGAGTTCATTGTTTACATCGTTGCGGTGATTTCATCATGAAACTTTTCGTTTCTTTTTGGATTGACGCGATGCGGCTTCTAATAGAGTCATAATCGCTCATCCCTCGAGACAAGTTGGTTTCTTTATTTGTTTGTCACAGGTTATTTGAAAAAGATATGAGTAGAGACATTCATAGATTGACTTTATGTGCCTAAAGCTTCGTAGCTTGAGATCACTCAAAATGATTTCTTTTTCTTCTATTAAAGAAAATTTGAATGGAGCAATAAAATTCCGTATCGTGATGTGGATTTATTTTTCTCATCGAGATTTTACGAGACTCAAAGACCTCCGCACGTAATTCAATATATATTCGAGATCATCATCGCTCAATCACCTCCGGAATCCAGAGAGACTTTCGCGCGGGAGGCGACTACGATTTCATTTCGATCGTAATTCGTTATCGCTATTTATTTAAATCCCAAAATCAACCCGCGACTTTATTTCAGTCATACGAATGAATGTTTTTGTAATTTTTTCAGCAGATTATAAGACGCGCGGCAATTTACACCCACGCATTACTCACGCATACAAGAAACTGGCAAGGCCGTCTATTTATGAACAGATTTTTGCGCGATTTTATTTTCACAAATTTGATCGCTTCTCGCGTTTCTCTTCGCGTTCTTTTTTTCATTAATCTTTTATCCGATTATGAATGAATAACAATAAAAATCTTCCGCATTTGGCGTTGATATTTGCGTGGCAAAAGCACTTTAAGCGCTTAATCTCACTCTTTCATTCGCTCATAAAATAATTTGACGTTTTTAACTGGTGAATGGACGGTTGTTTTCGGGTTTTTTACGCGATTTTTGTAACGCAAACATTTTGTCTGATCAATGAGAGATTTAGTAAATGCAACAAATTATCATAATTCAAAATACAAAGATTTAACATGTTAAACTATTTTATTGATACAGCTAATGTATTTGATTTGTAGGTGGAACATGTTTGAACGAGTAAAATCATTTTGTCAATCAAATTGTGTGATAATTTTTGCCATCTTTTCTTAGATTTATCAATTAAAATAATTAATTAGTTTCTACTTTTAAATTGATCATCTCATGTTTGTTGGTTTATTTTTAATTCCTTTTTTTTACTATTAAACGCGTTACTGCCTGCCTTCATTACACATGAACATTAAACGGATTACGATGAAGCAAAGAGAAAAAATCATCATCGCATTATAATTTATGGAAGATAAACAACGATTGGACGGTAGGCGGTAAAGCTAAAGCAAAGTAAAGCGAGAGTCAAAGCGATAATGATTGTTTGGGAGTAAACATAACAACTCGGCGATTAATTAAGCTTGATTTAGTTTCGCAATCATACAATCGAAGCTTTTGCTTTACTTTCTACTGCTATTCCCATGTCAATTTCAACAGCAGCAAATCCACCTTGACACGCTGTTTCGTAAAAAGAAACAAGTCGCAGATTAATTGATCGCACGAGTGAGAAGAAAATTTATGATTCGCCATAAGATTATGAATAATTGATTTTCATTTGAATAACAAAAGACACATCACGAACTTAAAACTCCTCTCGATTCCATTAATAAACAGACACAGCAAAGCATATAAGAAATGATGGAAGAAATATGATACTCACATCAAGGAGAATGTGAAATATCGTCTTTTAAACAATTAGCTCTGCCATGGTGTAACTTGTGACTTGACCACATGACGTTCGATCGCTCGCTTGCTTGTCTGCTTATTTCGCCATAAACGAAAAAAAAGCAAAATTCCCACGTTCGTGAGACTTAAATCGACACAAAGGCAAAGCAGTTTAATGTGTTTCGTCTTTTATATTTAATGAGATTTTAGTGGAATAAAATGAAATGAAATGAAAGGTAACACGTCATAAAGAGATACACATAGATAGATATTGACGAGTTTAGGTTAACACTTCACAAGAGTTTTATGGATTAGCTAAATAACAACATCTTGGGTTGCTTCTTAAGAAAATATTAAGACCAGAGAGTCAACAATCTCTTTTCTAAATAGCAGTGCTTCAATCATTTCATACTTTTCAATTGAAATGTTAATCATCGTTACAAAGCTGAATTTAAAACTCAGCACTTTCAAACGCATGCCACAAGAGCGAGTTCCCGAAAATAAAGGTCAGAAACTCCGACAAAATCACGACTTCGTCACGATGAATGAAGTTTTTGAATGTAATTAAATCAAATTAAAAGTCATTTGACTATTAAAATGCCTAAAATTAACAGGGGATTAATCTAAATTCAATTAGGGTGAACGGGCGTTTGTTAGAAATTTTGCTTATTCATCGTCGTGACGTTGCTTTTCTAATCGTCGACGAAGCATCATCTTTGGGCTTATTCATACACTTAGACAGATTAGCTCCAATCTTAAACAGAGAAAATAAATGTTTTATGAATTTTCAAGAATAATTAATCAAGCGAAGTACTTCGGTGACTGTAAACTATAACAATAATTAATCATAAGGAATGTAATCTTTAAGCAGATAATCATTTGCCAGCAAACTTCCATAATTTTCAACTTCTGTGGACTCTCATACTGTGCTCGCTTTTATCTCCATTCAATTCAAAGACAATTGCCACGCGAGAAAACATCGAATTTATGGGACAGCAGAAAAACCGACAAAACCTGCGCAAATTCTTAACAATGAAAAAAAAATATTTGTGGCTTTCTCGTTTTATGTGCAATTTAACGGATTTAAAGTGAAGAAAAGTTTTAAAATTTATTTAATCAACTGAATATTTTTAACTTCTGGTTTGTTGTTTTCTTCGAGTACTAAATATCAGCTGAATGAAGTGACTTTGATGTTTATTTTGTCAAACGTCTTGATGATTTAAAACAATTCACAGATAAGCAAAGAAAAACTTATTTATTATAATTATTTCAGTGGAAATTTTCCACAAATCTTAAATTCTCTGATTCACTTCCACCCACAATTTTTCATTGTGTGTACATAAAAATGTTTGTCAAAGACGCAATACTCGCTATCTAAGTGTGCTGTCGTTTTTTGACTTTTTCATTGTTCACATTTTACCAAGAAGCTCTTCGTTTCTTCGAATAGTTGCTGTGTTCGTTGACAAAATCACACGATCCACAAAGATTCGCCATTTACCATTCGATAATAAACCATCGCAATATAAAGCAAGAGATGTCATAAATTTTGTGGGGTTTAGTCGTCCTTGGTCACTGTATTGCCAACTAGCGATCTGTTTGTCTTCTCTTTAATCTTGTTTCTTTCGCGTGTGATGATTTTTTTTATATTCCTCAACAGTTATTTTGTTTCGGTTGCTGTTGAAGCAACTACTTGTCGTTGTCGCATTGGGATATAAATGAAACGAGAATTTACGACCACAGATTGACAATTATCTTATATTAGATCTCAAAACGCGAAAAATATTTCTCCTAAATTGCCTTGAGAAAATATATATCAGAAACATTTATTTTCGAAGAGATACAAAGCATCGCTGGTTGGTGTGCCATCATTTTCTTATCTAATCTCCTTTGTGGACCCCTCAACAGCAGCCGTGACTAAATGGATGGCTTTTAATTCACCTCAAGATCATCATGAATCGTAAATTTCTCATGGATTTCCCTTCTCTTGTGCTGCTGTCCAAAATCGATTAACCGCGACGGGAATAAAGCTTCAAGCTTTTAAGAGATGAATCAGTTTGAAGAAGCGAAAGCCAGACAATATCTTAGTGATCACCACACGGTCGATTGAGGCTCTCTTGTTGTAAATATTGAATCATGATTCATGAAGAAAAGTAATGAGAACTTACTCGAACACAAAAAGGCGAAACACGAAGCAAGCAAAACTTTTAAGCAGCGAAGAAAGACTTACAAAGGCGCGATATTTAAGTCGCGGCTGCTTTCAAAATCGAATATAAAAATGATCGACATAGAAGAAGAAATCACTTCAAGAGATAAAAGAAAGAATGAAATGCGGCGCGTGTATCATCTCGAATGCTGGTTGATGCTGCTCAATGCTCGTGGATGATGAAGCTTCTTAGTGTAAGTGATCACTCTTTGTTAGTGTTGGCAACACGAAGTTAGTCAAAAGAACCGAAGACGATACGAAACATTTTGTCTCACTTGCATCGTACGATCGACACACGATCTTAACTTTAAGGGGAAGAATTTCTTAATAAGAGGAGAAGAGAAGAGCGTGAATCTTATCTACAGATCGTCATGTTGCGACGAACGATGAGTGTTTGAATGAAAACTTAGACTCGCTTTATAGAAAACGAAGAAGTGATTATCGTTAAAGCTAATTAAATAATTGAGCAATGCTACTTGTTGAATAATTTGTAATTAACTATTCAAACTGATGTTTATTAATTTTTGCAAATAAATTGTGTTTTCCACAATAAATATTTTCTATACTTGTTCATTCATTTTTACATTTTTTTTGCTTTGAAGCAATTTCCTTTTGACCTTGATCGTGTTTATAGTTGATATCTCGATAAATTTCAAATAGGTAATTCACGGGCATTGCAAATTATTATTTGAGAACAAGCAGTGATTGTAATCGTTCTCATTTCCGTCAAAAAATGTTGTTGTTTTTTGAAAAATTAGCAACAATGTTTTCTCTGACATTCTAATAGTTCATTTAATCTAATCACACGTAATCAACCTGTGAACACGTTTTTTATATTTGATACGACTGACTGGTGATAAGAAATGTGTAAGGTGTGTCAAGAAGGTCTAGCGAACACCTACAAAAACTAATCCTTCTGAAATGTTTTAACACGAAATATCAAGCTTCGAAATAAAATGTAATTTAACTTCTTCCCCCTTCCATCATCACTATGTCGCACGCTTATTCCCCCACTCTTCCATATCTGCTGACCGACCGACAAAAGTCGTATTTTTCTACCTGATAATTTTTATTGTTCAAGTATTGAGTTCGAAGTAAACAACAAAAAAAACAGAGATTTTTTCCCGACACATCAATTGTAAGCTGTCTAGAGTTGCAAATACAATCATTTACAAGAGTCTCAACATACCATCGCCACATCGTGTGCACACATTTGTGTGTTCAATAAATAAAGTGTAGAGAGAAATAAACGTTGGATTCTCCGTTTTTATTTTCTTTCAGTTTCAAATAATATTGTCGGTGGCGAGCCCGAACTCACTACATGAGAAACAGAAGGAAAGAAACAAGCAACAAGTCAGTCAGAGAAACTAGTTAGTTCGTAAACAACCATTTCATTCAGAATAGTTTGAGACTCTCGACGGTGAACGTCGATCTGAAGTTGTTTTATTTTTTTTACTTATCCAACATTTTTTTGAATTTTGGTTTTTTTCAATTCTCGGGAAAATTTTGCAAAACGTGAGAATAAAAAAAAATATTGAACAGAAATATTTTGTGAATGATTAAAAAAATATTTTTATGCGTCAATCAGTGCCTTGATTTAAATTAAATCATTAACCTCGATTATAAAATCTTTTCTATGAACGAAATCGAAGGAGGAAGAAATTAAAAATAAAAGTGTCACATTTAAAGGAAATTAATAAAAATAAAAAAATTGTGAAAAAGAGAAGAAGACAAGTTTAGGTTTAATAAATTAACCTAACGAGTAATGGTCACAGGAATTAAATTGATAAGTCAACAAAAAGTCGTCAACAGTAACACAATGGGATTAAGTGGAATAACCACATCACAAGTCCCTTCTCAGGAAACGCCTGTGAAGCGTTCAACCACTGCAAGTGATACACGTCGGGTAAGTTCAAAGTTCATAAAATTTTGCGGATCTAAAAGTGACTAAAAATTTGTAGCATGAATAATTAATTAGCGTGATATGTGAGGAAAACCAATTTTGGTTTAATTTAAATGACGTTAATTGGTGGCATATCTGATAGTTTTTTGTGAAATATTTTTTCGATGACAGATCATAATTTTTTTCCGACAATTCCGATGATCTTCTAACTATAGCTTGTTAAGTCGTTGGTAATAATCAGTGAATTAAAATCAGCGTAATCAACATACATTTATTTGAATCGTGAATTTTTTCTAGAAATGAAAGCAATAAATTTTTTTTCTGTCCAATACGTCACATAATTTATGGACGAGCTACTTGGTTGGCGCTCGGGAGAGCTGTTAATTTAAATGTCACGTTTTTTTCTGTTTTTCAAAACAAATCCGATTTTTTGCTGTTACGTTGGCGGCTTAAAATATTTTATTTTGCTTTTATTAAGAGATATTTTCATTAATTTTCCATCTAGCGTATTTCGGAACTTTTTTTTGTCAAATGTAAATCGGATATAAATTTCAATCTAATATCAAAAGATGATTTGAGCTTTATCAAATGACTTGACAATAAATATTTTACTTTCAATTGAACGAGCGACTAACGAGAAAAAGATCGCTTCCAATTGAGACATTAATCGCTAAGCTTGAAGTGGGAGAGAAAATTGAATAATATTAAGACTCAACATTTTTAAAACGTGGCTCAACACCGCATTTGTCATTACACGAACCGGACTTTTAACCATTACTGGGTCGGTCGGTTCTTTTTGATTTTTTTCGCTCAACCGATTGAGGTATGTGTGGCATCAAAAAAAAAAATGAATTTTAATTGTTTTTTAATTTGATTGGAAGTAAAGATTTCCGGTGTTATAACTTTATTCAATAAACATTTTTAATGTTTCCGCTTGATTAATAAATTTAAACGAAAACATTCGCCAAAATTTTTTAACTTTCTTGAATTCATTAAAATTAAACTTCCTTGAATTAGAAGGAAAAAATAAAAATTTTGTTCTTTGTTGGTTTTTCTTGAGGTAGAAAAAAGAAAAATAAATAAAATTAATTGTTTATTCGTCACTCTCTAATTCGAACAAATTTCTTTTGTCTACGCTTGCTAATTGAGTTGATCTGCTCGTGTGCGAACGTGCTAAAATATTCATTTAACCTTTATCATTTTGCTACACGCGCCACAATATTTCCATACAAAGTATCAACGTCTTACTTAGATAGTTAATTCATAATAAAGTGATTAAGTCGCAGAGGAAACTAATTTTAGTTATTGCTTTGACGCACACGCGACCTGTGAACGAGATCAATATCCGTTTGCTTTTGCGCCAATACGACGTGTGTGAGAATGGTCGACTTCATATGCCAAATGTTTTTTCCCTCATTTCATTCTCGAATCTCGTTACGGGGCACCTTTGAAAGCAAAAAAAGCGAAAATGATATTAAAACCGCGTAAATCTTTCACGGTACTCTTGGTGGAACGAATTTCTCTTTTTTTTGCTGTTCTTTCTTCTCGCCTTTGGCTTTGAAGCGATGAAAATGCTTTTCAAGATTTTCCGAATGTCAGTTCGCACACTTTTATGTGTGGGAATTTCTTTTCTTTACTTGACTTTTTGAGATGAAACAGAAAAACAATTGAAAATAAAAAGAAATGAGAAGCGAGATATAAATCAATTGATAAAGCCTCAACATTCTTCAATGCTAAAAATTCTTAAAGTATTGTGGGAGGAAATCAGTCGCCAAATCTCAGCCTTTCATTGTGACCTAAATCTTTGATCGTTGACATTTTGTTGAACATAAAATCAGCAAACGATAAATAAAATAACAAATGACGTCGACTTTCCAAACATCGTCTTCGTTGACAAGTTTTTAATTGGATTTTTCAATGTTGCTAAACCAACGAAAAATTCGATATCGTCTACCAAATCCTTTTATGCGAAGTATTTACATAAAAACGATTTTTTTCTTTCACTTTCCACCTCCGCCAATATCCGAAACTTCATTAGATATTACCTTTGAATCATCTTTTTTCATTTTATTTATATCTCTCAATCAAATCAACTTGTATCATTTGACACGAAAGTTACAAGCTGCTTGTTGCTTTTGCCTAATGAAAAACAATATTGACGCTTCATTAGCTCGTGTAATCGAAAAAAGGTTGATTCGATGATTGCAAAAGAAAGCTCTTTGATGTCTGACGATGTGAGCTTGGGATCTTATTGCTTTTTATATCGAAATCTGAAATCAAAAGAGCGACAGAAGCACCTATCAAGTTGTTTGAAATCTCTTGTAATTTATATGTTAAAATTCATGTAAAAAGAGTTGAACTGAATTTGGTGGAAGGAGACGCATGTGTCTCGCATTCACAAGCCTCTCACTTTTTTATTATTTGAACTTTTCATCTGCTACAGATCCCTTTTCTAAAACGAAAATAAAAACAAATTAACAAGATTTTTTCTCACTTTCATGCGTGAGATTTTTTTAATAAAAAAAAGAATCTTCGCTTTTTCCCTTTTCACTCCCCCATTTCGTTTATCGCCCACGATGTGTGGGTGCTGCTTTTGTAAGCAGAGAAAATCTTCTTTATTTTTACAAAACAAAACGATTTTCTTATATTGCTAACTGTTTTGTTAGATGACAGAACGTAAAGATAGCGAGATTTATTTTTGCTTTATTTCTCATCGACTATTCATCGTGTGCCTGCGATAACTTTCCAAATCTTGTGCGGTCTTAAAGACGCTACAACTTTGGCATTGAAAAATCGTTAAGAGTTCATTAATGTTTAAAGCAACTAATTTTTTGATATTTATCAGCGTAGATATTTCTTCATTCATTTCATTTACTAAGCGTCGATTCATAAACACTTTCGAATGATCTGAAGTTTTTGACATTTCTCGCTGAGGAAATAAACAAACTAAGCGCTTTAATGTTTGAACAACAATTTGTCAGCGTCAGTCGAATTTATCATCAAATGTTGGTTGAGGGGAAAAAAATGTAATTCGAGGAAGAAAATTTGGCAAATTCTGAATACGTTAATTGCTATCACTGAATGAGAATTTATAAATAACTTCTGGTTCTGATGTTAAATAATTTTTAAAATACAAAAAGAAGAAAATTCACCATCAGTTGGTGTCTTCAAATTGATGACTTCTTTCAGTCGTTCCATGTCAATTAATTCTTCACGCAATAACGCTTGCTGTTGCTATGACAAAAGACAATCCACTTAAAAATAGACACGCGGACAACTTCGTGTCTGTTCTGTGTACAAGCTTCATATATTTTTAGTCACTTCCGTGCTAATTTTTATTTCTTATTCATGTGCAGAAAATAAAAGATGATTTGTGTGTTTGACGGCACACGAGTCGCTTTTTATGATACCATACGTAAAACTAACAATAGATTTATTTCCATTTGTATAGAGCAATAAGCCAATTATGGAGAAGAGACGGCGTGCGAGAATAAACAATTGCCTCAATGAGCTGAAGACTTTGATTTTGGATGCGATGAAGAAAGACGTGAGTATCTTGTTTAAGTGATGATGAGATGCTTTAGAATAAACACACGCGTGTAAAAGCTTCAAACCTTCTTTAGCTAAATATTCCTAAATCATTTTAAATTAAAACAATCCATCACTCATCGTGATGATGACGGATGGATTTTCGTATTTGCGAATTTTAAATTTAACTTCAACTTTTTTATCTTTCCTTCAACAGCCAGCACGACATTCTAAACTGGAGAAGGCTGACATTCTGGAAATGACAGTGAAGTATCTTCAAAATCATCAGCTGAATCTTCAACGTCAGCAAGCTGCGCTTACTCAAGCAACTGATGCAACAATTGCAACAAAATTCAAAGCCGGATTTACAGAATGTGCGAATGAAGTTGGACGCTTTCCAGGCATGGAACCACAAGTCAAGCGACGTTTATTACAACATTTGAATAATTGTATGAATGGTGAGAGAAACGACCCACATCAACATCAAATACAAGTCCACATTCTTCCATCATCTCCGCCAAGTTCACCAGAACAAGAATCAATGTCTTCATCTTCCAATGGTTATTATTTAACGAATGGAAGTGGAAATGGCGTTCAATTAATCCCGACAAAGCTTTCCAATGGAACAATTGCCTTTGTCTTACCTCAATCACCAGCCGCATCTCAAATACCAATGCTGGTACCAATTCCATCACGTACAGCATCAACTGGGTCAGCAACCTCTTCCAGTTATGATCGTGTGATGAACAGAGAACAGTCACAATCACCTTATAATGCCCCTCCTAGTCCCGCAAATTCATCTTATGAACCGATGGATACAATGCCTGCACATCTCAGTCACTCCAATCTGCATCATCAACAACTGAATTTAATGCAGCAACACCAGCAGCAACAGATTTTAAAACATCAACAAAGATCATTTAGTCCATCGGCGCCAATATCGCTCGTGATGAGAAAAACAAACTTTGACCAGCAGATGAAAGATGACGAGAAGCCTTGGCGGCCTTGGTAAAATGTGGGTACAGCGAATTGTTATATTGAAATCTTCACTAATGTAAATATTGATTTAATGGGTTGTATTTAGTTAAGCCATTAGACTGGCCATTCAGCAACATACATACATGCATACATATATTTATCAAAAACAGAAAACGTTCATTGATTTGATGCGTGAAGTGAAAACATCACGCAACCTTACCAAGCGATGGATGTTAATCGCACTACAATAAATATCTGACATCCTATAAATTGCGAAAATGTTCGTTCAAGTAAGCGGTGATGACTGACGAGAAAAGAGAAATAATAATCAAAATGATCGCGGTAAAAAATAAATAATCTTATTTGCGAAATGTGAGAAGCGAGAAAGAAATCAAACGTGCCAATTGACTTAATCTTAATTATGTTGGACGCTCATAAATTACGTGATCTTTCCGACAGACATGCAATAACATTGACAGATTTATATTACCATTGTGACATTCATAACTTTTTCAAATTTAATCTCTTGTGGTTTTTAAAACAAAAACATTGACATAACTTACACATGTCACCTGACTAAATACAACATTGTGACAACAATAGAGACAAAAAAATCGTTTTGCAAATTAAAAATAGTTTTCATATCACATTTTTTAAAGTAAATCTTTCAAAACGTTGGCGCAGCCTAACACGAGTTCAATTCAATTGCCAAAAAGCAAAAAGATCATTTACAACTTTTTCTTTTAAATACAGTGGAATGTCGATAAAAAAGAGTCTTAATAGCCAACATCGTAAAGAATTGATGTTTATCAAACATAAATTTTTTGAATTTATGGAGCAATTTCATTTATGAAGATTCCACTGCAGCAACAATGTAGACTTCGAAATCCACTATTGGAATTTAAGAAATTTCGCTTCATCTTCTTCTTGTGATTTTCAGACTCGACGACAATTTCAGCTGAAAACCTCGACAATGGCAATAATGCGTGAGCGTGCGTGTTTATAATAAGATTTGAGTTAAACATATCTCTGCTGTCATGTCGTTGTGATTCATATTTTCGTTTTGTTTTAAAAACAACAAAAAATATTTAAATAAATACTTGAAGAGAGTGAACTTTGTGAAATAAAACTGTTTTTGTTGTTCATCAAATACTTGCTTGTTGATTTTACCACCCAAGCTACCTACTCAGTTTACTTTATCTTTTTTTGAGAGTCGAAAAGGTTAATAAGCACTGCGTAAATTAAAAATCACTTCGTGAAAAGTTGCTCGTGCATGTTTTTTGATTATTTACGAGAGAAATAAAACTCTCCGTGACATCTCCTCCAACAAAGCTTGTGCTTGTACGACATCCAAATTAAATTACCAGTCATACGCTAATTCCTTAACGCTTGAATCGAGCGGCGTGCAGCAGTCATAATTACTTGAGCAAATAAAGCGATTTATCTTTATCACTTTGTTGCTCGTAAAAAACGGAAGAAAAGAAACGTTTCGCCTTCATGTTACATTTATTTGTTTCTCGTTACTTTTCGATTGACGTTAGCATGTAAACTTTAATGCTAATTTTTGCACAAGAAAATAATCATGCGGAAGCTGCTCGAAAGATGTGACAATGTAAACAAAAGGCCAACTTTCTCGACACTTGTAAAAGTCAAGACTCAAGAAAGATTCCGACAGAGAAGAGAATTTAAACAATAATTCAAACTAAGCATTTTAAAAAGCTTTTAAAAAATAAAAAAGTGATGTTGACAAAAGCAATTCTGTCGCGCGCGCGCATAGTCTTTGTTTGCAGATTTAAGTGGCACGAGGCATGACTTTTACTTATTCTCGCAAGTGTAACTAAATTTACAAAGTCGTCTGCATCTTGTAAGGTATTTGTGACGACGTTGAACGTAATTGAAACGATGAATGAATGAAAAAAAATTTTGCGCCATTCAGTGGTGCATTGAGGGGGAAAATGTAGAGCGAGATTAAAAATTAGAAGCGAGTAGTTCGTGTCTGACGCCACGCTTACGCCTTTAAATAAACATCAAGTTACACATGCCAGATAGTGCTCGTTTGTGAATGTACAAAGCAAATAATATTTTTTCTTACTTCTTTTTCTATGTAAATAAATAATTACATGCACTTTGTTGAGCACGTTTAGATTGACACTTGCAAGTTTTTCTCGGGAGGTCGTTTTGAAATTACGAAATAAAAAATCTTTAGTTTGATGCTCTCATAAATTTACAGTAGCATTCAACAAGCCATCAATTCATTTCAAGTCAGTGCACATGTGTTGAATCCCCCATCATGAACAAGACAAATAAATTAAATATGCGACGATCAACCACAGAAAGTGAATTAAATTAAATTGAACGTTATTATGATTTGTCCGCCAACTGTTCTCGACTCTCGTTTGTTTATTTAAAAGAGTCCATACAGAAGCTACAGAAAGAAATGTTTACATCAAATGACAATTTAATACACTTTAAGCTCAAATTTATGATTTAATTTATTTATTTTTTTTCGAGACTTTCTTTTGAATAATTGAATTGAAAAAAAAAATTTGTAAATTAGAAAATTGTTTATTGTGGAGAACAGTCAGAAAACATGGCCTTATGTTAGTCAATGGCTTTTTCATTAAATATTTTGTCACACATTTATTATTTATTTGATGCTGGGGCGCGGAAGTTTAACGAGAATAACTGGTGAGAAAAAAATGTTTTCGAGATGTCAAAGCAAATTAACGTAAAGCAGAAGTTGGAGAGAGAAATGAATTATTGCCATGACGGAAACTCCAAATTTATTTCAATTTTCCTTTTTCTCAACAAATATTCTACGTTCTTAACAAGCTAGAAATTTTCTCGCCGAAGTGTAAGCGAAGCCCAGACTGAAAGCGAGGACTCCATAAATTTCGTGCGCGTGAAACTTTGTGTAAACAATTACAGAATAATTAAAAATGATTTATCTTATGAAGCTCACTGCTTTTTTACTTTATGTTCTCTGAATCCTCACGAAATTAGTCGAGCAATTGAAAGGAAAACAATGTTTGTTTGTTTGCTTTTTGTGAGACTGTCACGACTTCTGAGCTCGCTCATGAAATCTGAATGAAACAAACTTCAAGGACTCTTCAGGTAACACTGACAAGTGAGTGAGATGCTCGAAATAAACGAGTAAACAGCTGAAACTTGAAGATTAATCTAAAGCTAAACTGGCTTCTTTTCGTTAAGATGAAATCAAATCACTGCAAAACGTTTCTTTGATTGACATGGTTTTGCGATACTTTTTCATGTCCGTGCTGCTTACAACAATACAAAAAAAGAGTAAAGAATTCAATTAAAAATCATTAACAATGACATGGAATTGTTTTTCTGTCATCCCAGAAACATTCAGACGTCGGCTTTGTTCTTTCCAAGCAGATTTAATAAACCGAGAAGCATTTGAAAGTTTTGGTGGTACAAACGATTCAATTTTTGTTTTGGTTTCAATCGAGATTCTTATGAATTGGAGCGGATATTTAAAAACAAAATCTATTGAATATTTATGCTTTCAAAAACTTTTTCAATAAATTAATATTCAGTGCATAATTAAATTAACAACCGCTTGAATTTTCCTAAATAAACAACTTTTGCAAACTTTTTTCATTTCTCTTCTTCTTTGTCGTTTTCTGTTATTGATAAATAAAACATTACGCTTTAAGATGTCGATTTACTATAAGTTAAATAAGTTAAGCAACTTAATTTATAAGAAATATTAGAATGAGAAATTAATAAACGCTTGATAAACATGAAACATGTTTCATGTTGGAATGAGAAACAATTCAACATGTACATAAACATTTATCATCAATAAGCACAACATGTTTTTAATCGAAAAAGAAAAGGAATATTTAGCTTTTAAGGTGAACACTCGAGAGAGGAAAATATAGAAAGAAACAAGAATATTAATAAAAGTATGTGACCTTTAGCAATTTATATTCGAGAATGGAACATCAAAGAATAAATTTATATTTTTATAAAATATAAATCAAAAGCTTTTCTTTACTTTTCTTACAGGTTTTCCACATAAAATTTTTCGATATTTTCAAACAAGATTCAAACTGAAATTTATGGCGGAAATTTTAATCGGCATGTGATGATCATCGTGACAAGAAAAATAAAAATTCTTTCGTTGATTAATAAGTATTCGAAAGATTAATAAGTAAGAAATCGATGCTGGTATGGATTGAATTTCAGTTTGCTTTCCAGCAGAGCTTGTTCCACTTTCTTTTGTTCCGTTTTCTGTTCAGGTCCCTTACTCTGTTCCGGAACAATTTGATTCCCGATTTGTTCCTGGACAAAAAAATGTTGCGGAGCAAACACCTGCTTTCCAGAGGGATTTATGTTGGTTTCAGATAACTTAAAAATGATATAAAAATAAAATATTAAATAGAGATTCTTCAATCCATTCCATCATCATTAATGATTTGAAATGCAAAATCAAATCTTTTCTTATTTCAAATGTTTACAAATGAGAAAAATGCTCCGACACGTGATCTTAAAAGATATGATAAATTTATTCATTTTAGTCTTTCTTTGGCACATTCCTTGACAGTCGTTCAACTTTAATATCACTTCCAATTATTTTTGAAATGAATAAATGCTTAAACACAGGTCGTGTGGCTTTTTCTCTCTTTTTTTGACCACTTCAAGAATGATTTATTCCATGTACTTTTTTGTATTCTTCACAATCAACCAGTTTCTGCATAAAAATGAAAACGTGATCAATTGTTTGAAGAACACTTAGTGTGGGGTTCAGCACAATTCATATATGCTTCTCCTCACGTGCCTATAAATTCACGTCGGATTCAAATTCAAATCTGCTGAATGTGAGTATCAAAATGAAAAATGTCGGATTGGTCGTACTTAAATAAAAAATATCGTCCATTAGTTTCTCAATGGATTCTTTTTTCTCTCGACCTCGCATGCAATCATTCAATCCATTGATGCGTGAAGAGTATTTTGATTGATGGAGTGCAATTTCATCTATCGCCTTTTTTGAATATTATGGATGGAACTGTGAATACGCGTACAATGTTAAGCGTTAGCATCATTTTGAAATAAATCAAAATCAAGTCACAATTATTCTCATCATTTGTCCGTCGAGTCAAATGAATCTTTTGACGGTATGGGACTGAAAAAAGCAACAGACATTCTTCATCATTTATATCTAATATTTTATAAGAAATTATGGAAGGAAGACTTCATTTTAATAATCACAAATTATAGAGTATTCAAGCAGATCATCTATCAACAAACCTGTTTCGTCCCCGTCTTGTTTCTAAAAACCAATAAAAACATGTATGCAATGAACCTTATTTGAAATCAGACGATTCAATGACAAACACACAATAATGTCATGGAATCATTTTCCAAATTTGAGATGAAAAACAAGTCATTAAATAAACATTCTGATAATGAAAATCATCACGTTTCTAGGCACGTTTCTTTCTGATGAGTTATGAGTTAAATTTGAGAACTTGAAAGGTGACAATGCTTAAATAGTTGTGGAATGAGAAAGTTTATTTACAAAAATTGTATGTTTCAATATAAATGAAGAAGAAGTTTCTATTTGTATGCAATCAAATAAAGTTTTATAATGTTTCAATTACAGTTTAATGAGCTTTTCACTTGTTAATGCAAACTGAAACAACGATGCTTAATTCGCAATGAACTGTTGAGTAACTTTTTGTGCATGATCAAAATTCAGCATCCAAATCATTATTGCGTCAACATTCATGACTTTTTCATGAACTTATTTACTCATTCATATTCCCGATAACACTCAACTTTTGTTCCGTAACATCAAGCGTTATGTTGTTATATGCATTTATATTTATTACATTTTTGTATCGTCTTCCACTTGTCTTGAGTTACACATTCTAACACTTGAATAAGTTATGAGAATAACTTGCCGTTTAATGTTTTCTAGAATGGAGAAAGAACCGTCAGAACAATTTTTTCTGATGCCGCTTCTAAATAACAAACACTCGCATCTAAATGATTTCTTCATTGCGCTAATAAATAATTCAACTTATTAACAAATTGGTTCCTGTTTCTTGAAGTAAGAAGATAGTGAAAGCTTCACTTGCCAGGTCTCATTTATAAAGATGAAGGAAAGCAGATTACACGCAACTTTCGACACCTCAACATTCATTTTCAACATCATTGAGTTTCTTTATTATTTCTAATTATTTAACTTTTATTTTCTGCTTATAAAGATGAACTCGAAATGTTTCCGATTCTCAAAGTTCATAAAGGTCGTTCATATGAAAATATGTGAATTCCATGAATGAAAACAATAAAATTTCCCTCATCTCTTTACTTATTGAATGAATCTTTCTTGTTTTTGTTTATTTCATGATAAATAAATGTTTTCGAAAGAAATTTATTGATGATAGCATAGTCAGCATAAATTTCTTTTGAAAACAGGAGAGGCTTTTAATGCTGTTAAGTTTAAATAAGTTGAAAAACATATTATGAAATGAATATTTTGATTAAATTTGTTGTTTTCATGTTCTTGACTTTTCGTCTTTTGTGTAACTTTTAATCAGCTTAAATGTTTTCTGGAAGAACGATTGATGTTGTCCGTTAGAGTTGTTGATGAATGTTTTTAGGGATAAACTTACGTCAAAGTTTCAATGCCAACTAACGTCAAAAATAAATTTGTTTGTGAAGATAATTAAATAATTGATTCTTCAATTTACATTTTTATTCTTGAAGACAAAGACATTTGAATGACTTGATAATCACGTAATTAAGACAATTATTGCAAATAAGCTTAACGATCGTAACGTGTTAATTTTTTTTGTTCGACATGCGAATTTTTGGCAATTTTTTTGCCGAAATCGTTTAAAATGTTTCAACTGTGACGCAAATTATGGAACTGCAGTAACAAACTTCATTCTGTTGATATTTAAACAAGAATTTCATGATTAACTAAGCTGAAATTTAGTTTGCACTATGTCAATAATTAATTTAACTCTGACTTCAGTCAAATTTGTTTAATTGCTCTGATTGTCATCACGTCATGAAGAAGCACTCCGAATCTCCGGTGAATGGGATCAAATAACGAATGACGAGCTTTTTCCTGCTGACTCAATTACCAGACTTATTAAAATGGAAAAACAAACTTGGTAGAAAATTTTTTTCAGTTCAGATCGCGATTTTCCTACAATGCAGTGATAATGAATGAGTCGAGACTGCTGACGCTCGCGAAACTAAATTCCTTTTACTTTTTCATTCGTATTTTGATTAAAAGTTAGACGAAATTCACTTCATTCGTCATAATAATTTTTGTGTTGTCAAATTTCTCAATTTGGCATGTTTCAACGAGCTCAGTAAGTTCATGAAAATTGCGAAAAGCTTGAGGTTTGATTAAAATTGCATTCGTTTGTTATCACATGTCACTCAATGTGGATTTTAATTGTAACTTCAAATCAAATGATTTGATTTAACATGCACTCGTAACTTCCAAAAGTTTATCTTACTGCTTGTCAGAGTAAATATTTACACAAACAAATGAAATTGATTCCAGATCAATGACATCACACATTTCGCTTCGATCGGGAGCAAAAACATGACACCATTTAGCTTCAATCTAGCAATTAACGCTTAAACAGACTCATCTCGGATGTCAATTTAGATGACAAATCACACTCGACAACGAACACATGTGGGAATTTCAAGTGCGGTGAAACATTACCAAGCAAAAAAGTGTTTCCATTTGTGAACAAACTTAAAGGCATTAAGAAAAAAAAACTTTGCCATTCGTGAGGAAGAAAAACAACTTTTCCTCTTCCTCAACTCGTTGGTTTTCCAAGAACTTTCCACATTTTTTATAACTCATTCAAGACTCGACGATGCGTTGAAATTTATTTCCCATTTGGGAATGAATCGAACTTTTTTTCTTCCTTCTTCCCCTTTTGAATTGATTCAAGGGACATTTTAAGAAGATCGACAAAAACTTTCCCTCCCCAAAGTTTTCTTCGAAAAGAAAGAAATAATCGTTTGGAAAATTTTATCGAAAACTTTTGATTAACTAGGACAAAGAAGGTGAGATTGATTATTAAAACTAATTAAATATAATTGAGATTCTTCATGAAACTTGAGCTCTCCTAAACTACTCAACTTGCTTCATTGTTGAAGGCAAAATATAATGACGTTATCTTAGAAACTACACAGAAAGAAGAACGAAGTTCTTAAAATCCAATTAGACTACGCTATTTAATTTTGTTCATAATTCTTTAAAGCCAACTCGAGTATTCTTAATAGCGGCAAAAACATTGAAAAGAAGATCTTCTCTCCATCTGCAAACAACAACAGCGGCAATAATTTTACGATGGGAACTCTTGACACTTGCGTTTCGTGATGGGAGCGACGATTGTCTGTTTCCTGTTGCGCAAGAAAAGCATTAAAAGTGATTTAAGAAAAATTTAAACAGAAGCCTTCAAAACATTGTTCTTAAGAGCTTTCTAAAAGAATCAACAGGAGAAGTTCGTCGTTTAAGTTTTTTGACTTCACACGAACCTTCGGAATTTCATTCTTTCAGATATTTCTGAAATCATTGAGTAAGCACGCGTCTCATAAATCGTCCATCACGTTCAAGACAAAGAACAAAAAAAAGTCCCACTAAAGCGAATGATAACATTGCTTTGCTTTCTCACAATTTTCATTGGAAAGAGAGATAAGAAGTCTAGGACTTTCCGTTTCGTAGGCACGTGTTAAAAACAAGTCGCGTCGTAAAACTTCACGAGTTTGTCTAACCAGATAACGTAAATGATTTTATTAAATGAGTGGTCCGATGAAGATAACATTTAAAGAGCTTAATTATCCTTCATTATTTGCTATTGTGTTCGAGACCTAAATAAAATTGACTCGATTTGATCTATAAAAAACCTGCTTCTCTGCATATGGCAAGAGATCAAATTTCATTTCTATTTATTCGTTATCAAACTCTTAACATTTAAATGCCCCATCGGCAAAAGCACGCAAAAGTTATTTTCAGAGTTGATTTAGCGACAAAATAAAACAAATCATCAGTTCACTCTGCCTGCGTTGATAAGAAATTTATTTCTTTTTTTTACGCTTGTGTTCCCAGTTGCTATCAATTGAGATTGTGAATGTGCCCATTTTCAGTCGAGTATGCAATCATCGAAAAACCAGAATAAAAAAAGCAAATCGCGTGTTTTTATAGAACACAACCATCACTTGATAGATACGAGACTTGGTGGTTTTATTTACAGTTCACCCGCTCGTGCCATGAGAGTGATAACAATTTTGCTTCTTTTTTCACATTTTGATAATGATTGACGGGAGCTTTACGTGGAACTCAAAATGTAGCTTAATATCAATTTCAATTTGACGAAATTTCACAAAAACAAATAAAAAGTTTCATTTGTAAGTCTTTAATAAATTAGGGTGCAGCTTTCTTGGTCAATATAAAAATAAAAATAAATTCAACTTTTTGCGAAAGTTTTGTATAAAAAATCTGGACATAATCTGCTACTGCCCCCTCACAGACATTCAATAAATTCATCAGCTTAAGATTGACTTGAGAAGAAATTTCTTCAATCGAGATAAGAGCGAGTGAACTGCACCTGCTTACTATGTAGTTGAGTGACACAAGTTTGGTTATTGGATGTGGGCGGAAATTTCATCGAATCGTAATAAAAAGAGAAGAAAATGAAAATGAAAAATGAAAGATGAGTCGATTTCGTTTACGCCACTTTAATAACACACATCATCGTCATCATCATCATCAAGAAGATTTAGTGAGGCTTTTATTATTATTTATTCAGTCCAAGGTCGCAAGCATGGCATGGTAAGGAAAGAGAGAAAGAGAGAACAAGGAATACATATAAATTCAATTCAAGTTTGGCGGAATTGTGCTAAATATATTTAAAAAGACGATCACGATGAAAAATGTTGAGCTCGTGATAAGGAAGCGACGATTTAAATCATGTCGCAGTATTTCTCTATTTATTTGTCTTCGTTTGGGACATGACTGTGTCGTTTTTTTTCGTGTTGTCGCTTCTTATCAGTAAGTCATAAAACAAGAGCGCAAAAAAAAAAAAAAAAAACAATTCGAAGGAAACTTAAATAGATATTGAAAGTATTCCATAAAGCATTAAGCATGCCCTACACGTGATACACATGATGCGACTCTCATGGTGCTTAATGTTATCAGCAGTCGAGTTGAGAGATGATAAAGCAGCCACGAGTGAAGTTATACATAGTTGCACTGATTTTAACATTGTACAATCAGGAGTAGACTTTGCCAATTACTTTTCAGTAGAGATGCGACGATTAATCTTCTGACCATTCAAATACTTCTCTCGTTTTTCCTTCCTAAGCTGTTAGAATTCTTCTTAGTCTCAATAATTTATTGCCTTTTTCTTATCACGTTAATTAATATTTATTTTCGATGGCAAACGACCATGAAGTGGTTTTTTTTTTCTTCTTTCTTTTCATTTTGTATTCTGATGTGCGCTATCAGCATTCACAAGTTCATGAAGAAGATGGGCACGAGTATGTTTTCCACTATCAATTCATAAATTCTGATTACAATGTCAATTTACAAGTTGGCTGACGTCAAATGGAGTATCAAATTTGAAGACTTATTTACACATTCATTGCGTGGTGGATCAATTATCATGCACATGTGAAGTGTCTGCGATCAATTACTCCGATTTCCAATGTTGTGTGTGGACTTCAAACGGCATGCTAAATTGAGTCATGAAATACTTCACACGACAGTAATTGAACGTCTGATTGAGGTGACCGACTGCTTCTTTGTTCCATACTCAATTAACATTCTTCTTGAATACGTCAATAGCAAAAAATAAAATGATGAACGATGAACAAAGACATATGGCTGTAAGCACTCATGTTACAGATTGAAGAATTCTTAATTAAAATGTGAAAGTTAAAAGCAATTTAATTCCAACTCATCCTTTTCTGTGGCGAAATCAACAAACATTTCATTGATGATGTCAATGATGATTTTCAATTTGTTTCAATTCGATTCACAAAACAGTAACGTCATCGCAGAGCATTCCCCAATCCACAAAACAATTAATTGAAGATTGCAAACGTGCAACTGAAAAAAGTCGAGATCACCTGCCTGAAATTAAATTCAAAACGATCTAAGCCATAAAGACCTCCAGAGATATGGAATTAGATGAAGGGAAGAAAAACAGAAAAAAATATTTGGTAGCCAGTAATCTTAGACACAAAATGTTTTATTAAAAGTCTTTATGGGCTTAAGGGCGATTGCCTTTCAACTTAAAGAATTTTTACGATTGATACTTTTAAAGATCTTATTTCTTCCTTCTTTCCGTATTGTTCTTCTTTGAAACAAATGAAGCAAAATTAGACCACCTATTGTGAAAACATTTCTCGCATCCCTCTCCTGACTGTCGATTTGTCAAGTTGAAGAAAGAAAGAAGGAAAAAAAGAAGTTTTCTCTCGAACTCTATCAAGCCAGAACAAATCGGTTAAGAAATTCTTCAAGTCAACCTCAGAAGGAGTGGAGTGATTTGTTTAGCGTCGTCGAAGAGGCTTTCCTCTTATTCACAAGGGTCAAATCCTATCTATCTTATCTGTTTCTCATTTTACATCCCGTCAAGACTCGAAAGAAGTGGTTTTAACGATTAATGGATGACACAAAGAATGTTCTCATTCCCATGTTTCTCCTCAAATTTTAAAGATCAATCAATGAAGAAGGGAAAAGTGGAGCAGCAGCAGCAGCAATGATTCACTCACTTCTTAAACATTTTATTTGGAACTTGAATATTTATGTTTTCTTATTTAGAATAGCTTGAGGACGACAAAACAAACACATGTCAGTTTGAAGAAGAACAAAATTAATTTTAACGCTCATGAAAACGTGTGCAGCATCGTGATTCTAATTTATAAAATGCTCAAGGGTTCATCTGGTCACCCAGAGCTTATTCAGTTAAAAATACTTGAATAAAAATTTTTTTAAAGCATCACAGTTTGGCTTTTAGGAATTTAATTGAGTGACCAGTGGAATAGAAGGAGAAAAAAAAAGTTTTCGTTAGAAGACATTAAACAACAGCGAAATAAAGTGAATGAAACTCTGAGCAAAAAATAAATATTTTAATTACATTAGTGCTGTGTGGTCTCCAAATTTGGTGAATGCAATGTATTTACTAAAATCACATGTTAAACTAAAAACCTCAACTTGCACCTGAACAACGTAAAGCTGTTTGAAAACGAGATGAAACTCAACGTTGCGTTGAATGAAATGCAAATTGTCTTCCTCCCAAACTTATTGCTGCTGCTTCTTTATTTGTTCAGACTCAGAGGAAAAGACAAATTGAAATCTAAGCCATTTTAAAAACCATTCACAATAATTGCTTTTCAAAATTATTTGTGCTTGTCCGAGAAACAGAGAAGTCTTTAAGAGATAAAGAAAGAAAACTCAGCAAAAAACGTGCCATTTAAAACACAAAATTATCCAACAAAAAAATGTAAAAAGCCATTCGAAGATTGAAGACGAGATATGATGATTGAATGTGGGCTCCACTCAACAACAACTTTGTGTGGGAAAATGAATGCTTTTATTATCGATTCGAAAGCGCTTTGGATGAACAAAGAAATGCTTATCAAAATGATATTGATGGGTGATTTAAATAAAACCGAAACTTTAAATAGACAAGTCGTCATTGATTAAAGTGAAATCAATTAAATTTCAATTTGCTACATTATTGAATTGAGTTTCAGGATGAAATTTATCGGAAACCTTAATATCGCAGATCACATGAAGAGAAGAAGGAGAACGTAAATAATTCAAATTAAGTAATTTAAAATTCAATCACAATTGTTAGTTGAAAACCACACACATTTACTCAGATTGGTAATTTACAAATGAAGGGAAAAAGGAGAAAAAAATTATAAAAATTCATTCGCATGTCGTCGTCTGATTGTTTTGTCACAATTTGACCTTTATGAATATAATTTTTGCTATGAAATAAATATTTAAAATTTTGATTCAAGTTTACAAAGGGCACATTAATAATTCAAGTGAAAATTGTGAATGTATCTAAATTAATGTTTGCAGGTTTAATTTACGAAATTAAAAAATTGATTACTCAAATGAAACATCCTCATTGGCTTTGGTAAATCTGACTTGACTGAAGCTATTGAAGTGGATGCTAAACGAAAATATATCTCAAGTGAAACATTTATCCATTTCATAATTGATTTAAAATTTCATGTCGATGCCTTTGATATTGCAGAGCGCTTGGCGCTTCTTTTCATATCTTATTTTAATCACATTAATTTTGTTGTCTACCTCACAATTCAAATCTCTGATCTGCAATTTTCGTGTGTACGTAATTTGAACTGTTGAATAAACATGAAATAGAAATTGAAGCAAATTATCAAACTCGTAAAAGAGAAAGAGAGAACCAACGACTTATCAACGGTGGTGGTCGTTTGGACGGGGCGAGATATTTGCTTTAACTGACTTAAATTCTTCCCTTTTCTCTCTCTAATGCACAGATTCCCAGCTTGCGAAAAGGGATAATCGAAAAACAAAAGAATCCCTTTAAATTCTTTTGTATTCTTGATATCATTCATTTTACCTGTCGGCCAAAACTTGGACTCATTAATAATTGATTTTTTTTCTTCTTTTACTCTTTTTAGTTTCAACCTAATACGTGGGCTCGAAGAATGTTTCATCTTTCGGTCGCTTTGCGGTACCAGCATGATTCTGGGTTTTTTTCCTCTTTCTCAAATCGTGAGTTACTCTTTGTTGAATCACGTACTGAAAGCCTGTTCGGTGCGATGTTTATTTTCCCATTCGACCTTAACTCGTAAGCATCTCATGTGCTGTAAATTTTCATTGTAATTAATTTTAATGGATATTTGCAGTCAGGGAGGGCTCGTCTCTTGCCTTTTGGGATGTATTTTCTTTCTCTTTTTTGCCTTATTGCTACGGTTACTTCTGGGTTTGCTTGTATTTCCTGACGGCTTCATCAATGAGCTTTTAATGTTTTCATTTTTTATTTATTTTCCCTTCAAATGTTTAAGAAGAATTTTCAATTAATTTCAAGGATCAAAAGGTCCTTTCTATTTAAATTGCCTCAATAATGTTGAAACAATTCCAATTTAAACATTGCAACATGCGAAATGATTAAAGAACCGAAAATCAACACAATTCAATTGAATGCGAGCTTTCCCACCAACCACAAAGCCAAACTGTTGGTAATTTTGAAAAGTGTTACGTGTGGCGAAGAATAAAAGCAGCAATTATGTGAGTTTCCGATATTATTTCATTTAAACGAGTTAGAAATTTAAATACACTAATATTTCTTGTTGGAAGGTGTAAGAAGATGGCAATTGTTATAACTTATAACACAAAAAAAAATTAATTTATTTAACAACGCTAAGCTTCACTAACTTATTTGAGCTTTTCCTTTTGTGTTGGAAATTTTCATAGCGATTAATCTCAATTTATGTGAGTGACGCAAAGTGAAGTAACTTTTCTGACACTGAAAGTTGTCAGATGTCATTTGGTCTGAATCGCGTGTTGAAAGTTCTCACGCTTGTTGATGCGTGAATTCATAAAATTTTTTGAACAAAAGATGGATTTAGAAGTTTACAAAGATCGAAGGCGTTGAAATTGAACAACCTTGAGATAAGTGAGAAAGCTTGTTCATGAATCACATGATTCTTGTTTTTCCTTAAATTTGCCGTTTCTGTTTCATACGACAATGTTGTTGCGAATTATCAACCGAATGTGTGTCAATATCATCGAAAACAAGATTTTTCGTTCCACGCCCACAATTTTCTTTTTATTTCTATCTAAATCAAATGTTTTTTGATAGAAAATTTCCGAAATTGATTTTCATGAGTAGCTTGAATATCAATGATGGAATAATCGCTAATTCACTTGATGTTTTCCTCTCGACTCGATTCATTCGAATGAAAATCTCTCGCATTGAGACTGATATCAATATACGGAATAATTTCGATTCCAATTTCGGATTAGGAAAATGTTTTTCTCAATGCGGTGTATTTTGATATTTAAGGAGAAACTTTATCCAAGCATTAAATTAAATCATTTCGTATTGAAGTCTTCTTCTTCTTCTTTTCTCTTCTGACAACTGATAAAACTTTCCTACATGAAAAGTTTATAAAACAGATTTTGAACTTGACACAGGTCACAAACGATAAACACTCTTCTAACAAATAAAATACTCTTTGTAAATGGTAAAATCGAAAAAAAATGTTTGCTAAATATTTCTCGTCGCTATGTTTAAGATTTAAGTACCTTCTAGCATAGCAGATTCAAAAATGTTTCTCAAAGTTCGGTAAAGATTCTCAACGTTCAACAATAACAACATAATAATCTTTCTTTTAGTATTTATTGTCATTCATCTGTAACGAATCAGCTTTCAAAGAATGACAAAATTCTCATTGAAATACTATCTAAACACGACTTTGTTATTCAACATTCTTCGAAATATCTTCAGTCTAGATTACAAGGATGTTTAACTTTGAAACTTCGCTTAAATTCCCTTTAGCAAAATCGCAGAAAATCAGAAAAAGAATCCTCATTTAAATTTATTAAAATATTGCACAAAGCAAAGCTGTTTGTCGGACTACTTTGTCAAGAAATAACAGCTTCCGTTGCAGCTATTGAGAATCTAAATTTTATGACCGTTGGCGATAACGTAATTTCACATCATCGATGATGCATCATTGAGACGCTAGAAAGATGAAAGAAGAAAAAAATGTAATTAAATAAGTCTGATATTTCTAAACGACTGTTGTTGAATCTCATTTAAAATCCATTAAAACTTAAACATTTTATCGTTTGAGAGATAAAAATTGCATGAATGTAAAAAGCATAATGATGACCCAATTTTTCTAAAGTATTCTCCCTGAGGCTAGAATGATATTCGTCATCGACGCTTTTAGAGACATCGCACACTGAAAAAGGTAGCAAATAGTGAAAATGAAACGATTTTAAGTTCACTGTCGAGATGATTTTGATGAAAGTCAGAGGAAAATGAAGAACAAAAATTTTCGCAATTTAAATCTTCGTGGCAAAATATTTTCAACGACGGGAGAGCCTCATGAATATCAGATGAAGTCAGACATCATAAATTTTATATGAACGCGAAAGCATCGACTGTGTTCCTTCCGAAAACCATTCAGCCATATTAAGTGTCGTGTTCTGAATATTGCTTAAAAATAAATTCTGATAAAATTCCTTTTTACTATCACTTCTTGATCTGTTGCAGCAAGCAGCAAGTACTAAAGACGTGAAAAGCTTGAAGAAAAGTTTGATAAAATATTCATTTAGGTGAATTGTGTTTTCTGTTAAGAAAGCATAAAGTTACGATTACTGGAAGACAATTTTCTCGAGATTTTCCCGAAAGATGGAAACTCGTGTGTATAAAAATAACTTTCAAATGAAATTAAATCAATTATTCAAAATGATCTCATACTAAGAGACAGAAGCAGGAAGTCAATTCACTTTACTTTTTAAATAGTAATATTAATTAAGTAATTGAAGCATCAGATCCTTTATAAAATTTGTAATAATCTCATTAGTAGCGAATAAAGGGAAGAATTCAGATATAAAAGGAGATAAATTATAAATGACCTGGTTAAGTATTCTCAAGCATTCCATAGAATCCTGTCTACTTTTTAGTCTTATCCTTGTCTCATTAAAATGATAATGCAAGTTGAACCCACTTAAATTATAAATATGGGTCCAATGGTGAATCGGATGATGAATGAGAAAAGTGATTTTCAGGAAAATGCTCCACTTCGTTATTCTATGTAAAATTCATTTCAGGATAACTTCGTTCATCAGAGAGAGAGAGAACGAAGATATTTATATAAACAAAGCTGAATCGTTAACAAGGGAACATCTGCAGCAACATCGTCATCGTTCACTTGATTTAGAGTCAAAATCATTCATTAAGCATTTTCCATGGTGAATTGCTTTTGCCTACTAACCAGAAAGATTCACCAAAAATGTCAACAAGAACAAAACGACCGAGAAAAGCGCAAGAACTTGACAATGCTTAGCGAATTATAAATTTGAAAAGCGGCAAACAAACAAAATGAATAAGGGAAATGTTAAGAAAGAACACAAGAAGGTGCTTAATTGCTTTATTATGACAATTGTCCCTCGTCTCTTTCAAGAATTAATTATAATAATCTAGCGGTTCATTTCGTGCTGCTGCTGCTGCTGATGGTGCTGAACAAATTCATAAATTTATCATTTTTCGTTGCAGATTAATGCTTTCTTTCTTGATTCACGTACATAAATATATGTGTTATGGATCCAAACGATGATTATTGTTATCATATACGAAAGAGAGAAAGAAACATTTTATATTTGCACAAAATTTCTGTTTGCATGTCGAATTATTCGCTCACGTTCGATGAATGATGCTTTTGTGGTAAGAGGAGAGATTTCATCAACATTTTAAACTCTTATTTTGTTGAATAAATGAACGAGAGGAAAGAAATATTCATGAGATGCCATTCATAAGCGTTTACGTACAATCGATCAACAAGAAACAAACGACATTCAATATCTTAATGATCGTTTAAAAAATTATTTAATTTTTAACCGAAATTAATGGAAATTTGTTGGCCCACGGCCGTAAGAGTCGGAAGAATATTCGAAAGCAACTCAAGATCATTAAATTACATTCTTTAAATCAATTACGTATATTGATGTGACTGTTGCGTGTGGTCGGCAGAAAAAAGAAGCAAAAAGATTTCGCCAAGGATTTTGTTACAAAAATAACTCTCATCAGCTTTCGGTGATAACATAAAATTTAAATACAATGGTCTTTTGAAGAGGTAAATGATGTTTTGAGAACATCGAAAAAGCGTAACAAAGTCGTCACGTCTCCAAAGTCGCAACCTAAATCTGATTAAGATGGTGGAATATAATTTAGATAATTTGTTAACCATTCCCCTAAATCTCGGACTTAACATGAAATCGGAATAAAGTGTGTGAGTAAATATAATTTAAATNAAAATAAATTTTAAGTTTAAAAAAATAACCTCATTTTCATGTAGATTTTTCACCTCGGACATGGGTGACTTCATGACTAATTTTCAGTCACTTCCACTCATTTCCGGGATGAACAATATGAAGTCAAAAGTTGCGCCATATAGTCTTCTAGAAGTTTTAAAAAAGATGAAGACGATATGACGCAACTTGAAAACTCGACTAATGTCCTCTGAAAACCCACTGTGTGGTGGAATATAATTTAGATAATTTGTTAACCATTCCCCTAAATCTCGGATTTAACATGAAATCGGAATAAAGTGTGTGAGTAAATATAATTTAAAAGCAGAAATTTGCTAAAATTATCGTTTGTCGAAAGCGTGGAGGCTGAATCTTCATCGACAGATGGGCGATAATAAAATAAAAGCTGCACAAATTTTTCTGCTGATTGAGGACCACCCATGACTACGCAAACCTCACAAAGCGTCCTTTCTTCCACACAAACGTTCGTAATTTGCACAGCAATAAAGTTAATCCTTCGAGACGTTTATGAAAATTCAATTGTTTCTTTTTTTCCATATTTTTTGACTTGCAAATTGAGGTATTCACTGAGAATATAAAAAAGCTGCTCCTTGGCATTCGCTGGTAAGAAAATTCAATTTCTGGTCTCTCAATTATTCAGATTTCTTTTCATATTTTCTTATGGTGGTCTCTTCTAACTTACTTGTTTACTTGCTCTCGAAACATGAAGCGACAAACAAAATTTTGTAATCTTATTTAATAAGTAAATTAACGTGTCTTTGTAGTAGCAGTCGATGCGATCGAAATAAATAAATCATCGACAGACAGCGGTAACATAAATATTAATTAATCAAATAAGAGAACTGACATGTCAGTAGGAAACAATTTAATTGTAAACAACCTTAACATGAATTCTTATTTTTAATTATCTATGTTAACTCTTTTAAAAATCTATTAAAGCTTTACCTTTTACTCCTTTCTTACCTATTTTTGTCTCACAACAGAAAGGATGTGAAAAATTTCAATTAATTTAGGAATTCTTTTTCAACTTCAAAACTCCACCTCTAACAGTAGAGTAGAGAGTGACCTTATCCTGTTATCTCGAGAGAGTCGTATGATTCTAAAGAATAATCTAAAATTCAAGAGTTAATTTGGGTCATGAAAGTTTCATTGCTTATGGAGCTCGTTATTTTGGGACAAGAAAGGAAAGGAAAGGAAGAAGATACGGTCGGTTACAATTTATAGAGACACGTTTGCCTTTTTGTAAATTACAGTGTGGGCAGTCACATTCAGGTGAAGTCAACTAAAAAAATGCAATTTAGCGAAACTTAATGTGCAAAAATATCAACGGAGGCAATATTTAAAGTTTATACGTTGAATGCTTCTCAGACTTTAATCTTTTCTTAACGAGTTTTCTTATGGAAGTTTTTCATCATAATGAATCATAAAATTATCTTTTGATCGTTGGAAAATACTGGTTTGAACTTTAAAAGAGAATATTTCATTTATTTACAAATTGTAAGAATCACGTCGAACATAATGGAAATTTTTCCATAATAATTGCGTACGTGACAAGAAACTTGTAGATCTGAATTCTTCTTATCTTGGCTCATGTATTACATTGTCCAAAATTTTACATAAATATGAATGAAAGTTAAGAAAAATTGTTTATCACTTCAATTTTAAAAAAACATGAGCAATTTACAACATAAACTTTGAACAAAAAGAATTGATTGTATCTTTGCACGTACTACATATTTACTTACGAACGGTTTGGTCAATAAGTTATTGTTTAAGTACTTGATAAGATCCATGTCAAGCGATTTAAACAAACAATAGATAAACGTTCCTAGAACTTCCTTTCAAGGCATATTTTGACTCAAGACAATTTCTATTAATACGCTTTCTGACAAAATATTATTGTTTAATTAATGAATATTTTAGAAATTCTGATAGCTTAATGTTCCTTGATACTAAAGCTCGTATAAATATTTAATAAGAAAACATGTTCTTGATAATGTCATCATTGCACGTATGCATTCATTCATAAATTTGCGAAGAGAATGAAGTCCAATAACATTCTCGTCTTTCATTTCCATAAATAATTTATAAATGCGCACGAAAAGAAAATATTTTTATGTTTACAAAATTTGATATCAAATTGTTTAAATAATTTTGATTTACGAGCGACACAACATTCAGGCCACTAATTTGACTTGACGACTAATGATGCTTGTGAAATCATTTGTAACTTAGATTTTTATTGTTGTCTTTGAGTTTATTATAATAATTTTTTGAATTTAACTTTAATGATGAGTTTCTAAAACACAAAGGCGTTGTGAATAAATTAAATTAAGTGATAGGCTTATGCTATCATTAAATTAAAAACCAAAATTACGACATACCTACTCGTGTAAGAAAATTTCTTTATAATTTTTGGCATTTGTTTACAAATTCGTTTAATGTCAGAAATTTGATGTTGATTTAAATTAAATCATTTTCCTTTGTAATTTGAATAATTTCCAAGATCTCAAAGAGTAAATTTCGAAATTCAATTTTTCGAAAATTAAGTCAAAATATTCCCCAATCCGTTCCAACATCCACAAATTATTATCAGAAGAAGGAAAATTTTTATATCCATAAAATCATTCGTCGACAACGATGACACACCTCAACTTGTCTCCTTAATTTACCAAAAACTTTGGAATAAAAACAGACATTCACATCATTATCATTCATAATATTTTCATTATAAAATTTTCTCGCTACATTAATAACATTGAGAACTGATGATGAGCCTCGAATGTCGAAGCTAACAAGCGCGAGACACAAGACTTTTTATCGTGAACAAGCTTCATAATGAAATTACGCAAGGAGTGTGCTGTTAAAGAATCAACAGTTATTTATCATTAATTTAGCTTTTTATATAAATTTTCACATTAAAGATTGCTTTTAGACTTATGACTTTTGATACAATCTAATGTACTCGTGACGATAGTCAATTGCTTTATCACTTGTTGTTTTGTTTGGCGACTCCAATTGAACTTTATGAATAGTCAAAACAACACGCGATAAAGTGTCACGTTTTGGAATGCGTGTGTGAGACTTCCATCCACTTATCAACTGCTGAATATTTTTTTTCCCATCACTCATCATGTACGTCAAACGAATCTATTTTTAAGAATCAGAATTTAGTTCAAGTGAGTTCTGAAAGTGGACAATCGAGTGGAGGTTCAAAGGTTATCAAAACGTCGCAGACGGAGGAATTAAGAAAGAAAAATTAAAAATAATTTGAAAATAAATTTTACACGCTTCAAGCGATCCCAGCATTGATTTTAATCTTGGGGTGAAAACTTTGTTTTTGCAGAAGAAAGTTTATTAATTTTAAAGATTTATTTCGTCTCGAGTTTTTTATCGCAGTTTGGCTTTTGTAAAGGATCAACATACTTTAGCTTCGATAGACAAAAACTTGTTCGTTTAATGCTCCTTTTTATTATGAAAAGCGTGACGAGACAAATTTTTTTCTTAAACTCTCCTTGACTCGTATATTTAGGAATTCAAATAACAGGAACACCCTTTAATTAGTCAAAAGACGCAGTCATCGGTATCGTTAAAGCTCATAAAATTTACAAGCACTTAAAACCCGATTTAGTTGAGAGCGAAAGTATTGGCGGTTTCCCAAGCAATCGTTGCAACATTTATATGAATGAAGACTTAATTTCAATCCCATTCGAATCCCAAAATCATCGCAAACTTGTTTTTTTCTTCTCTTTTATGGCGCGCAGCGGACCCAAACGGGCTGCACAACACAAAAAAAAAGATTGCGGATCCTCATTCGATAATTAATTGTCGAGTTTGCTTTATTTCTTTTGCTTTGCCTGCTTCATTATCATCAGAGAAACCTTCCGCGAAAAAGTTTCTCCCCTCTTTTGTATTGCGACATTGGCTTTGGGTGGTTAATTTAATTTGATTCAATTAAAATATTATCGTCATTTCGCGTTCCAAAGGTTCTTCTTCAGTCTCGCTTCAACGATGCTTCTCGATAAATATCCGAAGACTGATTTGGATCTCCTAAGAACGGTTGTAGTGTCATTGAAATATTTGAACGAGTCAAAACTTTGTCCTCTTAATGTCTTCAGAGTTTCTCTTTTGTTTATGAAGATTTGACTCGCAGACTCAGTAAAAATCTGCATGTCGGAATTTTGTTGCAAGCGAAGCCAAAGAAAAGCGAATGTAATAACATAATTTAAATTAATTTGCTTCCATTAAGTATTTTCCGCGCTCAAACTCATTCAATGATTTGCTTCTCTTTCCTTATCTGCCTGTAACAATCACAAGAAGCTCTTCATGAATTCAAGTGCAGAAATCTTCTTGCAACATTTAGCAGAGACATACATAAGAACATAATTTAATATATTGCTTGTAAAGAAAATGATTTTCACCTAGAGAACGATAACTTGTTTACCCGACAACCTCATTGATTCTTTTGCTTTCTGAAAATTTTCTCAAGCAGACTCTCAGTTTACCTTCTTGATGCACTTCAAAAGATTATATCAAACATCTTTGCATAAAGTTTTGTTCTCCAAACCAAAGCGATGTCGAATAAATATTCTTGCGAGATGAAAAAAAGGCGAAAAGAAACTTCTTTTGTTGTAAATGATATCAAACCGACAAAATCTTCATCTCCCCTTTGTCATAATACTAAATCTTATGAAGCTTGTTAGCTCACATTCTCCGCATCTTTCTCACTCTCTTCGTCTGTTCCACAACTCTTCCCAAGCGATTGTCATTAGTATTCATGTTAATTGAAATTTATTTTATTGTTTTTCCGGCAACGTCTGGAAATGTGTGTAGTTGAACATGAAAATCATTGCGAATCATAAGCATGCGAAGCGAACCATATAAAGTATGAATCACACAACACTTTGAAGACTTTAACAGTTGCAATTCACAGAAACAAAAATTTCATCTCGAAACAACGCGATGTAAATAAGTTTTTAATTTATTTAACTTGTTAGGCTGCCGAGAGGGATTTCTACTTCTTTTTTTTCTGCTGTTGTTTAAAATGAGAAAAAAAAATCGCAGCAAATTCGAGGATGAAGACGAGAAGGAGATAATTTATTATAACCGAAAAAATAAGCTAAAAGGTCTGCGATTCTTCATTTTCATCTTCTTTGTCGACTGTTCCGAAAGAAGATTACCAGAAATATTGTGAACTGAAATTTTATTATCGCCTTTTATCACATTTTAATCTCAACTGTTAAGTTAAATTTGACAGAAGAAGCTCAAGCTGTTAAAACTGTTCAATTAATTTTATTGAAAAATTGGTTTTTCCCCGATGTTGAGTTTGAATCGGAAGAAGAAAATCGTCTAATCGAAGGATTTTCGTGAAGGATACAAATGAATGGAAGTTTGAATTCATATGATTGTCAAAATTTTAATTAAATTCCTTTACAAATCATTAACTGTTTAAAATATTTAACAAGCAATTGAATTTGTTACTTCGACTTTAGAATTTGCCACGACAATTTCGCTCGAATATTAATTTCAATTCACTTCATAACACATGAGTAATTTTAACACGAAACATTTCCACAGTGCCGAGAGCACAAAGCAGACAAAAAAAAAATATTTGAAACGTAACATTTTTAAAATGTTCAGCTTGTTGTGCAAGAATAAATTAATTTCCCATGAGAGATGATAGCTGAGCTTATTATGAAGTAGTGTGGGATTGCTGCTATTGCTACAATTCTCTATCTTTTTGTTGTTTTCGGATGGTTAAGCTACCGAAAAACGATACGCTTTAGCTTTTTTAAGTGTGCTCGCGAGACGAGACGAGGTTGGCGATGCGCCACGAACTTTTCAACTCGCTAAGCGCACGTAGATTGATGGAAAAAGAATAAAAGAAAACAATTTAGTCGTTTCCGAACCATTAAAATCATTGAAATGATTCACGCCAAACATCATCAAAGTGGAAAAAGAGATCGCAGCATAGCACTCGGCACTCGGCAAGTTTGAAATAATAAAAGAAAAAAAAGTAACGTTGAGTTAACGATTTGGATCTATGATCATATTAATGGATTCATTTCGATCTGATGATTTTAAATAATGAGAACTTTCTGATTGTTTTTTACCATCGTTGCGTTCCGTTCAAACGAATGATGTTGAATGAAGTCAGATGAAACCAGTAACGTATGCTTTTATGATATCATTGACTTCATAAGGCAGCTGATAACTAACAACTTTCTTTTTTTTATTTCAATCGGAAAAGAAGAAGATGAAGAAAATCAAATGATTGCATGATGATATGCATCAAATCCTTTTCCTTAACGTTTCTTCACAGGAAGTGATTTTTAAGAAATTCAAAACAGATTCAAACTGTTTTACTTCAGACAGGGAGCACCTTTAAGGCGTGTGTGCACGTCAGAATGTCATGGTTGAGTGAATAAATTACCCACGAGAGCCTTTCATGAGAGTGAATTTAAAGACAAAGTCACTGATGATAAAGGAATGGTTGAATGTTACATTTCTTATGAATATTTCCATTTAAAGAAATTTCTAAATATTTCAACAAAAGAATGAGATTGAGAAGAAGAAAAAAGGATTGTAATCAAAACCACACACACGGAACCATGAACATTGAAAACGAAAGGGAAGGAAAAGGAGAAATAAAGGCAACAGAAGCAATTATCGGTTCCTTCTGGCTACACGCGGCCTTAACTTTTAATTATTCACAGAAATCAAGATTAAAATTCATAACACGATATAGAAAAAAGAGAGAATTTGAAATCTTCTAGTTGAAACTACCTGCTCCTAAAAAAGAATGAAATGAAATTTTTGGCTTAATTGTTCAGGGCTTGTTGATGCAGACTGTTGACTCCATCAACACACCGTGACTCTCCTTACTTCGATATCCCTGACCAACTTCTGTACCCCGTAAATCAGGCTGTGCACACGACCGGTCGCGCGTATACAATTCGGTCATGAATGAGCAATGTTTCGTTTCGTTATTATTTTCTTTCTTGTTTGGAGTTCATTTCGCCGAAAATGCAACCAAATGAATCCTACCAAATCGAGACGAGCTCGAAACTTCCTCTTCAACTTGCTGTTTGAATCGCAAATTTAATCGATTCTTCTTCTCTCTCTCTCACTCACCTCGTCGATTTCCAAATTAAGCGAGGAAAACAAAAATAAGATTCGCTAAAGAAGCATGCAAATTAATTTTCTTTCTTCTTCAGTCTCGGTTGGTAATCGGAAATGTAAAATTAGCTGTGGAAATTTCACGTGAAATTCATTGCAGTGGTGAGTTAACGAACGGAAGAAGACTTCAGTTATGATGCAAACTCAATAGACGCTTCAACTGTTCAGTGTTGATTTATGGCAAAGCTTCGGAAATCTCTCAAATATTTTTCATATTTCGTCGTCACACGTAAAGTGTTGACATTCTGGTCACATAATTTCAAGCACATTTAAATTATTCGTCTAAATCAAATTACTGATTATGTTGAGAGTGATTTCTACATTACTTCTTTAAAACATTCGACATATTTCCCGATTAGGTGAAGCGCACATAAAATTAGCTAGAAATAAAAAAGATTTTTCTTCCATTTACTGCTGTGTGGGGTATTTGGTGTTGGTTTGTTTTTGCTGTCGAAGACTGGCTGCTTATCGATTCACACGACGATTCATCAAGTTAAATGGGATAATTTTCGATTACTTTTATGGGTTGCTGGCTGCAATGTTGTCGATCGTCGATGTCGTACTTTGCAACATATGCCAAAGTGACTATAATTCAATACTTAAGTAAACTTCTCGCTTTCTTGGCGAGATTGTCGTGTTGCCATTAAAGCATGTTGACTCCTATTTGAGTATTTTGCCATCGGGTAAGTTTCGATTGCCGTAATTATTAAATGGCAATCTTTCTGTCAAACCAATCATTACCACAATAAGACATAAGTTATTGAACGCAATTGGATGTAGGTAGAAATACATAAGTTCTTTTCATCCATATTTGTTCCATACGTTTTTGGTGAAAGAATCGAATGCGACTGAATTTAAATTGCATGCTTGTGGTTGTCTTCTTATTTAAAATGTAAGTAATGTCGAGCAACAATGAAGCAACTGAATAAAAGAATGGAAAACGAAGCTATGAGAAAGACACAAACCATCAACGAATTTGTTTGCTTACCGCCGCGAAAGATAAATTGTTAAACAATTTGACTCTCGAATTGGAAGCGAATGCGAAACGAGAGACTTTTATGGAGATAAATACGACGCATAATGTTGGGTAGAATGCGGTAGTACAATAATTAAATTGACAATCGTTAAATGTGCTTTACAGTTGCAACCTACCGCCATTATTGTTATTTTCAACTGAAATCTCTCTCTTATTGTAGCTTATCAGACAGCATTTGTTGGACCACTAAAAGCTTTACAATCCACCGAATGAGAAAAAAAAAGTCAATTTAATTTCACTAAGTGCTAACCCTTTTTAAGCAAATTTTAATAAGAGAGAAACATTTATGTGAAGTGCTTTAAAAATCGATAACGTTGAACGCGAAATGTTTTTTTTTGTGGCGATCTTTAAGGAACATCCCGCTGTGTGGTGATAGTTTCACTTTAAATTGCAATATTTCTTCTCTCACGCCATATAAATAAATAATTAAATTTTTATAAGCAGCTTCGTCAACAAATTTTTGGGGATTTTTCTGTTTCGTAACCTTCACAAAATTTTCTTCTTCTCTTCGTCATGTTTTTTTTCGTGTTTTAATGTGAACGTGTGAATTATGGGGAATTTTGTATATAATCACAGACTTAATTTCATTGATAGATAATATTTCACAAGATGAAAATTCCAGTGTGGAAATTAAATGTATAAATAGCTGTCGTGTGTCGTTTTCATGCGTAATCTTTCGAATTTCCTTAAGACGTTCATTTGAATACATCAAATGGTGATGGCGATAAAACTTCTGCAACTCACACATCACATAGAGAAGATGAAATAAAATTAAACTTTCAGCAGTAAGTCGGTTTTAAAAGATTGGATAAGAATTAATTAAAATAAATTTGATGCTAAAACTTTTCCAATGAGAATGTTTCATTAGTAGCTGATGCCGATAAGTGTGTCGGGTGTAGTTTTTGAATATTTAATCTTGTCTTTTCTCCGCTCATTTGAATAATAAAAGAATATTCTGATAAATGTTGACCTGTTACCGGCGTGGCGATTGGAATCTCTTCTCTTCGCTTTGCTTCTTTCTGATCAGTTAATTTATGTCCAATTTACGGGCCATTGGCGCATGAGATTCCCATTTAAATCGATGCTATCAAAGGTGTAATGAATAGCGGTTAGAGAAGAACACAAACTGGAAGTCTTCGACTCATTCTTCTTTTGATTGTTAAACTATCAAATAGACATTGACATCTTATGCATGAGAAAACGATTTAAAAAGATGAAAAATTATAATTAATATTAATCTCAAAAATTTGTCGAAATATGTCCGCTTGTATAAATAATTTTTCTGTGGCGCATTTTTAATTGACTGGCGGTTGTTGTCAAACAACAAATTTATTTCAATTTTACAACCTTACGCTGATTTTTTTTCTCTCTCTTCGTTCATCATGACGACAAAACCAGATGGGAATAATGTGGGCGATTTGTGTTGTTGTTGATGATGATAGTCATATCATAAATAACATTAAAAAATTTTTAATAGTCAAGAGCTGTAAAAATTTATATTCTCTGACTTTTCATTCGAAAAAATGTTAATCAAGTGGAACACGACAGAATTGGGAAAATAAAATTCAACTCGATGAATCCCGAATCAAGTGCAAGTTGTTATGACAAGAAAAGACTTTTTTTGTCTTCATATAAATTAAATTTGTTGGCGTTTATAACATGACAGAGTGCCTTGCTTGCAATGAAAGACCGGCCATCAAAAAACTTTTTAGATTAATTACTTTGGGAGTCATTTAAGATGAAACGCCTAAGGAATTCTGAATGAAATTTCAATAATTTATTACATCTCGAACTGCCTTCAAAACTTTTCTGAAAGTCATGTAATTATTCGTAATCTTAAACATTACGCATTCAAGAAGATTATCTCAGGGCCAACATTTAAACCTTTTTTCATTACAAGTCCTTTGTCGTACAATTGTAGCTGATTATTCATGATAAATTGCAGTTAATTGAATGTTTTAAACGTCTTTGTGTTGTGTTGAGCTGCGAGCAAGAACTTTAAACTTTGTCTTTTGTCTTTCGATAATGAAATTCCTTAATTTATTTTTTTCCTTCTTTCACCACTTACAACAGGAAGAAACAAAGTTTCAACAGAGAAACTTGGGTTGAGAGTCAACTTTTTTGTTCCAAGTAACTTTTTAGTTGCCTTTGTTGCTTTCGGATGTTTACAGAGTAAAGTTAGTGAAAGATTCTTATTCTTATTCTTGGAAAAGTAAACTTTTTTATTTTTACTGAATTAAAAATGAATTTCAAAATGACTTTTGCGTCGACTTTAAAGGAAACAACACCAAAGCTTCAATAACAAATGTTATTTATAATCATACGACAAAAGCTTGTCCACATGGGTTTATCAAATGCTGACTTTATGTGGTCTTGTAATCGTTTAATCTTCCACTTGGCTTCACTCACCTCACACGTCTAAACAAGAAACATGAAACAACCATCACATTGAATTAACAATTTTGCAATCTGCGGGTGTGAATCAATCTTTAACTTCTCTCGCTCGGCTTCATATTATTCAGAAAAGTTAATGATGTTATGATTGACACCTTTCTTGCTTGGATCGTATAATAAAACCATTAAAAAGCAAATTAATGTAAGCCGTCGTGTGTACTTCAAGTTTTGGGGCGGCGAATGAACACGAAAAGCGCCACAAAAGATGAGTAAAAATAATTAACTGTTACAAGATGTGAGGTGTTCGAAATTGCATCAAATTAATGGCTTCACGTCTTGAATATTACATTTTTAATCATTTTTAATTGTTTCGGATCAATTTGAAGTTTCAAGTCATAATTGTGGATGTTGAAAACTGGTTGAAGTGACATTTAAAGTGTTAAAGACCTCGTTTTCAATCAAATCTATTTTCCGGTTGATAACAATGTTGTGTTCATGTTGAAAAGTGATCGAAAACTTATTGACGTGTCCAACCAGTCAAACACGGATGGATTTAGTTGGAAATGAAATTCTCTGGAAGTGAAAAATTTAATTAAATTTTGTCATTTATTGACTTTGCTTTCTTGCCGTGAATGTTTTCATTCTTTGAAGGTTTTTCTAAATATTAAAATTCTTCCAAGCCCACCAAAGCCACAATTTTAAACTCTGCCTTATCGAGCATTCTCAATATTTATCCAATGGAGTTGAAAGATAATTTAATTAAAGTTTAAACTTCAATTACTTCGACTTGTCAATTAAAATCAAGTTTTCAAAATCATTAACTTTCGAAATGATCATTTGTAACTTGAACAACGTGCGACAACAACAGCATCAGAGATTCCGCGATATAAAGTTAATTAATTTTCAGTTCACATACCTACAGCAGAATAAATGCGGGAGGAAATTAATTGAGATCGAAAGGCGGCACGTTATTTAATTAAATTTAAAGAGTTTTTTGATTTTTCAATTTTTAATTTTATTTTATATTTCAGTCAAGTGTTTTGGGGGTTTAAACCTTTAAACTTTAAAAGCGGATCAAGATCGAGTGAGAAAAAGATGAAAAATGAAAAATTATCCGTGGCAACGAAACATTTTTGATTGTAATTAATGATTCAGCCCTCTTGTTATTTATTGCTGTTACCAGAAAATGAAGCTTTCTTCCTTAAGAACAATAAAAAGATGTCTAAGACATCTCTCACATACCATGAAGTTCATGATAAATATTTTTAATTATTTAAAGATTAAATCATCTGATAGGCGAAGACTGCCGTCACAAAACTTTTAATTTCTTGTCATTTGAATAAATATTTATGCTCGTAAAGTTGTTTGTTACATTCAAGAGATCTTAAGCGGCAGATAAATAAACAGAAACCTTGCTTTTTCAGAGCTCAGAAGCGATAACGAACAAACGAAGAAGAATGAGAAAGAAGTTGGTTGATATTAATGAAAAAAGTGTGGCAAGATTCTCATGCGATTAAATAACGATTTATAAACGAGTCTCGTGTGAATGCGTTGTCATCCAGAAAACTGCTGCAGAAAGCTCGTGTCATTGTCTGACTAAGTTCAGTGTTCAACTCATGATTACTAGGTGCTCAACAAGCTGCTAATACCAGAGTAAAGAAGATGTATAAAGCGCAATAAACCTGTCATTTTGCCATAATTCATAAGCACATGACGATGATATAAAATCGTGAATTTGTGTGTTAAAAGCGCTTATTTCGAAAATCGCTCTGCAAGGGGGATAAATTTTTTTATTTTCTGATTTCCGATCGTATATGATTGAAATGGAAAAATAAACATAAGAATAGCTCGCAAGTCATTCGAGCCAGGCGCTCCATGGCGAACGAATGAATAAAAAATTATATTAAATATTTACACCATGTCTTTGACAATCAATATGTTAATTGAGAAATCAAACAGAAAAACCAGCGGATTTTTATTGTTGACGATATTTTACGACTTTTTCAATGGGTCATAATGGTTGACGTAAACTCAACAAAAAAAAAAGCTTTTTCGTACGCAGAAAGAAGCATATCGTGATTGTATGTTTAAGATGACGTCATTTCGGAGAAAACTTATAAAAGCGGTTTAGCTAAAATGATGTTGCTAATATTTGATTCTTGAAAGACAAAAATAAATCACTCGCCACTGTTTCAAGCTTTCTCTCTGTCGTTCTTATTAAGATATCTCTTTATTTCAATTCCCAGCTAAAAGCACATTTTAACAGTAATTGAATTAAAGTTCGTAATGGTTCAATTACCGTTCAAGCATTCAACAGCAAGTAGCAGAAGAAAAAAAAAGTTTCGAGTGCTATAAACATCAATTTTACTTAAATCCATTGCCGGCTTTCAAGCATTGTACGAAGCAAAATTTTAAGAAAGTAACTTTTTCGTGCTATCAGCTCTTTTTTGTTTGGCTTGGCACGCGTTGAGTGAGATGAACACAGCGACTGTTGGCTTAGTAACGCGACAATGGTCTTTGAAAATATTTTGTCGTTTAGCAAACGGCATTACCATCATTTCAACTCCGTTAATGCCACGACCTTTCTTTATATCTCTACTTACCGACTTTAAACTGCAATGCATTTCAAGCATGATAAAAATATTCTTTAAAAAGTGAAACGAAACGTCAGAAACGTGTCGAATGAGAGGTGAAAATAGCTCAACATCTATGATGTAAGAAGCACAATAAAGTCTCATATCGTTGGGTTTTATGAGATTTAAAATTTTTATTGGAAAGAAATTTCTTGTGAAGTTTTTCAAAAATCAACTATTCAGTGAAATGACTTTAAAAAACAAACACGCCATCACCGGAATTGCGGATTATGGTCTAATGACTTAAACGCTCTTTGAATTTTGATTCACAATTTGATGTTTTATTCAGCTTCAACCGCCCGCATCATATCTCTGCATTGATTGTTCACGGTGTTGTGAGTCTTGTAACTTTTTATGTACTTCTGACAGTTTTACACTACAAACATAATTTTATGTTCCCCTAGTAAATACAACATTTCAAATGTGTTGCTTTCGTTAACAAAGTTAAGTTTTATGATTGAAAGTTTCCCATTAGTTAGCAGTTAAACATAATTTTTCAAACATTAAAATCAATGATAATGTTTTCCTCGATTGCACTTTGTACACAATAAAGACAAAAAGAAAATATGAAAAGTTTTAAATTTCCTTAATCTTATATCGCTTATGCTGGTTCAAGTGGATAATAAGAAATATTTTCTGAATTACCATAAAATGAATCTTGCAAATTGTTTTATCATCGACAGCATCTTCAAGAATATCATTTGAAAAACTTTATACAAGTTTCAGAAAAGTTTTGTTTGATAAAAAAGTTGGTTTTGGAATTGCAAAGATAGCACTTGAATTAAGAAAAAAGCTTTGCTTAGCAATATTTTTATTTTCAATCGAATTAAATATTCAAGATGAACTTTTCCTCACAAATAATCAAGTTTCAGCATCAAACGGGAGTTATGGTAACAAACTGTTAATTGAAGAGCTTAATTGCACTTTCAATCGATTATTGCATATCTTCTGTTTGAGTTACTCTCTATACTTAAATAGAAATTTCTTTGAGAGTCTCTCGGTGTATCATTTCATTGATTTAAGTGAATGTGAAATGGAAATCTAATTTAGAATTTTATTGCAAGCTGCTTTGCTTTTAATTTCTTTTATAAAGCATCGCGCGAAACAAACGAAGACATCAAGTGCTTCATAAACAATGCTTTATATAAAAGTTTTCAAGTAAATTGGAAATTATGCGAGTTGAAGAATCGAAACCATTAATGGCAATGCCCAGAAGCCTTGAATTCGATTTCGTCTGAAACGATAATCGTTTGTATATTATCATGAGGATGATGGCGAGAGTTGAAAGATGCTTTAAGATTTAAGAGAAAAAGATAAGAATGAGAAATTAAGAGTCCGAAAAAAGATTTCTTCGCCCACTTGGCAATCTCCCTCGAGAGACATAAGAAAAATCGCTTTCCAAGATTTTGTGAGTATATTTAATGCTTCTTTACGATTTGCATGTTAAAACGTAAAAGCGTAAGAAAATTGAGATTTTCAACAAGATAACTTATTTAATATATGATTACACGGCAAGTCAGGGAAGAATTACAAGAATCTTAAGCCTTCATTTGCATAAACGGGACGCCTTCGATCTGCATCGCAAATGAACGAAGAGAATAATTGTCAAGGTGTTAAATACAGAGAATGAGCGTAAAGAATTATTGGCATAATTATGTATTTATATGCTAATCTCACATCTTGTGACGAATCTGTTTGTAACAGTTTCATGCTTTATCATTCACAGCGAGATGAGATTTTCTATCTTAAGATAAACGGTAGATGAAGTGAATTGATTCATTACAAAAGGTTGACAGTGGTGCTTTTGCTCTTCATAAAATGAATAATTTTCATGCTTATCCCCCTCAAATCAATCTTTGATTTGTCGTTTCCGTAGCTGACCATTATTTACATAAATCTACAATATTTTATCTTAAGCTCATTCTTTCCTTTCACAATAATATTTATATTATGAAAGTTTTACGCATTTGACACTGTGCTGTTTATTGTTCGGAATTGCAATTTATTTCGAATAAAAAATGGATATTAGAAGAGTGATTAATTATAGAAATTATAGACGTAAAAAATGAGTTCACATTCAGAAGCATCTTCCGCAATTCTTTATGAGTTTGCATTCCACAATGAAATTGACTAACACTCATTTGATTGAGCAAAAAGAAATTGAACTTCAAATTGTCTTGTTGTAAATTTTTCTTTTATTCTTCGTCAGTATGATTTATCACTTTCAAGATAAATCTGAGAAATTTTTAAATTGTTGAGAAACAATTTTCTCCATCGCTTCTTTCAAATTATAAACGCACATCTTTAAGATTCATTTTTTAATGTTTTATTTTATCGTTATCATCATTATCATCGAGTGAGCGAGTTCAAAGACGTCAGAGATTCTTTTTCTTTCAGTTTAACAAGCCTTTTCACACACCGTTAGAGGTAATTTGTCGGCAGTTAATTAAAACTTTCGAATATCAGAAAAGTTTTGAAGATTCGATTTTCGCCCAATGAAATGAAGAAAAGCATTTGAAATTAGTCTTCAATAATTCAATTCAAAAATTAAGTAAAGTGTTGGACATTGTCGTCCATTAGAACAGGCTGAGTTAATTATTGTGAGTTATTTAAAAGAAAAACTGATTCGAAAAATATTTCTGCATTTATTATCAGAAAAAAGTTCTGTGTAATTGCAAACTTACGACGTACTTTTGATCACCATAATTGTCCGCACTTACAATTTCCATGTTGAGATGGTTTACGACTTTTGTTTACGTTAATTTAATTAATTACAGCTCTATACACTTTTTATATGTTTCCAATCAAGATTCCATTAAACTTGTCATTCAAGATAATGAAGAATTTTCTTATTTATTTTTATGAAGAAAGGAAATTGTTTAGGAGTTGAGGGAACAGTTACTTTAAACTTTAATGTTGCTTGATTACGAAATTTTTTCTGACTTTCGATGATGATTGAGATTATGGCGAATCCCAAATGAAAAACTTGTATCATACTGCAATCTTATTTTATTCTGAATAATGAATGGAAAAAAATCAAGGAAACTACATCAAAGGAGTGCTTAATGGCTACGGTACTCTTTGCTCCCTCTCATCATCATCTTTAGCATTTTAAGCCTTTCTTTTTATACAACTGAAAGACTGTAAATCGACGGCTTGCAATCACGACGCATTGTGAATTATTTATTAACCATAAATTAGATGCAATATTTACAAGTAATGCCTATTAAAGACATAAACACTCGCGTTATAAAAAGCGATAAAAAGTACATCGTTCTCTTTGCGTCTTGTTGTCTGGATTCAGCAACACTGAAATGATAAATTGAATAAGCACATCTCTCCCGGTTATGCTACATAAATGTTATTTATGTGAATTTAATTGCATGCCCATAAACAAAGAGCGGGAATGTAAAGTAATTAGTGTTGCAAACAGCAGCAGTCAGAATTTTATTTCGTAGCATAATAAGAGCATGAGACTGTAGCTGTTGAGAAAGTTTAAGCGATTGCAGATCTTGTGCTCTCTGAAATGTCTTTTTCCTTTTTTTTTCGAGATGTTGCAGAAACTAGACCGTTGACAGAATAAGAAGAATTAAAAAAATTCTCAAACGGATGAGTTGGCAAGTGCAAACAACAGCCAAAAAGTAGCATGATAAAGAATTTTGTTGAAATCTGGAATAAATAATGTCCCAGAATGCAATCTGTTTTTAAAAGTTCACGTGCGATTACTGCAGCGTGTCTTCAAGTCGCATTTATTTTTAATTATATTTACTTTTGTTCTCAGCTTGGTTTTGCGCAATCATAAAAATCATTCTTAGCAATGCACTTGAGATGTGAACAAATTTAAAGATATTTTTCTTTCATTCCGCTCTGTTTGTAAATATATATTATCTTGATAAATATCATCCAATTTGTCTCATGTCTCTTGTGGGATAAAAGAATATTAATAAAAAAAGAAGAAACGTTGCAGAAAAAAAATTCATTAGCGCTGATGATGACCGCTGTCATTGAGCGGCTTGAGTCAACTTCACATGCAGAATAAAAAGGAAAACGACGGGATTTGGACGTAATTAGATTAACATTCTTATTCCAGTCATCATATTTAAGCCTTTTTTTCAACAAATGCGGCAACGGTAAGCAACTACATAATTTTTGGATTTTAATTTAAAAATTTCATCGCTTATTGCCATGGCTCGTTACTGTGTAGAAGAACGTTGGCTTATCTTGCCTCCACTTGGTTGGGAATACCAATTGAATAAATATAACAGAAAGTCCTCATTTCAGTAACTTAATCCCATGGCCTTAACGATTATCATTTTTGATATTATAAAAATAAAATGTCTTCTGACGACTTAGTTATCTAAATGAATTTAACTCGAGCTGTTTTAATTAAAATTTATCAAACATGACTGCAATTACATCTTATAGCGATCTATTCGTATTACGTGAGTAGTATTGAACATTGCTAACTGGTTGTTGAAATGTTTTTATCATCATCGTTTCCTCAAATCATATCGAATGAAAAAATTACGATGAAAAGGAAAAAGAAATCTAATCATATTGTAAAAGTCGGTAATTAAACATTTCCAATTTATTTAACACTACAAACGATTTTTATCTTCTTGAATAGACGTGACGATCAAACTCAACGATTGAACGAGTTTTTCTAATTAGAATTTTTTTTCACATTTTATCCAATCGAATGACGCAAGGGAAAAATTAATAATTTTTACATGTTAATGTAGCTGAAAAATCTTCTTTTTCATTCGACCCTTGTAAGCATGAGTCGAAATTGATTCATAATTTTCCTGTCTGATGAAGCAGATGATAAAAATGAGAACAAAGGCATAAAATTTTCCGCAATTGCAATCACCAAATTGGCTTTCAATTAGCATGCTACCCGGAGGCCTTTCAAAGATTTATAACAAAAGACTTTAAATTATTATTGAACTCTGATTTTTTCGGGATAATTAATATTATAAATTTTCGATATTCGGACCCAATTGCAAATGAATGCGCACTTTTGTTTGAAGTTTTTTTTCCCTTCTTTACGTTGTTTTTGTTTTATGTTTTCATTACGCGGATTAAATTTATGTCGCTTACAAATTTTTATTTTCGTGATTGTCTTAAAAGAGCGAGGAATATTTTTTAATTTAAAAACCAAGAATGAATCATTAAATCCAGTAAATAATAAAAGTTTTTTTCTGCTTTTAAGACAAACAGTAATTAAAATGAATGTTACAGCTGAGTATTGATGTTTCTTTTAAAATTGGAATTCTCTGTGGAATTAAAACTACAATGTTGCTTTGTGGAGTTTGGAGAAAACTTATGGAATTGTTTTTATGATCTTTTAAGTCGATATTATGATTCGTTTTATGGACAAATTGACGACATTAAAAATATTTATTCAATCGAATTTTGCTTTATAAATTTGAAAATGAATCATTAATGCTATCTGAGAATTATCCATTAAAGGATTAGATAGAAATATTTCCATCAAAGATGTGCTTTGCTAAATGAATTAAGAGGATAAATATTTTATTGAATCGTGTGCAGATTTTCAAAGATTTTTCGCTTTCATATTTATTCATTCTATGCTGCAACCAGTTAAACTTTCGATCTGAATGTTTAACTTCACCAATCATTCGATTAAAATCTTCTGCAGTTGGTTTCATAAGTGAATAAAAGTTTCCTGAAGTTTATTTAAGAAGATTTGTTAGATAATTTCCTCAAATAAAGTTGCAGAAATATTTCTGATAACGTCATAATGAATTGTTAATTTATTTTCTTAATTGTTTTGAATTTAATAACTGAATAATGCCAATTAAATACTTTCAATAACAACCTTCTATCGCCTGATAATGAAATTTGATTAAACTCCCAATGTAGTTATTTTAAGCCATTCGTATGCATTCCAAAAATCGATTAAAATTAAAATGAAACCCTCTTGATAATTCTCCTACAAAGTTTGTATTGTTAAATCCAATCCACCAGTAACAACATAAGTTTCATGTAATGTGTACGTTTCACATTAAAATTCATATCCCGATTCGGACACATACAAGAGACTCATTGTATGCAAATGATTGCATTTTAATCATGTGTTATAATCATCATGCATTGTGAAATCGCTGAACACCAAACAACTCCCAACCTTCAGCGTTTGTGCCTTTGTCATTGTCAACTTGCAATTTTTTTTATTTCCATTTCGTGTTTGCTGATAAGTTGAGAATAAAGAGTTTACAGTTGAAAATCAAAGAAAAACGAAGCAAAATGCTGTGTAATTGCACTCGTGACTGAATATTAATTCGGTAAGTGTGAATTTAACAGCGTTTCTCAAAGGTGCGCCAATGCCTTCGTCTTTGTTATCGGGAGACTGGAAAAACAATGCGACTGTAAGCAATTTACGTTTATTGTCATTCTCCTGATGCTACCTACCAATGCTGATAAATATGGAACAAAAAAACGAAAAGTAATGTACATTTTGTGACAGAATAAAAGCAACGAAAAATAAAATGCTTTTCGCATTTCGATGTTAATTGAATCGAGAAAATAAAATGTTCGGAATGAGTTTTTATTTTTCACATTCAGCGAAGTTGTGCATCGATGGAAATTTTATGGTTTTTAATGTTTCCATGACAGTTTTCTGCCCTTACGATATTTATCACCCTTTCTCTGTGGTTACACTCGAGCTCATGTAAATGCTGTTTTAAATCACGGAAAGCTTACAAAGGCTTTTAGGATTCCTCCGAGATATGTGGAGCAATTTTATTCGCTACATTAATATTGCACTGATTCATCTTTGAATTACTTGAAGACAAATTTTCTGCTAGAAATTCTTCAACCATGATTTCTAATATTTCACTAGATTCTCAAAGGCTGCCTTCAAAATCCCTTCTCATGTGCTTGCACATGTAATTTGCATACTTGCACTTGGATCCTTGCTGATGTCAAAAGCTTCTTTCTTGTCAAAGACACAGCAGATGAAAATATATTGAAACTTTATGCAAATTGCAAATTTTCAATTCCTTTGTGGACTGTGAAGTTAAAGAATGTCAAACGAGTCTCTGACACTTCACCTGATGTCGTGTGAAAATCACTTTTCATTCTGAAGTGTGAATAACAAGAATCCCGGTCAATCTCTGTTGAAGTAATGTCAGAAGAGAAATAATTACTCATTTTAAAATCATGTTGAGATGCATTAATAATTAACAACAGGAAAAATTTTTCTATGGAAGTGCTTCCTTCATTAAAAGTTCACTTCCTAAATGCAGAATGTTCCTGCATCATGTCATTAATACAAATTTTCATATCGGAAAGTTTCAACTCAACAATAAACACGGAATTGTAATTTACGAGGTGTCCAGGAAGGTGCTAATTAAATACTTTCAACAATTTTGTAATTTCATGTCATTCTCATTTTGATGATCAGCATTTGCAAAAGTTGAAAATTTATGGACTGAGCAAACTTCATCTTAAAATATGCAAAAGTAAAGAAAATATAAAAAGGGAATTGCACTTGAAGAGTTTCAACGGATAATTATTATACAATCAACTAAACAATTTTTCGGTGAAATTTACATCAACAACACCAGTTACAAAAAGTTTATTATTTCATTAAATATGCAACGTTTGGATAATAATAATAAGTGAGAATGAGAATCTGTTATCTCGCATTGGCAATGGCATTGGCAATGGCAACCACTTAAAAGTGCTTTTAAATTAGTTAGCGATAGAATCTGATTTTAAACAAGTGGCAGCGGCAACCGTGTCTTCCTGAAGCACAGTCACTTAATTTAAGATTCTTCCTTTCCACAGTTCGAAGCGTTAAAATATTGGTAAACGATAATAATATGATAGTGTTTATAACACCTCGTTATTTCGTGGATGCTTTCAAGCGCAGAGATGAGCGTCAGGCAAAGCGCAGATGGAGATTTTGTTAGGTCATTTGTGTTTTAATGATTCACAGATTAATAAGAACGCTTTTTTGGCTCTTTTTTGGAGCAATAAAAATTAGCATGCAAAAGCGATGAACTCATTTGGTGTGATGAAAAAACTATTTTTGGAAATATTCGATAAAAACTTTATTAAGTTAATGAACAAATTTAAATTTTACAAATATTTCTAACTACTTTTTGCAATGCAGAGTTTACATACAGAAGAGGATTAATTGATGTTCCATTCTGTATAACTTAAAGAACAATTTTCGTCTCTTGCTGCTCTTGTTTCAGACACATGCATTGCATGTCGTTTTAATTAGAACAAAAATAATCCTAAGCGGATTATTTTAATTTATTTATTCACGATGCAACTATAAAAAGATTTTTACCCTCTCTTTTACATAAGATCTTGGGATTTGAAAATCCATAGTGAGTTGATAAACTTTATCATCATGAAGATTTTAATTTGATAAAAGAAAAAAAAAAGTTTCACTTATAAAGTTTTCAATTGCAACTTTGTTTGGTAGGATTATTTATTTTCTGACACGGATTTCCTTTTTCCAGAGTAAAATTAATAAAAATATGTGTCAGTTATAATCTCATTCTTTAAAGTAGTTCACAAAATCCATAAGAAGGAACATCTGAAGCATGCATTGCGTGTTCACTCAAAGCATTGAAGGCTGTTACTGACCGTTTAATTTCTTTCGTTTCTTCTTTCTAAGGGCATAAGGGGCATCATCAGTGCTGATGCGTGATCAAAAACCCATATAAGTGTGGGAAGATATCCTTGTTGAAGAGAAGAAAAGAAGAAAATTGTTCATTTATCTGAACTCACATATATTTCTGCAACATCTTCAATCTCATGATGGCAAAATAGATTTGCTTACAATTTACCAAAATGGGTTTCCATTTCAAGTTTTTATAGCACAGATTTTTCTTCTTCTTCTCTTTCTTTTCTTTATATCGACAAGGGCAACATAAGTCGTTCGACTTCAACTTGACTATCAGAAAAAATAAATAAATGCGAGGATGGGGAACGAGAAGAAGGAAGGAAAGAGACTGAAAGCAGTAGCCATCAGGCAGTTGAAGCAAACATAAGTAGGTGATCAAAAAATAAGATCATCGCAATAAATAAATACTATTAGTCTGTTATGTGAAGAATCTCCATGATTGAGTCACTTATAGATTGCATTTTACCACCCGCTTTGCAATGCTTTTCATGCCCCAACGCGTCATTTTGAGCCAATAAATCCGCTAAGATTACGACTAGAAATTCTATTTCTTCTGATCCCCAGTTTTTTGCTGTAAACAAGAAAAAATAGAAAACATTTCGTATCTAACATTGTCGCATATCGTTAAATTAAATGACGAAAAAATATTGGAAATACCGAAGAGGATTCATCGTGACATAATCTCGAGGACAATGCTGTGCTATCTGTTTTTGATTCAACTACTAAGAGAAAGAAAACATAAACAGCCTTAAATCGGATAAAGTATTTAGGAAGAAGGAGATTTGAAGAGATAAAAGGGTGATTCAACTTCATGTTTCAATTTTTAATGGAAAACGAGAATATCTCAGTAGATAAGACGATCTCAAATGATTCTTCACAACCAACATTCAATATCAACTTATTTCTTGTTCATTTCATTTCTCTTCTCACGTCATTAATCATTATTGCGGGTGAATATGTTTATTTCAACTTTGATATGCCCATCAACCGGTCATCGGCTCTTTAAGGTCGAATGTATTAATGAGAAAATCGGTCTAATAAAGATATTAAGAAGCATCGTTCACTCAACTCTTGTAAGGCTTCTTTTTCTGCAGCCGAGATGAGATGAGATAAGATGAGACGGGAAGTGAAGAAGATAAGAGCGTGTTTTGTTTATTTCGCATAATTCATCATTTTGACAAATGAAATTAAACCTTCGAATGGCAGATAAGTAAATACAAACCTGCATGACAGCGTGCTTCAGAGAAACGTGATTGATTGTTTATCGAATTGATTTTCCTTAAATAATTTTTCATGAAAAATCGTGTTGCTTAATGAAGATTTAATTATAAAAATAATAAAAACAAATCAAACAAATTTTCTATTCACGTTTTCTAGAAGCGAGTTAGAAAAAGAAATATTTATCTTCAGTATTTACAAATTGCTTGACACTCTCATAAAGTGTAGCTTAAGAATGCAAGTCAGAGCGGAAAGGCTACCGTGAAACTTGTTGAGTAGACACATGTACACACATCACATATCATTTCACATGACATGACTTTACTCTGTGCTTTGCTTTCCAACACGCGAAACAAAAAATTATTCATAAAAAGCTGAAAACTTAACATTAAGAGAGTGAAAGAAAAAATGAAATAAATAATATCTACATCAGGCCATAAATTTGTTTCTTTCTGTTGTTCTTTTCTGTTCTGTTCCTTCTCATGAATACCGAAAAACGTGGTCGCAAATGCTCGTGTTTCATGCGTTATTTACTTTAAATTTTTATTCTGCTTCTACTTTTCAAATCGGTTAATGTTAAGGCTTAAGATACGTAAATTGTTCTTCTTCGTTCATTGCCTTTCTTGCTGCTGAGAAGAGAACTTAAGCACGAGCCTGGGAATTGTTTATGAGAAAACCAGAATTTCTCAATGATGATCAATAAATCATGTAACGGAAATTACAAATTCACCCTTCTTTAAATGAAAATATTCTCACGACTGTCTGATTGACTTATTTGTATTTAATATCTGGTGGAAGGAATTCTCTTCAGCTTTTCTTTTCTTCTTTCCGTCTTCTTGACGTCGCTTAATTCTTATTTAATTGAAATTTCCAATTCTGATTGATTTTATGTTGCTTGCTTTGCTTTATTAGTAAAGTTGCATTAACTTCTGATGAATTGTAAGCATCGTCCATAATGAAAGAGAAGTTCATTGAAATGTCTGATGAAGGGAATGAGAATTGATTGAATTATGCTTGTGACTTTTTTATATCTATGCAGATTCGTTTAATTAATGTAGAAAGCATGTATTTAAACAAGATATTGCCACCTAATCAATGTTACAAAACATGTTGAATGATTTTTATATCAAAAGAAGAAGTCATAAAATATTTAAATCATATAATTTAAAATTTTATGATAAAAGCTTCCGAATCTTTTGAATTGGCAGACATCAATCAACCATGTTTAAAATGCAAATATTATTCTGTTATTTATCATCACTCGAAAGCAGGTTAAAAGTTTTTTTCTCACATGATCAACATGAAATTTTTTACATTCTCTATTCCAATAACTCCGATCCAATGACTAAATGAATATTTATTTAATTAGTGAGATCATAAACAACAGCAATTAAGTAAATCCAATTAACAGCATAACATATTGAACATTGAACGAAATATATCCAAAGCACTTTGTGTCGAAGATACCACAAAAGTCAACACAAGTGATTAAAGCTTAAAACGTAGAAATTCATTATGTTAATCTCAGTTTATAATTAGGATTAATGATTTGTAAAATCTTCGAATATTGACGCTGATTAAGAAATTTTTCGAATCAAAAAAGAAAAGTTTTGTCGCAACATTGTAAAGTTTTGAGTGCAGTAATTTGTTGTGTTTATGAAAAACTTGAACTGAATCAAAAATCATCACACCAATAAATGATTCTTTAATGACCGAAAAGTCTTAAGAATAAATAAAGAGAAAAGAGAAAAGGAATACAAACCACTTATTACTTATTCCAACCTGTCAATGGAAACATTAAAAACGAATGAAAATACATAATTAACAATCTTACTCCAATGGGACAGAAACGACATAAACAAAAATCAAAAGCGCTTCGGCTTCGATTATGTTCAATTTGAATGTCAATTTATACATTTTATTTTCCTCTTCTTCTTCAATCGTTTGAGATATTCAAATTAATTTGTCGATACAGACAAACACCACGGAAGAGAACAGCAAAATGAATGTTATATTATTTAGAGTAACTCAGAGAAATCTTTCTGATAAAACAAAGCGAAGCTTTTTCTTTGTAAAACATTCTCGGACCATTAAATATCCCTCGAGTTCTCTACAAGCATTTTTTTTTGTTGTTAATAATTCCTTGTCGATATAATCGAAAGCGTAGAGTCGTGTCTCGGTTGCTTTTGATTCGTTTTGTATAATAAATTTGTCAAGCTTTTCTCTTCTTCTTTGTTTTGGGTACGGATTACTATTTCATTGGCAAAGCTGGCATTCTAAAGAGACTATTAAACAAAATAAAACGAATGACGGCGACATGAGATTTTAAATACTGATAGATGAAACAATCAGCGAAACATCACTAAAATGACCACGACACTCAATTTCTCTTTGTTGTCTTTTGAATTATTAAATCGCTTTGAAATTTATTCTCGAACGTTCATGCCGGATTTTTCGTCGAAAAACTTCTTCATGAAATTAAAGCGTTTGTACAAGAATTTTTATCTCGTTGACCAATTGACCCTCATTGAATCCCTATACGAATGCTATTCTGTTTGCCTTTTAAATCCCTCATAATAGATGGAAATACATGCTTCTGTGGGTAATGTGTGTACAAAGGGATTATTTGGAGTGAAGGAAAGATACTTTCTACTTAAAGTCCCAAAGAACGAAAGATTTCTGCCTTCCAATTACTAACTTTAATCGAATAGGACAACAACACACAAAAGCAATTGGGATCTGATTTTTTGTAGTGCGAAATTTTGTGCTTTCGCAAGCAAGTTTCTATTTTCTTTTCTTTCATCTACACCCACAAGAATGATTTTCTGGGACCGGAACCACTTTCTACCCAACTGATTGATTTAATTCAGCACATGTTAAAGATAAAGATAAATCTAAGAGAATTGAAAATATTTATAGAGCTTGAATTATAATTGAATCAAAGAAGGAATGCTGACGTCAGTATGATTGTCTTTTCTTGTTATTTTTGATGAAGGAGAAAAGTCGTTTCAATTTTCACTTTAGATTTCTTAATTCATCATCTCAAAATATAATTAACATTGCTCGTATTGCTTTTTTGAGAACAAGCAAATATTTGCTTTAGACTTCAGTTTTAATATTTTCAATCTCGTCTTACCTTCATGAGGTTTCTTTTGTATTTCGAATTTAAAATTTGTTATACTTTTGGTAGCTTGAGGAAACCTATTTGGTTAATGAAAATATTTCGAAACACATTTTCAACATTTTGTCATGAAAAATATTTAATAACTTTTATTCAATCACATTTGAATCAGTAAATGAAAGAAGAAAAACTTCATATCATGATGTTATCATGGTTACGAGCTTTTAATACTTCGTAAGAGTTTATTTATGTTGTGAAAATTTAGTAGCAAAGGAAAATTGTTTATAGGGTTGAAGACAATGTTTGAGTTCTTAAGACTTATATAAAAGTAGGAATTATCATGTTGAAAATCTCATCCTAACTTCTAAGGTGAATAAATTAAAGAATTTTTCCATTCAAAGACATTCAAGTGTAAAAGTTCAAAAGTTAGCGACACTTTTCAAGAGATTTGAATTTAAAGAAGGACATTCAATCATTTGAAAAAGAATGAAAAGTTGAAATTGTGAAACGTCGTATGCCATTTCCCACTCTCACTTCCATTTAATTAATGGATGAGCTAGGTCAGACGAAAAGAAAAACTTTTGATTAATTTTTATAAGAAGAAGGGTTCAAAAGTATTAGAAAAGACAAAAGATTCCATCACGCATCAACAATCGAACAAATCGTGTCTCCGTAGGAAATCAGTCACTTTGAAAGGTTAAAACTTTCTATTGACTTTCCAAAAAGCAATCAGAGAGGGTAAAGGAAGCAATAACTTGATGAATGGCTCTTCATTACTTCACAACGACAGGGGATAACGTCGTTTTGATTGGATAATTTCATTGCTGTCGATTTTCAAATAAAGATGCTTTAATTTATTGGAAAGGAATTCGGATTTACGATCCGGATGAGTTGAGAAATGTTATTCAACTTTCGATGTGCCTCATTGTGTTGATGAATGAAAAACAAATCTTAACCAAATCTTAATGAAAAATTCTAAATGGGAAATTCACAATTTCCTGACCTTGAACTTAAAACTTTTTCTTTTTTTTCTCTTCTTTTACTTTCTTCGACATTCCCAGGGGTAAATCAGCTCAATTTTCTCATCATCAGAAGCACAGAAGTTGACGAAACAAAATTTGCATTGCAATCGGAAAATTTCTCGTGACAATGTATGGAAAATTTAAGACTAAATAGAAAGATATTTCAACACAAAACTTTCTTTTCCGCATAATAAATAACATGAGATTCTTGGTTGTAAAACATAACGAGATGGCAATGAAAGTTCTGACAAGTAGAAAGACAAAGTAAGCAAAGAACAAAAGGATCTTTTAAGAAAATTGCGAAAGAGAAAATAAAGAAAAGTTTAACGAGTCGAGAGAGATTCATAAATTAAAGCTTGAGACAGAATTTAGTTTAAACTTTTCCACTAAAGGCGTGAATTGCTCGCAATAGTCGTTGGAAACTTTGTGGAACATAAAAAGAAAAATAAAAAAGAATTCAAGTTTGTAATCGGTAAGGTTTAAAAAAAATAAAAACTTAGTTAAAATGTTGAACATTGCACGTAAGCACTAAACAATAAAATAAATTTTGTGCTTCCTGAAACACTTAAAAGAGTCAAATAAGTCCGACCGAAACCTTGTTCATTAACTGGTTCAACCACAGCATTTAATCTTTCCACGTAATGCACATTTATTTCTGTTGTATTTAGTTCAGGTAATGAAAAATGAAAATAACAACGAACAATCAGTGATTTGAATAAAGATAAGATCGACTCATTTAATCAGCTTTTAGAGTCTAATGACATAATCCATTTCAATTACTGCTGGTGATTCTCTCGCTCCCATCCCGACCTGACTAACGCTTATTAGAAGTCCAAAAGGTGTTCAATTTAATTTCACAAAATCACGCAACCTTTAATTGATATTTTGTCCCTTTTAATATTATAATTTGAAGTAAAAGGCGCAAGAGAAACTTTTCAGGATTAAGATTAAAGGAAGTTCACTAATGTTCATGCAATTTGTTGTAACTCGAAAGGAAAATGAAAATTAGATTAATCAATCATTGTGTGTTTGATTAAGTATCTTTCTTAGAAATGCTAACACTAAATCCCTTTCAACGCATCATTCATAATCAAAGGCAAAAGCCTTCGAAATTTCTCTCATTTCCTTGTGACGTCGAACCGAAAGTGAAAGATATTTGTCAAAATTTAATGATGAACATTCTAACGAGAAATATATTGAATGCTCTGCTCTGACGAGCTACGTCGTTGTCATTTTTTTTCATCTTCGTATGCTGACTAATAAGCGGAGGGGAAAGAGACTAAGTAAGCTTTCTCTTCGAGCTTTTTTCCCTTCTTTCAACCCATATGAATAATATGTTGATGAGAAAAATCATTTATCAACATCAAACAATGCGTTTGAGCTCAGAGCTTTCTTACAAATCGTCAAGCAAACTTAGACAAGGGAATTTGATGCGATATGAGAAGGAAATTAAGAAAGATGTTGCATGTGAGTTCTACACACACTTTCGATTATCAACAATAAAAAAACGAGAGTTTAGTTCAATGATGAAAGATTTTTTTTTCTTTATCACCATGAAATGCTAATTTTTAGGGATCCAACAACGATAGGAATAATTCAAAAAAAAAAAGAATTCTACACCGCAAAGACGTGTCACAAAGTTAACGATTCCGTTTTATAGTGATGACACGTCTAATTTGCAATTCTGGTGTACGAGTCGAGATTATCTTTGCCTGTCAACGCTTCTCTACCTTTGATTGATGTCTTCAATAACAGTCACAATCAAAGAATCTACATAAAACTCTTTAAAGCTCCCAGCACGATTTCAATAGCGCCTCTCGATGCTTCTCAGTCTCATAGCGAGAATTGATGATCATAGATTGCGATAATATTAACATAAAATCTCATCTCAAACGCTGCATAATGTAGTAAGTCAGTCAACGAGACGAAAAGAAAAGAAAAATTTTGGAGCGTTTGCGTGAAAAATGATTGAAAGTGAAAGGTGGAAAATATCCTGAAAATATGACGAATATTGTGTTAACAGTGTTGTTAAGATGACATTTGAAGAGAGAACAAAGGAATGTTGTCTGTAAATATATTTACAAGTTTGAAGATTAACATCACTGAAGAAGAAGAAGAATCTCAAATCTTGTACGATATATGATGTGATGAAGCAAATTTGAACTCCATTATTTGTGATTATTTTGAATGTCAACATATTGATTTCATTTCTTCGACTGCATAATTCATGAAATTCGATTTCATTCCAATTTTCTTCTTTTCTTTTAATGTTTAGCAAGGAAAAGTGTTGAAAACTTTCAATAAGAATTCATCAAAAATTGATTGACAAAAAGGAAGAACAATGAATGGAATGCAATAAATATTATAATTTTGTTGAAGAGTTCAATTTAATTTAAGATGAAAGTAAAATGACTTTCTATTATATTAAGGAAATAATGTTAATAACTCATGAGCAGTGCTTGGTTCTGCGACATTTTTTTGTTCAAGAAAATAGAAGCGAAACGAATGGGGAACGGAATTTTATCCCGGAACAGAAGAACGGAACGGATCGGAAACTGAAAAAAGGAGCAAAAGAGGAGCACTGTCGGCGGAACAAAGAGCTGACTCATGAGTCGTAAAAGAAGAAGTGGTGAGTGAAGAAAGTTTAATATAAATTCCACAACATAGTTTTCATTTATTTAGTTCTTCAAATTACTTTCGACATTATTATGACATCAACCGGAGATCAAATTCACCCATCATCATCATCATCATCATCATAAACATAACAAACGGTAGGAAATGAAAGCATAAGCAACTCATACCTGTGAAAACTTAAAACATTTCCAAGGGTTGCCTTCATCGTTAAATATTCGGTTAGAATCATATTTAAAACCAAAAATCGTACAACAATAATGATACGTTTTCATTTCCATTTACAATAATAATCGCTTCACTCGAAAGTGTAATCCTCGCAATATCTTCTAGGAAAATGTTTCGTACTTACAACCTAAACAATTGCTCAACATGCTATTTTCAATTTGCACCCAAATTTTCTATCCGCTTTCTAAATGTAAGAACAAAAGGGAAAATTCTTCCACCGATGTTTATTCTCATATCATTATTGTTATTTTATTTGGTAAAAATAGAAGGAAAAGCGTTTCAAGAATGTGAATTGCTTTTCATAAACCTGAATTTTAGTCAGAAATTCAAACAAGGTTCAGAAATTACTTTGTTGTGGTTTGGTTTTTTGTCGAAAATATTAATAAGAAAATAACTTTCAATCTGAAATGCTTATTTAAGTTCATCTCATTGAACCTTTTTTTCAATCCTAATAACGACAATTACCTTAAATAGCGGGCTTTTTCTTTAGCATACATAGATATCTACATAAAAATTTTCATATCCTTTATAAGTATTCAATTTCCTTTCGTTTTTCGCCTACAAATAGAAGTGAAAAATGAACAACATTCGAAATGGAAATTACCAAAAGCATATTTTTATCGTTCACATACCTTTGCTTAGCTGTAGAGAAATCGAATGGAATTATCGACGAGAACATGTAATATCCTTGAATTGAGCATATTCTCGAAAAAAAAAAACAGAAATCGTAAAAATATTTACAAATTTTTGTTTGAATGGCATTGTTTGTGAACAAAAGGAATCGTGTTACTGTTGCTATTCGTTTCAACCTCAATTTGCATAAATAAAAGCTCATCGGAAGGGCCATTATTGGAATGATAAAAATGGCTTTGCCACAGAGAAAGATAACACTTTAGATAGGTTAGATTGTTGATCATGAGAGTAGCTTTTATGACAAAAACGAGACGAAAGTTTGAAAAAAGAAATGCGAAGTTTTTTTTCCATCTCAACACTCGCAAAACAAATTGCTGAAAGGTTTAGCTTTATCAATAATCGTCCCGAGAGAAAAAAAAGTTTATGGGAGGCTTCTCATGAAATTTACGATCTAAGTTTGTCTGAATGTCAGTTGGTTTGAAAGAGGAAAAGGAAAAGACGTCTTACAGTAATCGATATGGGGATTGAGATCATGCGACGACTAAAACAGAATAAACAAACTTTCCTTAACAGGATCAAAACTTTCTTCTCGATCAGAAAATTTTCCGGATTCAGAGATGTTGAATCAATTTTAGACGGATATAGAGCTTCTTGTTAAACCATCAAATAAACAGTGCTTAGGAAGTTTTCTTTTTCGCTTTTCCTTTTCCTCTTATTTTTTACTTTTCAATTCTAATGAAATGATGAAAGTTTGGTTGCATAACTTCAAGGGGCATTTATGGAAATTCTTTAAACTTATGCAACCATAAAATTAAGCTTTTAAGCTTGAAAACTGAATACATGAATTCATAAATTAAATAAAGAATTCAGTGAAAAAGTTAGCTCATGTTCCGTGAAATTCAGAAAGATTTCTTTCGTTTTTTTTCATCATAATTTGCATAATTTTGTAACATTAAAAATGTCTTTCATGATGTAAATAAAGTAATAAAAAATCAATAAGTGAAATTCAATTTTCCTTACTTTTTCCAATGAAGATTAAAAATTGATGAAATCTCATTCATCAAATGGGATTATATAAAGTCAATTCTGTCACGGAAAAATGTATGCATATATGATGATTAATTTTTTCCTTACTTTTCTGCTTTGTCATTCACGAAAAACGAAATAATTTAATGTATTGAAGGAAACAAATTCAAAGCAGCAAAGTTGAGTGCAGTAAGGAATTTTAAATAGTATGAGGAAAAGGAAAATAAAGTTTCCAATTCTCTAGTGAACTGAAAAACTTGTCAAGTATCAAATCGAAATTGAAATTGAAACCGAAATAAAAAAGGCAACAAAATAATTTATCGATTTAGATATTTCCATCTGAGATTATTGTTTCCTTGCTTTCCATCCGTTAAAAAGCCTTTCGTCTCAATTCCCTGAGCGTGAAAAACAATTTCATCATACGCTTTGGGAGTTGTGTGTGGGTTTAGCTTTGTATGTGGCTGTGTCAGTTACGGATGTGAATCAGCTACGAATGATATGATTAAGCACACCTCGCAAGAAAGAAATAAATTCCAATTCACGTGACTTTGTAAATACATAAACGAATGAGAAGGGACGGGATATTTCATATGATGTAGCGTTATTACTTTCCACCTCATTGATTTGTCAGTGTAATAATCTATAGCTTATTGATTTTCTCCAATTTATCATCACGAAGTTTTTCTTTTTCCCACTTAGATTGGCAGAAGAAGATTTTCAGATCTATGCTGCTTAATGAAAACTTAAATCACAGTAAAATCAGAAATATTCTCATGATGTTTGCTTATCGATACTTGGAGTGAGATAAATTGAAGATGTGACTCTGAAAATCTATTTTAAGAAATGTATCGAAATCAATCAGATGCTTACATCCCAAAAAGTTTGAAATTTCTTTACCCGAACATGATGTTTGTGTACTTGAATGTTTATATCAAGGGAAACATCAAACATGATTAGCAATTTCGGTGGTGATGGAAACTTTTGTACATTTGTATCATATGTTTACCGACAACGGCAAAATTCGAATCGTAAACGCAAAACATGTCTGCAAGTAATGCTTCGGAATCATGAAAATGCCCTTTTTATGTCGATTTTCTTGACAGCCTTTTTTCTTTGCTTTCCTTCATCGTAATTCTTTTTTCTCATGGAATGAATAACAACATTTCATGTTTCATACATTAAATAAATAACCTCGAAGGTATCACACATGAATATTTCATATACTCGGCATAATGATATGATAATAATGTTTGCCTAAATGACATTTATGAAGGGAAGTAAAAGTAAAAGAATTTTTATTTTATGATTCAAAGAACTCTTTTTGTCTCTTCAAATTCCTTAAAAGCGACATGACTTTCACGATAAATTCTTCCAATCATTCAACGCGTTCTAAAGTGAGCTTTTCATTTCTTGTATTATTTTTCTCTTCTTTTCATTTCTTTTTCTCTTTTAATTCAAAGGGAGGCAAAAACATTCTGATTCACGCTTCTGTTCATTTAAATACGATTAAACTCAAACAATGTGCTTTTCAATTTTATATGGAGCAGAAGTGAGAATGAATCGGCTGAAAAGAATTAATGAAGAAAGAAAGTTGTGCGGCTTCAAAACTTTTTCCCCTCAAAAGCTTCCCGCGCATGTTTTCAGCTTTGAATAAACAAAGAACGATAATATTGGAACTTCTAGGGTTGCGGTGAAGATTTCTTTCATGATTTTTTTTCTCATGTTAAGGCTTCTAGAAGGGTAGAAGAATTTACATTAAATTGTTATTCAATTATAAAACAATCTTAAAGATTATCAGGAAATTGCGAAATTTTGGTTGCATAACTTCGAGGCGAAAATTAATTTGTTTTTTATAAGAAACGATTTAAAGCATTTAATTTAAGAACATTTCCTTCTGTCTTCGTTTTATAACGATAAAAAAAGTTTACTTTTCTGGCTGAAGTGATGTTTTGCCGGAAGACAATTTTTCTATCATTCTATTTGATTGGAAGCAGATTGTCATGCAATAGAAAAAGCAAAAAAAATCTTAAATGTAAACATTGAATTTAAATTGGATGAAAAATAATTGCAAGAAACATTTTTTATCGAAACGAGTAATAAAAAGTCTACATTTAGAAAACATAAATAGCATTCAAATGTCAATTTTGTGGGATTTTTATTTCTATTTTTTCTAACATTCTTCAACGTATTTAATGGCAAATTCTATCGCATTTTCCTTCTTCCGTTTTGAAATTTGTATGTACAGACTCACAACACATTGAATAGAAAATGTTGTTTCCCACTTAGAAAGCGAGCAAAAATTTATTCTTTTCCATTCACCGACTCTCCCATTGACCGTACGAGAATTTTATTTAGGCATTTTCATGAAATTTATGTTTATTTACTGAATCGTTTAAGTTTTACTCGTGTTTAAATGTGGTAGAATAGCTTGACACGGAAGCACTGCGATACGATGCACAAAGGAATGGAGAAGCTTTTAAACGTTGCAATATTTTCGTTTTCCCTCCCACAATGGACTGTGAAACTTCCACCCACATTAAATTTTAAAACAACTGCTTAGGAATATTCCTAATTTAGACGAAAAACAAAGGTTGAAATCTCAGAAAAGGATTCTTCGTATTGGTAAGGAAATTTAATCTTTAATTGCGATAATGTTGTGAAGCCTCTGAAAGCTCATTAAAAAAAGATTTTATTTCAATTAATTAGAACGAAAATTTTCATTCTTCAAAGAGAATGAAAAATCCGAATATAAAGTTTTTGCCAAATTGGGAAGCAAACAACAAAGTCTCGACTCAAACTTCCCACTACACAACATAATGAAACAACTAGCAAAATGTTCGACTTCTCATGACTGTCTCATGTTCAATGTAGAATTCTCGGTAATTGAATTTAATAATAAAGCAAGTTCCATTTCCCTAAGACATGAATGACGCGAGTAACTTCTACCGTTGAGAATCGAGTTTTGAATGCCGATAGAAAATCGAAATTGAAAGAAAATTATATAAAGTCATCGAATGAATAATTGATTTACATTTTTGGTCAGTAAGCGGGAAAGAATCAAAGAACATTTTACAGGAAACGAACAGGGATTTCTAAGTACTGTCTGTACACATGTTCGATGTAAATAATTAAGTTTATACATGAGATATTGAGTTTATGCATATCTAGGTACTTATTTGGTTTGAAAGAAATCGGGACGTGGTTGGGGTGAAAGTAGCGAAGTGAAGGGAAATTTGCTTTTAACGAAATTGATTTTCTAATATTATGTTTGTTGAATTTCTGCATTGTGGTTATAACCACAACAAGGGAAAAATGGAAAAAAATGGATAATGCTTGTGTAATGTGTTGTGATGTGCTTGTTACACATCTAAGTGGATGTTTAACTCCTTGGATATTTGTCATTAAGCTTAAATCTCACCAACATAAAGCTTGTTGACAAACAACAACAGATATCTCATGAATTAAATTATAAAATCTTCTTTAAGCATAAAAAAAATCGTTTGGTGGAAGAAAATTCGATATTCACGAGATATCGTCTAATAAAGTGGGAAAATTTTCATTTCAATGCTGAGAGTGCACAACCCGAATCCGATGGGAAGATGGTACGGCAAGATCATTTCATAGGAAAAGATGGAAATAATTCAATTAAATTGAGATTGAAAATAAGTGAGAAGGATAGATTATCTTTCCTTTTCTCTCTTTCATTTCTTAGAAGGTATGAAGGAATCATTTTCCATGCTTTTGCATTTATTCACAAAGCGATGCGGATGATTTTCATGAAACGAAACTTTTCGTCAGCTTCCTTGTTTTCGCAGATATCTAAGAAAAGTTTGCGAAGATAGTCTATGTTGATAGTTTCTCTTTCTTTGCATCTGTGTAACGTAGAAAGAGCATCATTAAGAATGAAGGAAGATGAAGCAAAGTCAAGTCAAAGCTCTTGCTATAAGGAAATAAACAAAAAATATTATTTCCCTTCATTTGACTGACTTGCTTCACAATTCAACAATCTTGCAATGCTTTGCTTCCTTTTTAATTGTGAAATAAAACTTTGAAGTTCTCTTAACTGAATAAATTTTCATTTTTCTTTTAACTTTTCATATTAAACTTAATTTAGCTTTATGAAAGATCTAAAAATTCTTAGTTTAACGATGTTAGATTGAAAAGCGAAAGATAAACGTAATGAGAATATTTGATAATTAGGCAGATACTTATTAATTCAATAATACTCTAAATTGGAAGAATATCTCATTAATTAATTAAGTTCTTAGTCACTCAATTATGTACCTTTCTAAAATTAAACTTTTTCCTCTCTTTCTTCCGCAACCTTGCGGGAGTAAATCAATTAAATTTATTTTTCCTAAATTACCCAATCCAAATTAAAATTCTCTCGTTGCGTTTAGATGTTCATCAGTAAACAAGCAACCAAATGTTTCCTTCTATGACGCAATTTTTCTTTCTAAAATATTTCCAAAAATGAGCAGATAAAATTTATTATACAAATAAACCCTAAATTAGATCAAAAAACGATAAATTTTCGATTAAACATAATTAAAAAATTTTGCAACATGTTCATAAATCCTTATTTACATATCAATATGAACGAGAAAAGTTTAATTATTTAAATCTTATGAATTACTAATGAAGCGTTAAAATTTATTGCAAATATTTGAATAAATAATCCTCCAGCCAACACCTAACGAAAAAGCTAAACCAGTAAAGTAATTGGAATGTTTAATTTATGCTTATTGATTAGCTTCAGGTATGATTAATTTTATTTTTGAATTTTTGATAATTTCCTCTTCATAATTTTAATTACAAAATTGAAATAAGAATCAAGTTGGAATCTTCTTCATTAGGATCGAAGTCAGATTCATCTTCGAACGATTGAAATGTTTGATTAATGTTTGTCTTTGACTTATTATAAGAAAATATAATACTTTGCTTCTTAATCCTTTCTATGTATGATTTGTCGATGGTTGAAGCTTGAGGAATTAAATCAAAACGTGATTGACTCAACTCACTTCCATTTATTCTTTGATCTGCTTCTACATCTGTTGATTGTTTTTTAGAGACTTCTGTCGACTTTCCTGATGCAACATTAAAAGTGTCAACCGGTTCGCTTGATTTCATTACGTTCTCATCATTGGCTTCAGGCATCTCATTCCAATATTGATCTTTCAACAGCAACGGGTGATCATTGTGCATATCATCAACAATCAAATAAGACATTTGAAGGTTCCGATCAATCATGTAATTCACTTCAAAATCGTCGTCATCTTTCCCGAAGGGGTTCAACATCGTTTCAGCGACTTTCAACCAACCCATGTAAATAATGAATTGGAAAAATGAACTTTCAGGAACATATTCGAAAGCATTTTCCTTTTTATTGACTAAAAGAATTTGGTCGAGTAAAATGTGAACGATGAACTTTGAATAAATGGCGATGATGACGAGTTGTGTGTACACTAAAGGAATGCAAACTCTGTTATAGACCGTCAAAGTACCACAAGATGATCGAAATTTATTAAGTTCTTGGATCAACGTCATTGCTGTGATGTTATCTCTAATCCGACCTTCATCACGAGCGCGATTGACAAGCGACGACGCCCACACAATTGGCAGAAAATTTTTACTATAGAGTGGAAATTTTGCATCTAATTCTTCAATTATTTTCAATTCATTCTCGTATAGAAGTCCAGCATCGATTAAGTCTTTCATTTTGGGAAAACGTTCTTTGACACGCGGTGAGAGAACACGAAACACCATCGTGAGACTTAAACAGACGTAACGCATGATGGTTCTTCGCATTGCACGACCAACCTCGTCGTATCCTTGAATGTTGGAAGATACGAGAACAGCGATGGAATAAGGCCATGGAATTGCCATCTAAATTAACATTTTGAAACTTCATTTAAATGCAAAATTTGTAACGTTCTTACATATTGATCAAACCATCGAATCATTACGTTTCCAACAAAGAAGCCAAGCATCAATGTAATTGGAATCTCATCTTCATACATTTGCACATAACTGGCATATTTTTGAAGCTCGTTTCGTGTATCCTTTGTGAGTATTGTTAGGAAAATCATCATCGTTGCTAAATACAAAATAGAAAAAGCTAACAAATGTGTCCATAAAAGTCTAAGCACTGACCCTCGCCAACGGAATAAAAGAAGTTTAACAAGTGAAAATAGTTTAACTGTTGCAACTGTGGAAAATATTTCATTTAAATTTTATTCTAATTAATCTTTTTTTATCTTACTGTCATTTGCATATGCGACAGTCATTCTTATCAAGATTTTATATTCAATCACAAATATTTAATTAAATCACTTTTTTAAAATTGGATTTTGATATAAAAATGAATTTAAGCTTTGATTGTTGACAACTTTTTATTCAGTTTCATGATTGCTTTGATTTCAGTTTTAACAAACAATTTTCCTAATGACACCCCTGAGTACGCAATCCCTGGACGAACCCCGGATAATTCAATTTTTATTCATTTTTGGATTTGTTTGAATTATTTGAAGACTTTTTTGATAAATCTGTCTTTGAAGATGTGAAGATTGTCTTGCGAGTTTCTTCCATTTGACGTTCAATTGAACTTTGTTTCTCTTCCACGCCCGGAATCTTCAACAAATAAGTTTCATCGATGACCTCAGGTTGTGGAATCAATTTTGGGTCGAATGTCACTGATTTGGTGTTAGTGACTGATTTGGTATTTGTCACTGAATAGTTGGAAGCTTTCTTATCCTCAGAGATTCGATTAAGTGACACTTTCTGTGTTAATTGTTTATTCTCAATGTTGAAAGTGTCAGTTTGTTCTCGAGGAATTTCCACATTTGTGGGCTTTCCTTGATCTGGCAATGACTTTGGAATCTCAAACCAATATTGATCTTTCAACAATTCCGGGTGATCTTTGTGCATGTAGTCAACAATCAAATATGACATTTGAAGATTCCGATCAACTAAATAACTCACATCAAAATCGTCGTCATCATTACCGAAGGGATTCAACATCGTTTCAGCGACTTTCAACCAACCCATGTAAAAAATAAATTTCATCGTTATGAAAATTGGAAAAAAATTTAGCAAGAAGTTATCGTCATGTGTGTTTGGATCTTCAATGCGTATAAATTGATAGCCCATTAAAGAAGCAAGACATTGTGAATAGACGGCAACTGTCACGATTTGAGTGTAAACCAAAGGAATGCAAATGCTGTTGTATATCATCAAATTGCCACATCCTGAACGAATTTTATTCAGTTCTTCAATCAAAGTTTTCACTGCATAGTCGTCTTTAATCCTTCCTTCATCACGTGCACGATTCACTAAGCTGGCAGCCCAAACAATTGGTAAGAAATTCTTACTGTAATAAGGAAATTTGCTGTCCAATTGTTCGATTATTTCAAGCTCGTTGGTGTTTAGTAAACCAGCCCCAATCAAGTCATTCATTTTAGGAAATCGATTTTTAACTCGTGGTGAGAGAACTCGAAGAACCATCGTGAGGCTTAAGCAAACGTACCGCATAATAGTTCTTCGCATTGCACGACCAACTTCATCGTATCCTTGCACTGTACTTGAAACATAAACAGCGATTGAGTATGGCCATGGAATTGACATCTAAAACGAGTTAGAATGTTTAAGAACACTTCAAAGAGAAGTTAAAACTTACATATTGATCCCACCATCTCGTCATGACATTTGTGACAAAGAATCCAAGTATGAAAGCAATCGGAATTTTGTCTTTAAACACGAAAAAGTAATTGGAAATGTTCTTAAAAACTTCTCTTTCAGCATCTGATGGGAGAATTATGTATAAACATTTCAATAAATAGAAGAGTGACCAATAAATAATTAAATCCTTCCATAGAAGTTTGAGAACTGAACCTCTCCAACGACAGAACAGTTTGAATGGTGTGAAAAATGTTGACGTTGCAACTGTTGGAAAGATGCTTTAATTAATGATTTTAATTATTTTAATTAAACAAACCGTCATCGCTGTAATTGACTGTCATCTTTAAAGTTTTTTGATTGAAAATTTCATTGATAGTTGCGATAGCTGATGGCCAATGAACGAGTCATTCTTATTTAACAATTCTAAGATTGAGTTAACGATGAAGTTGTTGAAGGTGTTTAAAGGCAGATGATGTTGAATTATTGACAGAATCAATATCAGATATCTGGGATGTCTAAAGAAATACAACATTCGATGATGAAATAATATTTTCTTAGGATCGAAGTATCTGAAATAAGCACAATGGAAACCTTATGTGAAAACGATTGCAAAAAGCACTCGTATCAGACTCTGATGCGTGAAAAAGGATTCGTTCAAAAATTTCCATGAAATGCCGCAAACAACAGAAATTGTCAACAAAAATCTTTCTTTATTCTTTTTCCCTTCGACAATTTTCAATTTCATGTTGAAAAACAAAAATCTTTTAAGAAATCAAAGGCAAGAGTGAAAAGTATTGCCGAGTTGTGCGATATTACAAATTTTCTTTGATGTTTAAAACCAAAGTAGATAAAATTGAAAAAGAATTTTTAATAAATAATTCTCTCTAAATATAAACCTTTGAATTCTTATTGAAATTTCTGCTGAAATGTTCAGTGTAATAGAAACATTGTAAGTACTCGTAATAAACAATCTAAATGTCAACCGAAGAGAGAAATTAAAATTTATTTACTTTTTTTCTTGATTTTATTTATGAGTCATGACACAAAATGCTTTCTTTAGAAATTTTCGTTAAATGTCTGTCAAGATGTTACAACCGATAATTTTAATTTCAAAGTTTAATTCAACTTTTCTTATTGTCCGATGATAAAAAGAAAACTGCAAGAAAGATACAGGCCAGAGTAGGATGGGAAAAGTTTGGGATATGAGAAATTTCTCTATTTAGTTCCTTGTGGAAAAATGAAAAGCTTAGAAGCAGCAACTGCCGGTCACTTCGCTGAACAATGTTATCTCAAGATTGTCGTCTTTCTATCTTCTCAATGCGGAAACTTTCTTTTTTTCTTATATCGTGGAAAAAGTTTCTTTCAGTACAAGTTTGACAAGATAAGCGAGAGAAAAATAAATTTAACTAGCAAGAAGCTCAACTTTGCAAACTACTCGAAAGTAAGAAAAATGGAATTAAATTTTTTTGATGCAATACAACATTTTGTGCATGCCATTCAAGCACACAATAAAACGATATTTCAACTCAACTTAGTTGTAAACTTCTGTTAAAAAAGAATTAACATTTTTTTTGTCTTTCAATGTGAAACTCTTCGTCTGCTTCCTTTCTCTATATAATACAAAAACGAAACATGTGTCAAGAAAAAAAGAAAGTTGGATATTAAAAAAATCTAATTTCTGGAAAATCATCTTTCGAATCACATTGGACAGCAAAAAGTACTTAAATAAACATCAGAAAAAGAAAGTCAGAGACTTCCAACACGACTTAGCAACGTCATGAATGACTTGATAACAAGACGAGGAAAGTTCGTACAATAAATTTTTATTAGGAGCGAAAGAAACATTTCCAGTCAGAATCTAGGGCCCCATTTTTCGCGATGCTTGAATCACAAGAAGAAAGCAGATAATAATTTTGTGAATTTATTTCTCCCTCTCTTGAGCTTCCGTGATTCAGACGACAGTTTTTGTGTCTTTACTTTAGCTCAAGCTTTGCATTCTTTAGGGAGATTTATTGAATATTTTTAAAAAATAAAAGTAAATTCTTATAAAATTTTCATGCCAGCCAACACCAAGTCAACTTTCGTTTTTAAGTTTCAGATCATAAATGTTGAAGGTGAAAGAAACTTTGACACTAAAACATTTTTTTTCTTATTTTGACCCTTAAATTCTTAGCAAACGACGATAGTGTTGAAATCTCAACAATTTCCCTGTAAAATAAAAAAGAACGGAGGAAGTCGGTGAGTAATTTTCTTTTCACTGTTTTCATCTTTGCAACAAAAATAAAACCTTAATAAAAACTTCACATAATTACATAATTTCTCTTCATTCTTTTCTCCATGAAAAGAAAAAAAAGTTTTATTTAATTTTTTTATGATTTTGCAGAGTGGAAAATTAAAAAATGACGATGACTCTACAAAGTCCTCAATTTATTCTTATAAAGTTCTTAAACATCATTTAGTCATGAACCCCAAAACAAAACAACAAGAAAAGAAATAAAAATTATAACGAAAAGAAAAATTTTTTATGACTATCTTTCTTAACAATGTTTTTCTCAATTACTTGTGGAAATTGATGGAAATTACCATAAAATATTTTCAAGACATTCAGAAAAAACACCCTGCAAGGTTAATTATTTATGTTGTGTAACTTTCATACTCTGAACATTATTCAGGAAGGGAAATTTGACATATTTATTCGCTGCACAAGATTTCGATGTTGTTTATAAGCTTTTACATTAACGTGGAAATAAAGTAAAAAAGTTGATAAGTTAAAGCACTAAAACGATTCGGGAAATCTCTTTTAACATGAAGAATCAGAGATTTTTTATATGCTCAAGCGAGACGAGCAATTCTTTCCTCATACTGCAAATGACATTAAAATTTCAGCAAAAATATTCTTTTTTTGCGACGCAATCAAACAGAATACAAAATCACACAAAAAGACGGAAAATTTCCTCCCTTCGTTTCATGATAAATTGCAAAATTGTGAACAAATATTGAAACGGCAAATATTCGTCATACGCGAAATGGGGAAAGCGACAGTTTTCCTTCATAACTAACAAAATTGATTTTTCACACATGAATTCATTTGATCTGTGATGCTGTGATGCTGTCTTTCCAAAGCTATTAATTCTTTGATGAAAACATGTATCTAAGCAGTTTAATGGATATTAATATTGATACATAAATAACAAAATAAAACTGTTTAGTTATGCGATAAAGCACAATGAGATTCAATTAAGATAGTTCCATGCGGAACGTATTTGTGGATTGTAATCAAAATATTAAATGATTTAAGACGGAAATTTGTGATATTTGCTGACTCAGCAATTAAAAATTAATTGCATTGTCAACATTTATTGAGTGGCTTCCAACATTCTTGACTTCACTTTAAGATTTGACAATTGATTGCAATCGCAAGATTCATTAAAGATTTTTGAACAAGATTCGCTTTTTGCCGATTTTGGAATGTAAACACTGCAGACTTTTGATGGTCGACTTATCTTTGGACAGCAACAAGTTTGACAAACATTTGAAATTTTACAGCAAATGTTTGGTTTGACATAAAATTCACTTTGTTGATAGAAATGCTTTGAGTAGGATTTTCCCATCTTGAGGAATTTGATTTCTTTGAATTCGTGAGATGACACGGCGAATTTAATCGAGAATATTTTTAAAAATTAAATTTATATTTAGAAAGACTGTCGTCAAGTTTGCAATTTGTAGATTGCTATGATTTTATGTGTTTATAAGACTTGGAAACAAACTCTTTAAATGTTCAAATATTTCTTCGTATATTTAAGCACTTGAACGGCAGATTTTTAATAAATCAGCATTATCTACAGACTTAAACATGAAGCTACAGAATAAATATTTTTCCTTCTTCTTCATAATTCTGCATAGCTTTCAATGCGATCCTTCGTAAGCTTCTTCGATGAAATATATTTAAATGCTTATTTAGATACTTCAAAGCTTTTCTAATTTAAATTCTTTTACTTATTTATTTATTTAATCAGTTTGTTTGTTTGACAAATAAGATTTTGTCATTGATAAAAGCACGCGCAAAATATCACTTCAGCAAATGACGATCAATATATTTTCAATAATTCAAAAACAAAATAAAAAATTGTGATTGAAAGAGCTGAAATACGAGGAAGTTGAGAAGTTGTGCCTAATCAAATTGAAATTATGCTCATGGAAACAGAAAATTTTCCAATATATTGAATGAACAAAATAGGAGAAGAAAGAGATTATGTAAAGTGTTGACAAATGATGTGAAATGGAAAAAGGGAATATTGAAATTAAGAAAGAAATGAAAAGGAAAAGGAAAGTGGAAATCGAGGTAGGTAGGAAAATTGATGCTTTTCGTTTAAGTAGTTAGAGGCAGTCGAATGGAATTAAGAAGACACTAGCAACGAATATTTAAGAAAATTTGCTATGGCTCCGTGTCGTTGTTCCAAAAAGATAAATCGTTAAATTAATTTTCTCCTTCGCCGGTCTCGAACGAATACGTCGCATGTCGATTATCACAGTCTTGAATTTTCTTCTTCCTTCCCTCGTGACAATTTAGCGTCACAAAAATGTTAATGTCATTTCCAGGGTCCATTTGTTTCTTTTTATCACTTTCATATTACTTTCTGGAACAAGGAAGCAACAACAAAAGAAGTTGAGGAAAATTCGCGCTTTTCTTACAAAACCTTTCACAACTTGTGAAGGAAAAATAAAAGAAGGAAAAGGTAATTTGAATATGTTTCAATAATGAAGGTTGCGTGAATGCATTTGAATAAGTAATATTGAAAGCAAAACAATACTTTAATTTCTTTTAATCCAAAGCACTCTGTAAACAAAGGAAAAACAAAAATTCTCATCAACAGAAGAGGAAAATTTTCCATTAAAAATATTATTTGAGATTTATGTAAATCTTTAAATGTAGGTGTTTGTTTTGACACTTTGACCTCATTTTTGAGCTGGTGTTTCATCAAATAATAATGACGACAGTATTTAGTGAAGTTTTAAAGAAGCCACAAAAAACCTTTCATCGTCTTTCCTTTTAAAATTACACAAAAACAAAGCTAAAGGGGGAAAAGTTTATATAAATATTGTTGGACTTCCTACATTTATAAGCTTGACTTGTTTCATTTAAAATAAATTTACTTTCAATATCAACTTGTAATTTATGCAACAACAATAGCCAAGAGACGATAGAAATGAAGCTAAGAAGAAAAAGTAAACGTAAGCTTCATGAGAAAATCAATTTTCTTTATTAACAACATTAATATTCAGCATTTTTTTCCTCCTAAACCATGCTGAGTTGACATTTGCAATATGTCACTCTTTCCCTTGTAACGTTCATCGTCCCGCCTTCATACAAAGCAGAAATGATTCAATTAAAATAAAACTTAATTAATCGTAAATATGCCCAGAAACATATTCGCCCTTTTGTGCTGAGCTAAGTTATGAGCAATTAGAGAGAAAACCGAAAATTAGCTTCTTAAGTATACATTATTAGAGAGTGTTATGCATGCGACAGCAAATTTTCGATCATGGTGTGAGCAGAGGCAGAGTATAAAGAAAAAATAAAAACTGAAGAACAAGAAATCACCGCAAAGCTTTTCCCATTGAGATCCATTAAAGTAACAAAGCCACTTTGATGGAAGAAATTAAATTGGAATTTATTTGCTTATTTCTTTTCTTCTTCAATTTCTCTTCGTCAATCGTCGATCTGACCCTGACTCACAGCAACTTTCTACGTGAATATTCATGGAAGTGAATGAGAAGGAGAAGAAAAAAAAGCTCTGCTATCGAATAATTTCATTTCCATTTATTTTCAATTACATTATCGCAACGCGTATCTCTGAGTATAAAAATGGAACACGGGGCTGCCTTTGCCTTGCCACTGGAAAGTGTCATTCTAACTCTATCTTCTTCCTTCTATTTCTGGTATTATGCTGTCACTATAGAGCTGTAAAAAAGGGCGAAAAGAAGTTTTTTCTCTCTTCTGAATAAATATTCGCACAACACCCACTCATAACATGATGACTTTCAATGAAGGGTGAAATGGGATAAGAAGGGAATATATTTTTATATTTTTCCGTTTATGAATCGAGGCGGAGAAGAAAAAAAAATGTCTCATAAGTTCTGAATGTTTTTATATCACGCACGACAGCCTTCGAGGACTACGATTTTTTTCATGTCAAGCCTAAGTGTATATAGTGCGAAAGATGAAACGACTTCTCTTCACACAATTCTCCACTTTCACTTCTTGCTTATGAAAATATTTTAGATGAAAAATAAAGAAAGAAATTTGGGCAATAAAGTTTCCTTTATGATTGTCGGATTTGGGTTTAGAGCGAAGGAAAGAGTGAGAGAGTGGGAGAGAAAGGGTACAATTAGATTGCTTAAAATATGTAGAGCCGAGCTGCATGAGCTTGTTGTTCGTTTTATGTAAGTTCTGAATGTGAAGAAAGTTCTTCATGGATCACTACATTCACGTTAAATTCTTAACTTAACTTTGTTGAGCTTTTAAACTTCACTTTGTCGCTTCCTTGGCAAACAAAAGATTCTCAAATCGTCTCAAGTTGATACTCTGCTTAGTCCCTAGCTAAACATAGATTGCCGAATGACTAATCTCTATGTAAACTACAGGCACTGAAGATAATTAAAAGCTTTACCAACATCCAACATTGCTAGATGAGCTTTTCTTCAAGCGAATGAATGAAGTGATTTGAAGGGGATGAAGAGCAGCAGAAGCAAAGCTTAATTAATTAAATGATAGATAGCATTTCTTTTCAACCTCTACTCATGAAGATCTACAAAAAGAAATGGATGGATGGATGTTGAGGCGTCACCCGAGAGAAACAAAACAAAAGCTCAGTTAAAGCTTTGGTGTACATACACTCTTCCTTTTCATCATCATCCTCTCAGCTAATGATGATGATATTATGTAGATAAAATTAATTAATTGTAGCAAAAGGTAGAGTAAATGAAAATTTCATTAATTTTGTTCTCATTCTGTGCTTCCTGTGTATCATCCGTTTCAGTTCCACTTCTTATTCATTTTTACTTCCACCGTTGAAAGTTTTCTAGCATGCAGAATATAAATTATACATTTCAACATCGTATCATCGCCTCGTTTTAATTCCGTTGCCTCTTCCTTTGTTTATTATCTCGAGAAGTGTAAAGAAAGAAAAGTTATAAAAAAGAAGGAAAAAGGACTTTGGTTTGCCTAATAAGTCTTCTGAAAGAGGCTGTGATTAATTAAAATTTATTAGTCCCAACCTAACGTAGGGAAAAAAGAGATTTCAAAACCCTCACGAATCATCATGATTTTAAAATAAAAGTCCAAAACAAGAAATTTTTATGCCTGAGATGGTAAATGAAAAATTACCACCACGTACATTTCTCGAAAACCTGATGGCAGATAGAAGAGACGTGAAAGAATTTCCTAAAAATCTAATTTCATTTCCTAAAACGCCCACGCCAACCGTGATGATGAATAAAGATCGAATATCGAGTGTGCTTAAGATGTTCATTAAGAAATCATAATTTGATTTCTTTCATGAAACTCCAACGTGAACAATTTTATTGTTAAATTTAATAAATTAAAATGAAATTCAAAAGTAGAACTCAAATTTCATGCTGAAGATAAAAATTGAAGCACTTCATGATTATCTTAAATCTTTCTTTACGAGTGTTTCTATTCAAATATCTTAGTAACACGGGAGTTGAACAGAACTCTTTGTCGTATCATAGCATCCTCAACTTCCTACATCAACTCGTTTATTTTCGATTTGTTTACCTTCTCTCGAATATTAAATAAAATGAAAATTGTTCTGTAAAAAACTTTCTCTTCAAATTTATTCATTCAGAGTGCTAATTTAAGGAAAGAGCAAATTAAAAAACTTTCTCGCGAAGCTTTGGTGTGGTTGAGACAATAAATTTCCTTTCATTTTCCATTTGCAGCTTCCGTGCTGTTTGTTTCAAAAGTTTGCTCAATTTACGAAATAAAAAAGCAAAGACGGATTTACCTTCAAAAAGAAGAAAGCAGGTACATAGTTACTTAATTACAATTGTGAGGGCGGAACACAATTTTAAACAGTAAGTAAATGTAATAGGTTTCAGTAGAAACTTCTCTAACTTAGCCAATCTTCTGATAAAACTTTTTGCTTTAACAAACAAACGTTGACAATGATATATAAGCTTAATTTTCATATTCATGCTCACGATTCATAACTTTTCTCATTGTTAAATGTTTAGAAATGTTTCAAAATTTGGAAACTTCTTCTTGGAATACAAATAAGTATCTATCACGAAAAAAGATATCTATTTGTGCTTAGTAAGGTGATTTCAAGGGATACATGCATTGGAAAATTATTCAGCAACACATAAGGTTCATTAACTTTTGGCAGAAGCCATAAGCTGTAAAAATCATTAACCCATATTGTTGCTTTCTTCATCAACTTCTAAATTATTCAGTCTGTTAAATATGTTAGATATCTTTGGTGCAGAAGAAAAACTCTTGATTTTCTTCTCAAAGAATGCTAAACTCATAAGGGATGGATATGAATCTTAAGTGCTTTGACTCGTATATCTATGCTAGTCTAACATATATCCAAGCTTTGCTTCTTTTTCTATCTACAATTCATATGTTTACTTATACATTTTTTCTCACTCGATTATGAGTTCATTGATTCGAGAGAATTAAAATTTCTTCTTTCAATTGATTTTATACATTTATTCGATGTATATGTTTTGATGTTTAAGAATGTTATAAGAAAATACAATTGTGGAAGATAAACAAAAAGCATTTGCTTATTGTAATCTCGATTCCTTTTATATCATTGTCACTTTGTTTATCAACCCATTACTTGTTTTATAATGTTGCTTTATACTGACTTAAAAAGGAGAAAGAAAATATGTTTGCTTTGCTTTCTGTCATCACTTTTGCATTTAAAGTTTCATGAATTTATTTACACTCAGTTAGAATGAACTGAAATTTCTTTTCACCCTTTTGTATCACTTCAATTGCCCGAGAGCAACGAAAGAAAAGCTAAGAAAATAGAAAAGAAAATTCTTGCTTTGCAATATATATTCAGATATTTTCTTGCATTTTTCCAACAAAAAACAAGTCAAGTGATAACGAGTGGGTGGCTAGTAAAAAGAAGATGCTGTGAAAACTTCTTATAAAATGAATAATGATTTTGTCTTTTTTATATCTTTGCAGATTTCTGTCTCATAATTTATTATATCTTAAAAAATATTCATCTCTAAGCATTTGTCAAGAGTACAACATTTGAGATTCATTATTTAACTACAGAATGAATATCTACTTTTATTCTACAAGGAATCAAGTTTTAGTTTCGGTATCATGAAAGAGAAACAAATGAAAAGAAAAGCTTCAAAGCTCAACTTCTCAGACAAAAAATGAAATCGGCTTTAAGTTGTTAGATGCTTGTTATTTTGAATGCAGTTAACATCACTTTTCTCCTTCTTTGTATTGCATTTCTTTGACGAGAACATTTTCTATTCATTTCATTCTCTTTCTTTCTTTTGAAAAGGAATGAATGAGGCAACATTTTACTTAACAATGCTTTACATCGCATTTACTCAGTGTTAATAGCGCTACTAGCTAATTGGAGCGCCATTAACACCTTTTGAATTTATGGTAAGGTTTAATTTAAACCAAGGACCTTTTAACATTTCCATGACCATTACAAACATAAGCTAAATCTTTGAGAGAGATTAATTAAGCGTTAAATGCGGTAGAGGGAAGCTTTCACCATCAACTCACAAATTTTAATATCGTTGAGAGAGAACAGACTCTTGATTTAAAGCTTTTGATTATATCTCATTCCTGAAAGATTTTTGTGTGCAGTTTCTCTTCCACCTGTCAGTAATTATTAACACGATTCCTGATATTTATCATAAATTTTCGTTCAACTCTTGCGCTACTCGAAAATGAAAACAAAATTATTTTAATGGGGAAACAACATTATTTAAGCAGAGGTTTTTAATTGTTTCTGTAGCGACGGGCAACATACATTAACCATAGAATATTATTATGATGATAATAATGATGAGAGAATGATGAAAAATTTACACTATTAAATATTTTCTCACATGCTTGCACATGTTTAACAGAATAATCAAAAGCAAACGGTTAGAGGCAATCATCATAGTAAATTCTGTTTTAGCTTTGTGGTTTTATGACTATGAGTCCATTTCAACGACAGAACTATGTCGCTTTTCTGTTCAAAAGATTATACCGATTGAATTTTAATTAAAAATATTTCAAGGATAGTTTGATATTCTACAAAGGAATAAATAATTAAATGTCTAGTGAGTGAAAATTTCATTCATCATGTTTTTGAGCAACATGATTCGGATGAATGTTTCAAGTGAGAAATTTTAGAAGTACATGAAAACATAAATTTATGTTTCGAAAACCTCTGAACTTGTAAGGATTTTTAATGATAAATCTAAGCATTTGTAAGGTTTCGTGCTTCCCAAATCGAGACAATTCATCAATTTGATCTCCTATCCTAATTTATACCCAATATTGGGTATAATTTAAGCTCGCTTTAAGCTTACGCAGTGCTACACGTCTGACATTTGTAAATCATAGTCAAATTTAATCCTCACTTTAATTTATATTTGAAAATCGTAAAATCTACTGCAATGAAAGTATTGAAAAAGAACTCATTCAACATTTTTATTTCTAACAAGCAACCGTTGCTTTTGTCATCGATGAATAATTGAAGAAATTAAATATAAATGTCAAAAAGCTTTTTTTTAATTCGGGACAAAGCTTTCTGAAATAAATGGTGGAGAGATTTTTATGAAGCTTTTCGATTTTAGTTTGAAAAATACGTGAAAAGTCAAAATTATCTCACGGTAAAAATTAGATTGTTGGAAACGTTTTTGCTTTTTCATTCATTTCACGTTCATTCCAATGAGTGATGAAGCATCAAAGAATCCCTGAGGCAGCAGAGGAAGGGGCGCAAAAAAACTAATAAGTGTCATAGACACCCTCGTGCTTTATTAAATCTCACTCGACTGTCATGCGACAAAAAGACAAAATCAACGGCAGCAGGAGAAGAAAATTCAATGAACAGGAATAATGAAAAATAGAGATAGAAAAAAACCGAAGGATGTTTCTTGTTATGTATTCGCAATACTTCATCCTAAATGCATGTCATAACCTGCGCTACACTTTTAGAAAAGCTTCTGATTATTTCTTCCTGAAATATGTTGTTGGATGCCTGCCACTGATTTTTTATCATTTCCTTTCTATTTTTCCTTAAAGCATGTTGACACTATTGACAGATTTAAATCATTATAATATTGCTTTTTTTATCGCATTCTTGTCGAAGAAATGACTTTGTATATTTACAATGACGAGATAAAAAGACAACTCGAACTTGGTTATCACTCACTCACAACTTTCATAACATCAAATAGATTGAAAGAGGATCTATCTCATTAGTGTCACGTTTTAAGTCAACCTTCTTGCTCTTGCAACAGAAATGACAAGACAATTTTCCATCATAACTTGTATAAATATTGATTTTGTCTGAAACAAGAAATAATAAAAGAAAAGATTAGAAAATTTTAATTATAAAATTCTGCTAATCATAAACCACAATGCAATGGAGAGGATTTATTTTTCCATCAGCAACCACAGCTGATTTTCAGGAATTTTCAACAAATTATAAACGATTGATTGAAGATCTGACCACTTAAAATTGAAAATTTTCGGAATTTCGCTGCTTTCTTCTTTAATCTTTTCATTATTCAACAACGGAAGTAATGAAAGTTTATTGAACTTTAGAAATTGATTTTGAAAAACATCAAAAATTCCATAATTTCGATATTGATTTCTAATTATTATTATTAAAACTAACTGGTAAATCGCTATGCACGCTTTTCAATTTTAGTTCAAAGCTGACAAAAACGCTTTAATTAATTAATTAAAGCGATAAAATAGGACAAAATAATGATTTATTTGAATGAATTTTTGATGTAAATTCTCCTCCTGTGAACACGAAAATTATTCAATAATTGTTTTACACTGCACAGCAATGATCAAAAGAATCCACAAATTATATTTTTTGTCGCTCCTCCCACGCAACTGTCAATTAGCGAGAGAAAAAAAATGATTAATAAAGCATTGTTAAAAATGAATTTTGAGGGTAATGAATTGACGTAAATTTATTAACAATTATAAAATATTCAAACATTGCTTTCTACGTGATTTATCGAGATTTATTTTCTTTATTTAAATTCAAAGTTCGAATATCAAAATGTTTTATGTTGGCTACTACCTACATTTATGGGGCATTGTGGTGAATAAATGCTGCGAAGCATGATAAAATTCAAATACAATTCCAAATTTAACTTTTGTTAATACAAAATTTTGGACAATTTTCTTACTTTCTTCTTCCATTTCAAACCTTCAGATTATAATTACAAACGTTTGAAACTTTTGCACATAAAGTTCGTCTTGTTAATAATACTTAAATGATAAGAAGGTGTGAAATTGCTTCAATATTGGCAAATTCCATGTCTGCATACATGAAAACTTACTTTGGAAAAGTAGAGAAAAAAGAAAGAAAAGTTTAACACATGACATCGTCATTTTGGAATATCATGTGTAAGTATCAACTTTGAAAGGGTTTCTGTGGTAGAAGGGAGAGTGACATGTAAATAAAGAAGCTGTTTAATCAACTCATTTGAATCACTGCGTGATGCTGCAGCAAATTTCCCACTGTTAACCACAAATACGGTTTTATACAATTTTTTTGTTCCTCATTTGAAGTCACGAAGGAAAAAAAAAGAGTTTCATGATTCTTGGTATCACCCAACACAGTATGATTACGTTTTTGTTTTGCGTAATTTAAAATTATTGCTGTAATGCTTGAAGAATTGTGAATTAAAAAAATACTTGGAAAAAATTGACGTGGTTATAAAATGAAAAATATTTCAAAACTTCTTGCGCTTCCAAAATTAAGCTTTCATATCCTGAAATATCATTTTACACAGCAAATGTCACTCACTTTTTGTTATTCTCAGAATTTGTCTCGTTTGTAAACTCTTTTATGCGTTTTGATGTGTTGAGTCAACACAGGCAAAATGGAAAACGACGATTATAATAAATTTAAATTAATTCGAGTAACACATACATAAATGTTGGAATGTAAGCAAGTGAAATGGAATTACATTTGAATCTCGTTCATGTTTAAATATTCTTCTACTTATAAGTGCTTAGATAAGCTTGGAGAATCTTAAAAGCTTGTGAGTTGTTAACATTCATTTCTAAGATATTTTCAATTCTTTAATCAGGGAGGTTTATAACACGATACGTGTCTTAATCATCATGCTTCACGTGGTATTATCGATGTTTTTGTTAGCGTTTGGAAGTCATCGTCATAAATTATGGAAACTTTCTGAAAACACCAATTAATATACTTTGTGGCTGGCAGATCTTTACATTAATTGATTTTGTTCACTGGAGTGTAATAAATCTTATGTAATTTCGTTTATTGTTGGTGGTGATGAGGACAAAATAGCAACTCAAAGTTAAATGTCTTTAAAATAGCTTTTACAACAGAAGAATCAATTTAAAGTTAGCTTGTTGTCGGTGGAAATTTTATAACAAGTTTTGTGGTTCACGTTGCTTCTATTTTCGTGCTACGAGAAAACATTTTTCTGTGCTAATATTCAGTTGGTTGAGAACAAACCTCAATAATTTTAAAACATGCTATCCGAGAGTGAAGGTTTAATAAATAAACGGAAACTTTTTCAATTTATTGGTAGTCTGACACCCAAACGAACCGTTTGAGACTTCACTTCTATCTTTTATTTTTAAATGATTTCCTACAAAATTTCAACATTTCACTTTGTTCATCCAAAATTGGTTGAGAATGCCAAACATTGTTTTCATTACTTTCAAAGTGGATTCAAATTGGAACAGCAGAAGAAGTTGTTAAATGGAAATTGCTTTGAATTCAAAGTTACCAGAGGTGTTAACAGCTCCTAATTCATTTTTAACCAGATATGTTAATTTATAAATATAAAAACAATCTTCGGGTTAGACATGAAAAGTTTGCATTTTCATTAAAAATTTAATTTAAATTTCTATGCATAATTCTTTATCCTTGCATCTTTTTAATTAGATTAGTCGCTGTGTGACGGATTCACTTTAATTAAAACACCGCTTTATGATATTATTGCGTTTTAGACGTTAGAATTATGATTTATTTTATACAGTAGCGAGTTAAATCTCAAAGGAACCCATGCTGATCATGATGTAGTTGATGAAGTTATTGACGGCTATGCACAGAGATGATGACAAAGCTTATGATAATGGAAGACATTTAAATAATGAAAATTTATTTTTATCACTGGATTCGATTTTTACACTTTGACTCTCAAACTTTACGTTTTGTTTAAAAACAGCAATTCAACGTAAAGTTTATTGCGGAACTTCCTTCCACATTTTGAGTTAAGGTAGGTTGAATACTTTTACATTTATTCATATTGTTCTGTAAAACCGGAAGTAAAATGTACGACGTCAAGTGAGCTTGAAAATGCTGGTAATTAAAAATTTATGCAACATGTGATTGTCGCTGATTAAAGGGCAACTATCACGCAACAAGAATAAAATGTCGCTTGATTACTGAATATAATTATAATACTGAAGCTTCTCACGTGACCATTAGAAGTAGAAAAATACAAATTTAATTTTTATCGAAAACATTCTCTGGAATATCGTTGCGTGCACGTAAGTAGATGTGTCAATTAATATAAAATATTGTTATTAAAACTGAACAAAAGTGTATGATTAATTGGCAATTTAAAATTTAAATGAATTTTTAATAAAAATAAGCCATTCGTAACATTTGACGTCATTGAAGTCACGATAAGAAAAGTCAATCAAACTTCACACGAACATTTTACTGAAATATGAAGAAATTTTGTTACATCAATATTGATAAAGTTTCGATCAACTTTCATCTCTCAGGTGAATCGATTACAGATTTATTCAAGTGATTATATCAGTGGATGTTTGTCACATTTCCAAGGGAGAAACGTCTGGCATTGACATTGAAGTGAAACAATGGGAAGGTTTCGTGTTAGCGTATTTATTCAGTATTTTAACAGTTTCTATGGCCTTCCACAACAGAAACTTGAAAAAGCCTCAGTGTTCAGTGAAATTTCCCGCAGCGTAATTCTGCTTACTTATTCCATCGAGAACTTTTCGAGAAATTCAATTAATTGTTATGATTTCGCTATGACTTTGATGTTTATTTAATTCATGTCTTAAGAGCAAATACAGCTTAGATGGAAAAGAAGGAAAGAGAAAAGTTTCAAGGCATGAAGAGAAAAACCTGATGAAGATATCTTGAGAAAGAATAACTTTTTTATTTCTTATTCTTCTCGGCTGGCAAACTATGCGGAAACAAACCACATAAACATTAACCTTGAGTTGAATCCAAAGTTCGATGAAAAGAGATTTTTCTTTCACCCTTTTATCCAACTCTTATTAAGCAGTTATGATCTTTTAAAGTTGAAGGAAAACTACTAAAGAAAACTTTCTTTTTCTTCTTCCATTTTCAATAATGATCAGCAGGAAGTCGACAAAATGGATACGGAAAATTTCATTTAATGATACTCGAAGAAAAGAGAAGAAAAGCAAAAACACAACAAGAGCAAAAGAAAACTTTTTTCATCTTCTAAACTTACATGAATTTCCAACATGTTGTTAGCTTCGAAACAAGTGTACATAAGTTTTGAATTAAAATATTTTGATAGATTTCCGAATAGGTTTTGACCCTCGTTGTTATTTTTTTATTTCATATTTTTTATGTGATGTATGCGAAAGCTTTCCTCTTAAATGTCAATGATTGTAGGTGTATGTTGCGTTGACAATATTTTGCTCTACATATTTGATTTATCTTATGTTATCCTTTTGTTATATTTGTATTCACTTTGAACAGTTCATACCATTAAAATTTATTCCTTTGTTATGGTTCTCAGACGACATTTGAAACACTTTGAAACGAAATGTTACAAACATTATGTTTATGTAAATAAACTTGAAATAAATCATAGCAAAAGATTGTTGCGATATTTTCATCAGAATTAATTTCCTTTTTACCTTCTCAAAATAACAAATTTAACTAAATACGTCAATGTAATCAGAAACGATAATTTATTTGCAATTTTCAGCACTCTAAAGTTGATGAGAAAACAGAAATTAAATTTAAGACATGGGAAAATATTTTCTTTCAGGCTGAAATCTCATTGCAAAGCGTTCACTTTCAGATGATGAAGCGTATGTTTATATCAGTCTTAACTCCAAGCATATCTGTCATTAATTCTTGTATCCTGAGGGTGAAGTGTGTGAAAAGGAATCTCGAAAATATATTTTGTATTGTGACAACTGACAAGGCAATAACAAGACGCTTTACAAGGATGTTTCATCTCCTTCATCTTTTATTTTAAAGATAAATAAAATACACCCACGCACACATACCCACAAGTGTTTTTATTAGTACTCTAAAATATTAACATCACTGTTGATTATTTAGAATGCTCATCATGTTTTCGCTGTCATGTTTATTCAGCTTCATCCAAGTTTATCTGCGACAACTAGAATTAAGAATTTAATTGAAAACGAACAGCATTCGAATGAAAGTTGAAGATGATCGAGTAAATCAACTTAATGACTTTGAAGCTTTTGCCATAACGAAACCATAATTGCTTTTCATAATTTTGACCCCGTCAAAACGAGCTTGACATGAGTGAGGGGAGGCGAGAGAAGTTTCATATGTGAACTGTAGCCAAGAGGTTATTTATGCTTAAGTCAGCGGAAAGATGAATCATAACCAGAGAGGGTAGAAAAGTTATGATAATATCAACGTAAATGCTTCGATTATAAGTCTTATGTCCGTTGTATACTTACTTCAAACCCTCAGGGTTGTTGTGCAAACAATAAAGAGAAAAAAAAATCTGAATTCCCTGAAAAACTTTTGCTTGTTCACTTAAACTCGATGAAGCGCACATGTGGTGAAACATATTGTTTTAGACGTCGTTTGCTTTTTTTCCTTCCCTTCTCTCACTCACTCTATATCTCTCTCTCTCTCCTGCGTCATGTTATTGAAAATGTCTCTGTGAGGAAAATTTCTTTCATATTTTTATTTATGCGTTATTTGATTCTTCCCTTTTTTTTTACTTTGTTAAAGTTTCATCACCAATAAACCCTGAGAAATTCGATCAAATTTGTCTCGATAGCAAACGCACCACAATGGAGAAGTATTCAATAAAAGTCATGTTTCCACTCCCTACAGCTCAATATGTTTAGTTTAGGCATCTTCATTTTGTTGAGACCTTTTTCTGCTTACTGCTGCGTGCATGTTCATCATAAGTGTACATAAAATATTAGTTGAAGACAAAGCCAGCCAATAATCGATGTTGAATCATATGGTGCAAGTAAATATTCAGATTTTTGGATAGTTTGTGGCATAGAATGAAAAATATTTCTTGATACACTAAAGAACTATCAAACAATGAACAGTCATATTAAAATCATCGAAAACGATGACGTGGCACTTACTTTGCTGTCACTTTTCATGAACATACGCGATTGTAATTAAGCTCAATTAAATGAATTATTATACATGCTTTTAGTGCCTATTTTAGTTCAAATCGTGATTTGAATTGATGGTTTCTTTTACCAGTAGTTATTTTGTCACTTTGTTGTTAGCTTTTGTTTCCATTTTATTTCCTTTTTATAGCTGTCCAATTTTGTTCTGATGTGAAAGTACGTAAAATTGTAATTTCTAATGTCTCATTAAGTAAATACAATTTTAGACACTTTTTCTTCCACGCTGCCATGCCACGAGCATACCTAAATTAAATATTAAACTTTGGCAGATTATTTACTTACTTTAGATAGTTACCTTCACTTTGAACTTTAACTTTTCTTTTTCCTTACTATTATTAATATTCTTACCATTGTTCTTGACATAAAAATTTGTAGAAAATTCTTCGTCTCGATTTTTCTTTTCGTGAAACTCTTTCTGAATTTAAAGTGAGTTTCAGAGAAGATTATTTTAATATCAATAAAATACTTTCAATAAGTCAGCATTAATATTAATTCAATTGTTTCTGGTGAGATTACGTTCAGGAAATCAAGTTCAATGATGGAAAAATTTCTGTAATAAAATCAAAATCATAAACGTGAAAATCATTTTAGTCAAATTTATAAAAACTTAAAGCATCTTCCAATTGGACATTGCCAACAGTGCGTCAACAAGCTGCGGTTTCACACATGCGAATTAATTTTGACCTTCATTTTTATTTAATTTTTTGGATTGAGAACAAACATCGCACATAAATATAATTTTAATTATAAAATAATAGAACTGCAACTCCCATGTTTATATACTTGTTTGCTTTTATTATTGAAAATATAAATTAAAAATTTATTTTATTTTTCATCGATGTTTGTTATGCAGTTCATGTTGATGCTGTTGCTTGATGCAGTTGTTCTGTTGTTTCAGTAAATATATTTCATGATTTTGAGTATATTAGAGAGATAGAATGAAAGTTGTTCTGTTCGATCAATGCGATGTTCAAATTCATATCTCTCCGTTCTTAAATTGTTTGCCGTTCAATAAAGCGAATTCATTTTCTGATGTTATTCCGATGGAACAGATAACTTGGTGTCGTTATATTCATTACTAGATTTTTGCAATACAATTCCAAAACACTTTATTGTATTCATCGGAAAATTCATTAACTTACATTTAAAAATAATTAAAATATTGTTTTGTTATCATTCACCTCAATTAATGTTTTAAAATAAATGTAAATTTATGTTGTGCATGTGAAGTTAAGGTAAATGTTTACAATTCCACTTTGAGAGAGATATCACGAGACATTTGGGATTATCACACATCTAGTGGGTAGATGAAAATTTTATAAGCTGATGAGATAGATTAAGTTGAAAATTGAAAACAGTGGGTGGCATGAAACTTAGTGATTTGTTGAAAAGTTAAGCTTTTGTTGATATCTCGGGGTTAAGAATTCATTCGTTTCAAAATAACGTTGGAAATGTCATCGGTTGCTTCACAATGAGCGCTTTGAGACTATCACAAAGTTTCCCTTCGTCAACGTTATTTTTTGTGTGTCTTCTCAAAAGAATTGGCAAAACCGAATACAAAAATAAATAAATCGAATGATGCATGCGCCTATTGCCTGTTCATTTCTTCTCATACTTCTTTCTTGCTTTCTTTATACCTGAAATAAGCTTATAAAAATAAATAGATATAAAATAAATTTCCTGTCATTTTTGTTTGATCGTGAATTTTTATTCGTCTTCTTTGCTTTATTGTTCGATTAGCATAATTACCAGAAATGTGATTTTGAAAGGAAACGTTCATTTTCCGCTTTTCTGTTTCTACGTTTCAAAAACACAACCAGCAAATCATTTTCAATTTAATGCTTGACGAGTTACCCAATTTATTTGCTTCACGAGAACATGTCGAATATTGTTGGATATATTGGCAATTTTCGTCGTTCAAAATTGTTTTCTCTTTTTTTATTTTCCCTCAAAGCGATTTTTTTTCTGCTGTATGTGTTTAAAAAAGATGTGAGCTTAATATACATTAAGCAGATATACATCATATAAGCTGTTCATTCACAGCTGTTTTCTTTGGAATTTAAATGTTTTGCTTCGGTATCGACGTTGAGTGTTAAAGAAGCTTTTAAGAGACTTTTCAAGGATAATTTTGTTTTTCTAATTGAATTCTTGTCTACTTAACCGAATCGATAATGATGAATCATTTTTTTTGAATATACTGACGCAGTTTGATTTCAATTCCCAAAAGCAATTACTGTTCATAATTAATTGCCAATTTTATTATTCATTTGAAATTCAACTTTTATCGCATTAGGAAAATTTCCAGTGATATAAATGATGATTATCAAACAACATACAGCAATCAATTGTGTGACTCTTCCGAATGAATTAGTGGTTGGTTTTAATCTAGATACAATGCATTTTAATTTATTGGTTTCGAGACTTGCTTTGGTTTTACTGTTTACAGTATACGTGAATCATATTTCTCGAGTGGTTTCTTCATTCTTATTCCTTCTAAGCATCTTTGGTAACTTAAAACTTCCATTTACTAAGGAAAATGGAAAATTCCTTTGTTGAACATGGAAAATATTTCCATTCCTTTATTTCACCTCGCAAATATTGTTAATGACGTCGAAATTAACTCGGTCGCAAATTTTTTCCTTCTATTTGGTTTAAAACAATGTCTCTTTATGTTGTGATTAATGAACAATGCCATCATTTATAATGAAATCAAGACAAACAAATGGAAAACACGAAAATAGGAAAATAAACAAGAAAATTCGCCATCGTCATAAATCGTTTTAAGCTTGAAATAAATTTCTCAGTGATACAAATTCGTCTACAAATGTAATAAATTCACTTCAAGGAGCTTTCAAAAAATAAATTCCAATGGATGACGATTATTCTTGTACTCTACAACTTTTATTTAATATTCTTTTCTTTATGTTGATATAAATATTCAGATATAAAACAGGTGATATAAAGGCAAACGATAAATAAGTAATTTTCTACTCAAAGTTTAGTCAAGTTAATGTTTAACTTTTTCACTGGAAATTACTGGTTAAATTCTCTTTTGAATGTTTTATGTGACATCAGAAACTTCAATTGTTATGAGTGAAGTTCATTTGCGATTGTTGACTCAAAAGCCTTAATTTCATTTCAATCTTTTTATATCAAATATTTGTTAGGCAAGGGGTAAGTAAAGCATTCAAGAAAGGACAAAATTGGCCGTTATTTTCAAATTTAAAATGATCATCATAAGGATTCTTTCACTGACCTACCCTTTCCAATTAAGAAAAGAATTTCTGCTATTTTTGTTTCTTTTTCCTTTAAAAACTGTAAACTTCGAGAAACAACCTTAATTGTGCAAAGAAGAAACATCAACAATGTAGCTCACTTTTACCTCAATAATTTGATCGAATTCTTCTAAGCATTCTTATGAAACATTCTACATGTATTAATAATGCCATCAACATAAAAGTGAATGAAGTATGAAGAAGTTATGAATTTATAATAAAGAGCTCTTATATCGCTAACACATAAAACACGTTTGTCCTACAACATATAAAAAGAAAACTTATTTATTTTTTTGGATATAAAAAAGGCATTTCCAACAAAGTAAACGAAGCGACGACATTTACAAAAGTATAGAAATCGAATACAAAAATGAATGTTTACACTTCTGTTGTTGCGTGCCAAGAGCGCTATGGTCGTGGTGTCGCATGTCAATTACAGTTCATAAACTTCGCTTTAACGTTGATTTTCGACTCCAACATTCCATCTCAGCCCTCGTCAGCCCCCGCTAAATTAACAAAATGTGAAAATGATTTTCTCTACCGATAAAGAAAAGGCGAAAGTTTTTTTCCTTTGTAATTTTCGACAACATTTTCAGAAATTCAGTCACAGGCAAAAAGCAAACGCTTTATTTAATTAAACACGAAGTAAACTGCCAAAATGAATCAAACTGAAAATATTATTTGTTCTTTTGAATACTTGAACAAGTTTTTGTGAATTTTTACTGAATTTAATGAATGTAAAATGCTTTCATAACAATAGCTGTTCGAACATTCGAAGCAGAATGAAATGAAAGGCTGATAACTGAATGCAAAATGTTGATTTCATAAACCTAGAGATTATTAACTCACCTTTGCATATCTCACGTACTCTCTGTACATGAATTTCTTCCTGAAAGTTTTTCCATTCTCCTCTTAACTGATGAACCGAAAGACCAGCAAATGTATCTGCGTACACTAAGTAATAGCTCCACAAAAGCTGATTGTAAATGAACTTCTATTGTTATTGCATAATTTGTTGCAAACAATGAATGGACGACTTCTTTTCTGTTGTGCAATGACTTTGCACAGTGTCCAACAATTCATAACTACATTAAGGGATTTGTAGTTCGCTATTGCAGTATTTTTTCTTACGGAAGGAACAGAAAAGCTTTTTGTTGTTGTCTACAGGGATGCTTCTACTTTAGCATTGTTATTTGGGATGAAATAAAAAGTAAAGAAAGAACGAGCGATAATGAATGGAAGATAAGGTCCATTCACGGAACAACGCTCAAATTTCTAGAGTGGATGACAATATTTTATGAAGCGATGTTGAATTCTTTATATTTCAAAGCTTTCATTACTATGAACGTTCCGTTAGAATTACATTTTTTACGTTGAAAGCTCTTGAGTCACGTTTGTTATGTCTCCATCCCGTCTGTTTCTCTCTTACACAGTTTGTCGCTTGAAAGCAAACAAAACATTTTTTTTTCTTCTCTTCAATTTTTCTGACATAGAGGCATGGGATGAAAGCTCTCAAAAAAGTCAATAAAAGGTTGAATTATATTTGATCGAGATATCAGAGAAATGGGTTAACTACCTCTGCTTCTCGCGCATACCACAAAAGACATCTCAAGGCTGACAATATTGTCGGCTTCTTGCTATCCCGGCTCAAGCTCTAAATATGACTAACATAAAACCAAATGGAATCAAATTTTTTTGTTATCCAAAGATGCCCCTAGGCTCAAAATGAATTTTATGACAAACAATTTTTTCTTGCTTTTTTTATTCTCTGTGACTGATATTTCTCTGACATTTTTTCATTTTTTTATCCAACATAGTGCTGGCATTTACGAAATGGAATCTATTGTTAGATCAACTCTTGATTTTCTATAACAAATCAAAAAAAAAAGTTAGAATCCAATAAAAAATCGATTGAGAATTCGATATTCTGTTTTTCTTTTTTAAATCAATTTGTCTGGAAAGTTTAAAAGATGTTTAAGAAGTTGTTTGTTATACACCTACATAGTTTGTGATAGAAAATTAATTTGTGGTCGAAACGATTCTAGTCAGACAATGACTTCATTAACTTTTATTTCATTTCAGAAGTTCTATGACACTTGTCTAAAAACTTTAAAAGCCATGAAAGTTTGTCAAAATGCTTTAGATATAAATTATAAGCTTTATCATGAGAAGCACTCGAAAATTCAAACAAATAAATCGAATTGTATTTAACCTTTATAGACGCCATTTGTCAGTCACCCCCTCAAAAGTCAAAACAAAAAGTCAAAGACGTGATTGATTGTCGCATCAAATATTATTTACAAATATTGAAAAACACCTGAGCTTTAGAACACCCAAATGATGCGTGAAGGGAAAAAAGCCTTGAGAGATATTTTTCCCATTTTCATCCCCATCTCATTTCAAGAAGAATGAAAAACAATGAAAGTCAAACAACAAGTTGGCAGCTTTTTCACGGGGAAAATATTCAGAATGTTGGTGTTACAGCAACAACCGAACAAAAAAAAAGTTCCATGTTTTTCACCTAAAACATACATAGTAGAATCCCATTATACATATCAATCTGTCACATGAGTGACGTAAAATGGAAATAAATAAAATTCTTTATCCTCATATCTATGTATAATGTGATATGCTAGAGTAAAAAACAGAGCTTTTTTTCCTTATGACTCGCACTTTCCCTTCGCTCTAACATAGACATTGGAATTTGGTATAAAAAGCGTATCTCATCAGGAAACGAAGAGAGAGAAAAATAAAATGCGAACCGAAAAGAAATCAGACAACGTAGATATCTAAAACACCACGTTCGATGCGAATATATTTCTTGATATTGAATATCGTTTTTGATATAGAAAGCACCTGTCATTTTCACCCATAGAGTTTGACTTTCTTTTCATATGATGTTCGGTAAACAAATAAATGTTGATTTTATAACAATATTGATGAAGCGAACTGACTCTACATCGCAGATGCTTTCTAAGTAATTGAAGTCAACTTAAAGCTTCGAAGTTATGAACGTGCGAACAACAATTCTTAGTCTTTGGTTTCTTTTTTATAAAAGTGATCATTATTGAACTAAACAAAATGTTGGTTTCAATTAATTGACAATGTTAAATAGCGTAGAACGCTCTCCAATTAAATATTTTTCTTCTTCTCCTTTATTTTTCTTTTCGCAAAGTTTTATTGGTCATAATAACATTATAAAGACATTCTCCAATTCCATAAAGTCTTTTGTGTTGTGAGAATATTTGTTTTGTTTCCAAGAGACTTGCTATCGTTCTTGTATCTAAGATAATGACAAAGTATACAACGTAATTAAGAAAACAGAAAGCAATTTCTACACATTAGTAACTAAGGGGAACTTAAGAGAAAAAAGAGGGAAAGAAAGTTCTTGAGTGTCCTCAAAGTTTTGAATTTCTTGAAGTGCTGATGAAAAATAGACAGTCAAAAGCGTAGCGAAGAAGAGAAAGCGAATGAAAAAACTTTCTTCTACATTACCATTGCACATCCCTTCAGTGATATTTTTCTTCTTCTTTTTGTCCATTAATTAAAAAACATTGTTAAAAAAAGTTTCTTTTTTCATTAACGATTTTACCCTCACTGCTTTAAATGGAATGCAGTGTCGGAAGATGAAGTTAACAAAAGCTTTTGTATTCATTAAACAACAATGATTGCTCCAGAATACGAAATATAAGATGAAGCATAAAAAAGCATAAATTTTTTTTAATTTCTTTAAACAATTTTTTTTTCCTTTGCTAATAAAAGAAATGAGAAGAAAGTTGAGATCTTTTTCATCTCATATCATAGCTAAGTGAGGACTTTCGCTGTTATTTTTCTAGCCTTACAATGCATTCCAACGATTGTTTCTATATCTCCTTCCATTTCTATCATTCTTTAGTTGAGTTGACCAACTCAAGTCGAAAAGGTTCCATAAGCAGACGAACAAAGTAATTCAATAATAGAAAACGTGACTATCCTATGAAATTTCTCAGTCAATTCAATTCTTATTCAATAAGCACATTCATCTTCATCTAATTCCGAAGCGCTTTTCTTATCCTACCAATCGAGACGCAAGTGTCAGATGGAAAATGACAACAAATCAAGAAGATAAGAAAAATATATAAAAATCGACAACATTGTGGAATGAATTTTCATTTCGTTAGCATTTAAGAGTCCTTTTGAAATATTCCACGTTAGTTGTCTTAACATTCAGTTTGTTGATGTTTTCCTCACTCATTTTGCTGAATATCAAATCAATTCAAACAACATAATATGGCTTAATTAGTACTTATTCCCAACATGAGATATCTAATCAAATTATTGCTCTCTCCTTATTCTTATTTACAATCTCCTACTAAGCATTACATGAATAACGTTAGGAAGATAAAAGCTGCTTCCAATTTAGTTTAGTTTTTCTTTTTTATTATTCTACTGCATCATCATCATCATCATCATCGCTGTAGTTGACTAGGAAAGAGAGAAAAAGTAAATGTTTGCTTCTTTTGATTGTAAGTTTACATCACTTCTTTGTTCGTTAAAAATTTAATTCAACATTCAAATGGAGTTGAAAGGTAAGAAAAAGAAAAATGAGCAAACAGAATTTACATTTTAAATTAAATTTACAAAAGTTCAACGATTTGACATTAATTCTCTCACATCGAAGCTTTTTTGGATATACTTTCACTTATCTGCTTATTTATTTCATGATATTTTCTTCTTAAACATATAATCATATATCTGAATACATAAAATTAATGAAACCCAAGTGAGTTATCAGATTTCCTTTCTAAAACCAAGATTTACTATCGCTCTGAAAAGCTTATTCTTATACACATTTTCGAAGCTTTTTTTAATAGAAATCCTAGGTAGAAATAAATTTCAATGCAATATTATAATTGACAGAAGTGGAGAGAAACTAAATCGATTCTAAAAGTTATGATTGCAAAACGGAAAGTGGGATGTCTGCGTTTTATTTGGAAAAGTTCCATTAAAAGACTTTGTTCCTTGGTTATTTTATTTGGCAACAACAGACATAAATTCTGAGATAGCATTAAAGGAAGTCGAGGAAGGAACTATCTAAGTATAGATGAATCATCATAAACAATGTTATGTAATAATAAATAAATGAATTTAATTGTTTTCTCACCGTAAATCATTCCTCAAATCATCTGAATTTATTGTTATGCAGAAAAAATTTACACATTGGCAAGTGTTTTGTGATGCAGCAAAAATCCAATTTGAATCTCATTATCTTTTGTGAAAAATAAATTTCTTGGCTTTATGTATCTGATATATCAATTGTGGTGATGCAGAAATTCATCGATATGGAAGGAAAAGTGAGGAACGTGTACCGTGATATACCGCACGATACTTCAATGATTTATTTTTCTTCTTCAACTCGAGATAGAAGAAAAATGATAGCTTAGGAAGGAAAGCGAATAATATTACATATAGTGAGACATAAATAATAGTTGAAAGTAGAACAAAAGCAAACTCGATGTACTTACATGTGAATAAATGAAATAAATCGCTTTCTTGAAGTTTTTTATTATATTTCTAAGAGTTGTAGCGAAAACAATTTAAAACGCATACGAAGCCACCACATTAAAGCATTAAAGACAAAGGTAAACAAGTGTTAGACACAAAGTTCTTTCCTTAACCTTCGTCAATCTTTAAACTCAGTTATCAAAAAAGTTTTCCTACTGGCGACTTCTCAGTTTCACCAATAAAAAAAATTCTTCTACATTGTTTTCTTATCGATGTTCTTTTTCATTCAAAAAGCCCCAAAGAAAAACTTATCTTTATGGTTTCGTTTTTTCATACCTTTTCTTCCTTTCTGTTCATTCATCTTTAATGATTTTATTTCCCGAGTTACCTTTTGTTTCACCGCTTACGCCTCGAACTTTTACTTGTGTTCCTTGGGCTTGATGAGTCAACAAAAAATATAAAAAGAAAATTTTCTAATGGAAACTTTTGGTATTTAAATTGCTCAATTATACGAAATGAAATGTTAATTCCTTCTTGTGTGAATTTTCTTAAGGAAAATTTTTCTAATTTTCAGCTTACGATATTATCCGTCATTCCACGTCATCGAAAATCAAATAAATGTCGATAGGAAAATTTATTTCCGCAATTATGAAAACCATTGTATGGTGAACATAAAATCGAGGTTTAAATGTTTACTTCGACAAACAACTGCTTCCTGTTGATAGCAATGTTATGTACGAGTCTATTTACTCAAGTATTTTATCAATAAATTTCTCAATCATTAATCTCCAACTAAGCTTTTAGCTTTCTCCCTGGTTGGAAGAGTTCACTGAAAGCTAAATAACTGGAGAATGATTTTATATTGCAATTTCATTATTATCGGAAATAACCCGATTATCAAGGACTTAAATAAATCACACAAATAAGGGGTGTCATCATCTCCATTAGTTTCCAATGTACATGAAGCTTGAAGTGGAAGAAAAGTGCTGATAATTTTTAGTGTTTATCGTATGAGCTTCGAAACTTTTCCTTTAATGCTAGAAAATTTCATCAGCTATTTAATTGTGCGGAAAATTGATGCTTGCCACTCGAATGGACATATAAGGTTAACCAAAGATATCTGAAATAAGTTTCACTATGACACATGCATTAATTAAATTTCCTTTTTTAATTTTCTATATTTAGATACTTTATTTTCTTTCTTCTTTTAGATTTCTCTTCAAATATATTTTACATCCATAATTCTTTAATAATTTTAATTTATCGCTTCTCAATAAAATCACAAAAATTGTATTTTTTTTTAATAACAATGGCATAATGTTTTACATTTTTTTATTCCTTCTTCCTTTGCTCACTCTTTCTGAATTTTACAATTGATGAATGTTAAATTAAAAAAATATTTTCCTTTCCACTCTTCACATTGTTACACATCTTTTTGTTCTTATTTTTGTATTCGAAACTTAGAAATTTTGTTCATAAGAAGTAAATATTTACATGCACAAAATTATTTTCTCTCTTTTCGAATCAGACGGCGGAAAGATTTTAAATTATCGATGAAACATTTAACAACGTAAGAACACGATTTTCATGATGGAAAATTTATCTTTTGCGAGTAAACTAGTTACGAGCTTGTATTTAACTTATTTCATTTAATCATTCCACGTCTAAAATTATTTTCAAAGCTTCGTGTATCGTTCATGACGTTACGTATAAATTTTCATTATGTTACATAAATTCATGTTTGTTGTCAACTAATTTACATTAGATTTTCATTTTCTTTTCTTTATGCTCTTCAATGAATGAAAGAAGTTTTTGCAATCTGCAGAAATACTGAAGGACGATCAAAACTTTCGGTTTACAGCAATTAGGAATGTTTCCGTATTTTCTTCCGCTTTTATTAAAGTTGTAGATAATTTTTTGTTGTTGTCTTTTGTGTTCCTGTCTTCGGATAAACAAACTAAAAAGTTGCAAGAAAGATTCTGCACTTTGTCTTCTCATAAGTTGGAGTGGTTGGGTTGTTGGAATGAGTTGTGTAAAATGAAAATTTATTAAAAATTTATGGCATGCTTTACTTTGTAATCTTATTTTCATGGTAATCTCTTATTCCAAGTCTTATTCAGTTTTAATAATCATTAAAAAATCACCAGCTTGGATTTTTCATTCACTTAATTTTCCATGTTAAAAACTGCAGAAATTACAAAGCAAAATTAAGTTTTCTCTTATCCATTTTCTCTTGACCAATATTAAATTTGAAAGTAGTTGATACTCTTATTAAGTCGTATAATGAATATGCAATGAGATACGACATCACGTCATGAGTCATTAAATGTTCCTCAATTAACTTTATTGATTTCCATTAAATACTTCGACATGATTAGTCGTCAGCATATTGTCATCTTTGATGCGGAAAGTGAAATGATTTTGTTGAAATAATTAATTTATTAGATTTAGGTATTTAAACTGTTGGATTGGTATCACTATGATACAATTGAATATCTCATGCTACATTATAATTAATCATTCTTAAACTATTGCAAAATATAAATTCAATTTAATTCCACTTTCTTGGTTGAATAATCAATAAACATTTAGTTTAAGTGTACTCGAGAACTGAATGGAAATTTATTAGTTGTTTAATAACATGTTATGCTAATTAATTAAATTTAATTTAGCTTTTTGAAATGTCGGACAATATAAAAATTTCATGAAAGTAAAAGTAGAAAGAATTTTCCCATCAATTTTGTGTCTTATAAAATCCTTCGTATCAGATCTTTTAAATTTACTAAAACAATGAGCATAGAAAAGATGTTTCTAAAAACATTTGGTGAATGACTTGCTGGGTAAACAGTTGTCGTACTGCTACTCGTAATGCTTTTATTTGGTGTCGCAGCAATGTTGGCAGCTGGTTTTTCGCCTGAATGTTTGAGAAATAAAGGAAAAAGACAACAAGTAGTGAACAAAGGTTATTTTTATTGCACTTATTGCTACATTGTATGTTCGTGTGTTCACTCTGAAAGTTATAAAAATTTCATGCATATTTTTAGAACTCGTTTTGTAAATTCAAGTGCCGCAAAAATAGCGAAACAAACTGAAAATTATTCCAAACATTCCTTTTATAAAACATTTCTGAGTTTGAAAAGCGGGTCATATTAAACATTGCGCGATATTGGAGTCGACTAAAATATTTCATTCCTTGTACATGTAAAGATTTATGATACTTAATGCACCTTTTGAAACTTCTTGCATAAAACTGCTTGCAATTTTTGGTCGATAAAAGGATTTGTAGATAAAGTTTAAAGCTTTTCATTCCCTTGGATGTACGGAAAACTCTGATCATATGCATGTAGTTGGTAATTAAGTTTTAAGGATTAAAAGTTTTCATCATCCCCACTATCAATTTGGAAAATTATCATTATTCGTCATGTTCATTTAGAGATTTGTACTTTCCTCTTTCTTTAATGACCAAGAGTGAAACTTTTCATTTATTTCCACCCATAAAAAAATTCCGAATGAACGTTTTACGGAAATGAACGAATCGTTTGCCAAAATTGGAATTTAATTCTTTAACTTTTCTTTTGTATAATATATTCTTTTGTATAAATGTCCAAATATATCCATAAGAAAATATGTACATATAAGCGAGCAGTGAAGCGTTTGTTTTCTTTTCTCTAAAAGGATTGAAAAACGAATGAATGCAGACATGCTCAGTGTTCATGAAGAAGGCATGAAAAGTGGGAAATGAACATAATTTTTATAGTGCAGTAGATACGATCGTTGTCTGAATTTTCTGTTTCAATGTTTCATGAGCTTGAGTAAATTTTGAAATATGGCTTTTCTCTTTGCTTGCTTTTTTTATTCTCAACCCCAGCAGTCATCATGTCGAGCGGTCTCTAAAATAATATTACTTCTTGCCAGCACTTTTTAAGGAAAATGAGAGAATCTTCTTTAATTATTTCGTTGCCTTTAATCTTTTTCTTTATTTTTAAACCAATTTCTGGTTAAAATTTCATTTCATAAACTGGTAAGTGAGGTAAAAAGCCTGCGTGGGTGGATGTAACAAAGGTTACTTTAATAACAAAAGGTAGCTAAATATTTTAGGGAATTCACGAAGTAAATTTGACAAACCTTTAAGGACATGAACATAAATGCTCGACTGTCTAGCATTTGCTGGTGCACATGTGTAGTTGCCTGGAAGGAAGAAAAGTCAAATAAATAAACAAAAGGAAAGTCACGTTAAATCGAATATCATTGTTTTATAAATTACCTCCGTGTCTTGCAGTCGCATTTCTCACAGTCAAGATACTCGAAGTTAATTTAGATGATACTGAAACTCCGTCTTCATGATCGTAATTAATCATTCTATCCTCATGATACCTGATAGAAATTGCACGAGTAAAGAATCCATTAAGTTTGCTCTCATGAATTGTTGGAATAATTAAAAATAAAGTAAATGACAAGGGAATCGTTCAGAGAATCAGTCGATAGAGTGACGATACAACAAATAACAGATAACAGATTAAAATTGAGAATAATGCTCTGTAAATAAACAGCAAGAGATAAAATTGAACGGTTGAGGATTTCAAAGCGGATGTGAAATTAACGGTTCGTAAAATCTTTTGTTTCCAACCTTGAATTTGTTCATCAGTTGATTGTTTATATCGACAAATCAGATAAAATGGAATAAAAAATGAAAAATACGGAAGAATAGAAATAAGAGGAAACAGCAGCTTCCATCGATCTAAATAATTTATTTAAATCTCTTACCAGAATACATATAATGGACTTTCAGTAGCACGTTTCAGCTTGCATTCTAATCTTAGTGTGGACCCTTCATTTATATGCAAATCGGGCGCTTCTATTATTTCAGCTACGGCCTCTGTTGAATGAATGAATGAATGAATTGCGATTGGGGGGCGGAAAGAATAAAAAAAGGAAACGAACGTCAGTAGAGATAAGGCAAACGAATGGCAACTTAATGCGCTTTATGTCGATGAGTTCTCATTGTTGCCAAGAGCGTACTGGAGGCGATTGTTAAATGAATTGAATTAAATTAAAAAACATAAATTAACTTTCCGTATAATTGTTAATTTATCTTTTTCTCGCTCACCATGAGCCTTGAAACTTTCTCTTCAACGAAACATTATTTTCTATTTCTATCTCTCGAAACCCCCATCGTACCTTTAGTGTTATGTATTTTGATCATGGAACATTTTCACACTAAATTTCACCAACCCAAATATAAAAACAAGAAGAAGAAATCAGTTAGATAATTTATATAAATTAAATTTTCTATGAAGAATTTTGTTCTCTTTCAAATGGGAAACCCAATGGAAAATGAAAAGGGAAACCGTCTTGGCAGTGAAAGTCAAAAGCAATAAATAAAATCGTTATGAAATTAGCAATTCCAGTTGGTAGCGTAAACTATTTAACATTAGGCGGGAAGTTACACTTCCCATTCATTAAGGCATCCCTTGCCATAAGAAGAATAATTCTATGCTTAATTGTATTCAATTGTAAAACGGTTTTCCTTAAACCCGAAAAGTGGAAATGTTTGGGCCGAGATCGTTCAAGTATCCTCCCTCTCGATGCTAAAATTCCTTCGAGAAACATTAGCAAGAAAAGGAGAAAGAAGGAAAGGGAGAGAGAGAGAGAAAGAGATGAAGAACAAATGAACATTTTATGTTCTTGTTTATTCAGGTTTTATGTTTGAACGCATTCAACACACATCGTCTTGCCATAGTTCAAGTCGAATGATGAAGTTGAAGAGTAAATATTTAGTTGTGGAATGAGACAAAACTACTTCAATGTATTTATGTCGAACATATATATGTGCAACGGTTGTTGGAAATTTCTTTGGTTTGTTCAGGAAGGGAAATTTTATCCCGCAGATATGTTCGTGCTTCAAAAACTAACAACAACTTTTCAAACCTTCTACGAAAATTCCATTTGAACGCTTTCGTTTGCTTTTGTTCGTGTTTTTTGTTATTCTTTTTCAATGAACCGCAAAGATTAAAAACTTTAATGTTTTTGACAGAGGGAATAAAATACGTACCGACTATCCTAAGTTCAATGAATATCGACTCAGGTGGATGTGTCGATAGCTGGCACTCGTATATTCCTTCGTCATCTTTGCGAGCGTTCTTTATTCTCAGCGCCCAATTTCCTAAATGCCTCGTATGCTCCACTAGAAAACGATCATCACTACTATACGTACTAAGTCCAACAGTTAATAATAAAAAGTCTTTCCGTCTGAACCACGATACCTGGGAATAGAAGACGATTAAGTTTTCTCAATCACAAATTATCTACACAATTAGATTTTCACATGAATAAATAAACGAAAAAAAGGAAGGGAAAAAACAACATGAAACGAAAACGTTGAACAAGCGCTTTTCTCTTTAATTTAAGCAACGGAAAAAGAAATGGGAAAAAGGAAAAAGAAAAAACCTACAAAAACAACCCTCGTCTTCAGCTTGAAACGTTCAATTAGCAATAAAGGAATTTCTCAATCAAACGTATTTACGGATTAATAATAATCATCATTTGTCCTTTTTTTCTGAAGATTTTCATCCAAGTTTCCAAATGAGTTGAAAGCTTTTTATGTTTAAGAAATGGAGATTATAATTTGTTATGATATTTTGTTGATGACTTGATAAATGTGTAGCAACTGATGTATGTTGAGCTTCTGAGATCAAATTTATTTACTTTTCGTGTTTTCAATTTCAAAACTTTTCACTTTAGATTGAATTCATTTTTGAAGGAAAACAAAATCTAGAAAAAATATGTTGAATATTTCATGATTATCTCTTATGTATGAAGCATAACTTGTCTGAATAATACTGCATAAATGGAAAATTTCAACAAAAGGAAAAACATTGAATTGAATTTGCATTGCCAATGAAAATCTTTCCAACAATGATAAAATAAGATTTTGTGTTGGTTAGAAGTGATGGAGATTTAAATCTAATTTTTCTGATGCAAAGTTGGGATTGTGACGGTCTTTGTGAAGAATTCCCCTTTGGCCATTAAATTCAATATTTGATGGTCTCATAAATATTAAGAACAACCGATATCAACATATCGTTCTTATGTAAATACATAAATAAATATATTTTAGGCAATAGATGCCAATCCCATTTTCCCCGAACAGAATTTCATAAAACTGATATTTTATACGACTGTTTATGTGTCTTTCACCCCAGCCGACATTTAAAGCTTCCTAAGTGTCACTCTCAACAGAGCAAAGTGAAGGAAAGGCCTTAGGATTGAAAAAGTGAAATTTTGACGTTTTCTTTTGATTAAATTATCGTTTGAAAGTTCCTTTCATTCATTGATTCAATGTTTCTGCAATATTTTCATTCCCTTGAGTTTGTTTTCCTTCTTTGAACATTTTCCTGCTGCATTTTTAGTTCCTCTCTGTAGTGAAAGATGCTTCAAAAAGCTAATATTTATTTAATCGTTCAGAATATCAAGCTTGGAAAATCATCAGAAAACTTTTCTTTCTTTCAGATGCCAGTAAAATAATTTTTCTATCCATTTTTTGTGCTTTCAGGCTGTTTGATTATCGTTGTTGAGAATGAAGAGCAGACTCTACTTATATTTTCAATGAAAACGCCAAATTGAGGTTTATTTAACTAAACAACTTTGTGAAGAGTATTTTCCTATCAACTTCCAAGATGAATAAAAAAATTCTTCTCTATTGAATATTTTATTGTTTCCGCCAAAGAACTCTCGCTTACTTCTCATGAATTTTTCACAAACGAGAAAAACTTCATTCTCGTTGTTGATCTTCAAAGAGTCTTCACATTTATAGGCAAATCTTTGTGTATTTTTGAAGTAGATCTGGATATATTTATTTTGAAAACATGAGATGAATTTCTAACTTTTATTTTTCTTTTCTTCATCCCTGAGAAGTTTTTTCTCTTTAGGAAAAGCTTTAAACAATAACAATAGAAAATTATTTTGAAAAAGTAAAGTTTTAAATAAAATATTCAATTTTGTTTTTTTAAGCATTTTTCTCATCTTAAGATAAATATTAAGCACAGGTGAAGATACATTGAATAGTTTAAATATAAGAAAAGCTCTTAGAAAGTTTAATTTCGTTGAGAAGTTTTAAATTTTTATTATTTTACTAAACCTACATAAATATTTTAACGAAGACCGAACATACGTAGCATAATAAATTTCATTTACACTTCACTTAACATTAAAACTTCATTATAAAAACACCATAAAGTTTGACCTCAAACCTATTCGACTAAAACAGAAATTCAATTTTATTGATTTACTCTCTAGAAATGGAATAAAAAATGAAAACCTCTTTAAATGTTTTTATTTGCCTTCTTTTCTTCTTGATATTTAAGTTGAGTTTTCTGTTTGACTAGCTTCGAAGACAATTTTTCATTCGCTCTGCTTAGCGTAAGAATAATTTGTTCTTCGGGAGGGATTGTTTTTGATAGGATGTTTTAAGTAATATAAATACTTACTTACAGTGGCTGGTTGAGTCATTGTGACGCTACATGGCAGAATTGCGAGTCCACCACGTTGGCTTATCACTCGTGTACTATTTTTTGTTATAAAATGACTATTTACAGATGACAATGAATTTCTGTGCATGTTTCTCAGCTCGTTGGATTCTGTGGAACAGGAAAAAAATAGCGAAAAGCATTTGTTAATGAAGAAAAATGGTGAGCAATAAATTTTATTAATGCTTAGGTATTTCGGACGTTTTTCACACCCGAAACATATCCCGAGTTAACAGAAACAAGGATTGTGCTATTTTATTTTCAGTATGCTACAGCAGTGTGGAGAAAGCCGCAAATATTTTGATTTAAACAATTTTCTCGTTTATTTTTATTTCAGGGACGCTACAAAAATTTTGAAAGTAGACGAAAGAGAAAAAGATGTTCACCGCTTTGATATCTTCCATTGGTTGGTCGGCAGTAATTTAAAACACACATCGTAAAAAGCTCTTTTAGCAAACAGAAAAGAGCATTTGTTGAAGAATGTTTCATATTTGTTTGTTTATATGGAACGATTGAAGTAATTATTACATGGCTGGTTGGGAATGAAGCACATAAAACAACCTAGAAACTCAACATTTGTACTTTTTTACGATTTCTGTAATTATTGAGTTACAGTCGTAAGGGTAGGAATTTCGTAATTTATTTTACGGTGGGAAATAAATGAAAGGCTGACTTTGAAAATGTTTTAATGAGCATTTGTAACAAATAATTTGAAATGAGAAAAAAATGGGTGAAAGATGATTAAAATTTAAAGGAAACTTTGACGGGTTTCTGAAAAATATTTTAAGGAGATTATTAAAGTTTCAAGGTTAATTAAAAATCAGTAAATTTAACTTCCAGCATTCAATTATGAAAGGGAATAAAAAATTTAAAAAGGTTAACTTATTAAAGGATTATTTTAAGGTTGTGAATAAAACCTTTAATTCTTGTCGGTACTCTGAAATTTTAACAACCGAAAAGTTTTGAGATTGTCAAAGTTTCATAGATAATCACGCTTTTTTTGAGGTTGAGAAAAAGTTTTCCCAGATTTCCAAAGTTTTTCCCTCATAAATAAATATTAATCTATTAAGATACTTTTCCCCCCAACAATTTATTTATTCCTGTCATGTTTCTCAGTGACACAAAAAATAACAACAAAATACGTTTCAACGGATATGTTGCGTAAATGTCCTATAAATTAATTAAACACCTGTAATACCTTAATTAACACTTATAGCTAAAATAAATCTTTTGGGAACATGGAAAATCCTCCAGGAAACTTTTCATTGTTCATTCGACTGATTTTCTTCTAAATTTTCTTTACAACTTTAATTTAACTGCAAGCAATGTTTATAAATAATCGACACATGTAGACTGAAACAAAACATCCCTAAAGTTAAAGTTGTTTTTCAAAGAAAGGAAAGGAAAGAAATGAAGCTTTCCGTGTAGTATAAATATTTATGTGAACGATAAAACAACAGAAGATACACTTTGCTGAAGATTTTCCAAACATGGCAGAATAAATGATACGCATTTAAATAACATTTTTCATCCTGAGAATTATCCACATAGACAGAAAAGAAGCACAACAAAAAAAATGTTTGGATTTATTCTTTGCTATTTATTTATTCAGTAGATTTTCATGTTGCGGCAATGTCGGTTCTTCCCGGATAGCTCTGCTATCATCAAAATCGCGATACATTAGACTAGAGTCAGAAAAACCAAATCTTTTATTTATTCAATACCCAAGAAATCGAGATGATTACTTTAAAGAGCGAAACTTTACCTCCTGCGTTTGCATAAACTCTCGTTTAATATTATCACATAAAGAAGGAAATGCCGAATGAAAGTGATGGATAAAAAGCACACACAGAGAGGATATTTGCCAAGGATAAATTGGAATGAAACGTACAATGAATGCATGAATATCTGAATTACTTTTAGGTTTATTTATTTCAGACACACAAATGTGCCAAAATCATTTTAAAAGCTTCTCAAGACAATATGAATTTTTTTCCTTGCCAGTCATCATTTATTTATATCCCCAACGCTTTCACAACCTCTTCACTGTTCTTCTCATCACGACATTATTAAAACGCCAATTTTTCCAATTTTTCTCTCTGCCAAAGACAGGTGAAAATGGTCACAAATTCTAACACACAATGCCGCACAAATATATCACTTTCAGTGGCATTTGTATTCAACTCAAACAGGAGTTTTCACACAATTAGACTTTATGGAGTTGTACGTGAAATAATTTATGTCGATCGATTTGTTTTGTGAATTTAGAATCAAACTTTATTTATAGAAAATTCTCAATTAGAAAATATTTTAGTTTTTTTTAGAAGCATTTTTCGTTACTTATTTAAAACAAAAATCTTTTAATTTTCCCACGCTACGACCGCAAAGTAAAAATTATGAAGCAAATTAGCTCTGTAAACCCAAATACGCTGGAAGCTGTTTGAAGACAAAATTTCGAGCGTCATGTTTCCGTGTAAAAGAAAACAGCTTTTGGGAAAAGCTTGAGAGATTAGAAGGAAAAAAATGAGCACATAAATATCTACATATTGGATATGAAAGAGATTGAAAAACCCTCGAGGACATGGAACGAGTTTTCATGTTTAATTTCAACATTTTCATGTCTTTTCTAATTTAAAGTTAAAACAGGATATGCGGATTGAAGTAAACATGAAGGGATTAACAAAATTTTGGGTAGCAAGGTAACATTATGTTGCTTGATATCCGTCCATGACCTATTCTCACGAACTGAATTCAATCATTAACATTTTCCCTCCTATCTCTAAATTTGAACATCAATTAAGCCAATCGATCCCTGTCGTACCCGTATCGTAATTTACACACCTTTTCGCCTATGTCTACCAGTTCTCTGTAATTGATTATCCAAAAAATATCCATCCATCGAATTAAAGAGTGTAAGCAAGTAGATTATAAATAATTTTTCAAGCCACATTTTACAATCAGCGCTTCAACATTTGATTCCGGCATCTGCTGTTCTCTTCTTATAATAAATCTCTTTAAATTTTTTCAACAAACTTCTCCTTCACTAACATTTCTTGAGATTTAATTTATTTCTCTCATTTTTTTCTTCTTTATTTTAAAACTTTCATCAAACACTGGAAGATAATAAATTTTAATTTAATTTTAATTCTTTTCAGTGCACTTTTCCTACAACAAAAATTCACAAATATTCAGTGAATGTGACATAATCCAATTTCTTCAGCTTTTCTTGTTTTTCCTGACACGCAACACAGAATTTCGATATTCTTGTTCGTCATATTTTATTTATTTATTCACCAAAGGCAGTTCATGCTATTCCTTAAGCTTTTCTTTTGAAAGAGCCGACAAAAATGAATTTAATCCAATATCCGGTTTGGGGCTTATAAACAGCCGTGATCCTCATGTAACGCGTAGTCACAATTGATTTCAACACTCTTAATCACTCAAGCTACGTGTATCAATGACCTTCAAACTCTTCACTCTTAATATTTTTTATGTCATTAAATTTTCATCATCACAAAATGTTTTTTTTCCAATTTTTATTCTTTTTTATTTGGTTTGACTTACGCTCTCTGATTTTTTCGTGTCTACATCTTATCACAACACAAACTCAACTGATTGAAAGCTCGTTGCTGTTCTCTGATTCTTCTGACTACATTTGGATCTGCTGAATACATGCGCAGTTGATTGGACTGGAAAATTCATTGGAAGAAGAAGGGAAAAAGCTTTTCTCGCTTTTCTTCTTTATTTATTTAAAGACATGCAAAGTTCACGTCGTGTCAACTAAACAAACAAAAGCAATTTGTTATCGTAGAATGTCATCGAATTATTACTTCAAATTATGTTCTCAAATCGATCAGTTTATTCATTGAAAAATATTCTTTGGATTCTTTTCGAATTTCATTCAGCAAATGAAAGGTAAAAAGACATAAAAAGTTTGAGAGAAATTACGTGGATGATTTTATTTATTAGCTTATCGTATTTCCTGATTTATGACTTTCATACTTAGAAAGAAACATTTTATCATTCCAAGGATTTTATGCTTCGCGTAACTCGTTTATTTACTCTTCCGATTGATTTCACCTCTGCTAAAAGACTTCACTTTCCAATTCATAATTCTTTACATTTCTGCTTTTTTTATTTTATTATTTCTTCTTTTTTATATATTTTATTTCTCTAGGTTCTGTTTGCTACAGGAAATGGCATAAAGAAAGAAAGAAATTTCCAAAACAACAAAGAAAAAGTAAGGCTTGGAAGCCGAGAAGAACAAATGAATTGTAAATTTACAACTCAGATGTCTAGAAAGAAAATGTAAGAAGAAAAGGCTTCAATTGTGTCAACTTTCACTTTGTTAACTTAAAAAACTGTTCTTCTTCTGTCGTTTGCTTTGTAGGTTGAGTGGAGTGTAAAATAATATTTTGAAACTCACTGTCGAGTTGAGAAAATCATCCCAAAGGAGATTTCAAGAAAGTCTTCTGAATCGATATTGAAATATGTCAAGGATTCAGATTCAAAGGCTATTGACATTTAAATCTGGAGAAAAGAAATAAAAAGCCTCACAAGGCTTTCTCGTCTTTCTTTCTAAGAAATCTTTTGTTACATTAGTCATGAACTCAACCCAACTTCATTTCAAATTTCAACATAAATTCCTCCCACGGTACTCTAGGAATAGGAAGAAAGGTTCTTTTCCCATTTGATTCAATTATTTATGAGGAAAAAGCTTTTTTCGTTTGCAATAGCGAGAGAAAGTCAATTTACAAGGCGAATCCCTTTTCACTACCAAAAAATAAAAGAAAAAAACATCAAAAAGTTTCTTTTTAAATCCGGAAATGGAAAACTTTTTTTTGTGAGATTTTTCTTTTATAATATTGTGGTGCGCCTTCAACATAAATTGATTAAAAGTTTTCTGGTCAGTTCTTATTAAGTTCATGCGAAGAAATTTCTTTCAACAAATGTACAACTTTTCGGCAATTTCAGGATTTTAACTTTGCTCGTTTCGCGAATTAAATTTTCTTTCATTTCTACTTGAAAAATTATCAAAAGAAAATGTAACATGAAATTTTCTTCTTTTTTTGAGTTTTCCTGCTTCAAGCACCGATTTCTTTTATAATTGCTTGTTTTCTGCTATTGAAACAAGTCGTTCACAGTGCAGTCAAAGTCGTTCACCACTTTTGTATCCAATTACATGAAAATGAAAGCTTTTCATGCCATTTCATATTTTTTTTACTCAAATTAAAGCCAAATATTTATTAAACTACAATTCCTGTCGTTTCCAGCAGCTGTGCATCAATAATATTTATTATATATTATAAGTTTTCAAAAGCTTTGATTGATTTTATTTGAAAAGGAAAGAGCGGAACATGAATCATGAAGAAGAAAACTATTTTTTACATTTCTCCATCATAAAGAACGAAAAATCACTTTATTGTTGACAAGGGTTTTGGTCAACAAGCACACCCAGGAAATGTGAATATAAATCAAAGAAAGGTAGAATTTTTCCCCATCATATCCAACATGGGGCTTTTTTTTTCAAAGGTTTGAAAATTTTAGGCAAGCAGAATCCCTTTTCTGTTCGCCTTCATTATCGACATCATGCTTTAAGAAAATCTCTTAGCTTTCACTTATTTATCATAAAGTAAATTAGTATAACAACACTTTCGTAATATTCATTTAACGTCGTCATGATAGCAATGATAAAATCGGTGTGGAGGTAAATCGTGTTTAATTTGAAAACATTAGAGATTAATTTACAGAAACCCGCATTTTACATTTCAACACCTCACACCATTCACGCTTTTCAATGCTGCTTTTAAACGGAAAAGTTTTTCATTAATCCTACTAGACGGAGATAATTTTCGTTTAAAACGAATTGTTAATTGAATTGAATGAAATTTCCTCTTAATTTCCTAAACTTTATTTTGTAGACATTTAGCGATTTGTCATTAAAGATTTTCAGAGACGATAATAGGAAGTAAAGTAGGAAAATTTACTCAAATCTAAAAATAGGTAATTGAGTAGAGTTTTATTTCAAATTATATTCATGAATTTATCAAAAGCTCGTTTAAAGTATGTAAACGTTTTTATAAGCATTTCATATTTTTCTTCAGAAGCTTTTCATGAATTTGAAACAATTATCCACAGTTAACTTTCCCCTTTGAGCTTTGTAAAGCTTTGTAGTGAATAATGAAAATTAATTGATTATAATAATTTAGAATGGAGTTTTTTTTTCCATTCTATTCTTTCAACTCTTCATGATCGTAAATTTCTTTCTTAAAATAATGCCGCGGGTAGAGTGAAATTAAAAAGAATTCTTATAAATATTTAGTGGTTGTTTTTAGTAGAGGCGATTAACCGAGAAATTTCTGCCGTACCGATAATTTCTACGAGTTTTCCTTTAGCTCCATTTAAACGGTCCAATTCGCAACATTGAATTTTAATATAACATAAACATAAATCTTGTTTAACGATTAAACATTTCTCCGTATGTTGTGACATTGAAATTTATATCTGTTAACATATACACGACCTTTTAAGGCCCTTTGTTCTTCTTAAATTTCAATTCGAAAAGTTTTCATGTGTTAAGCTGATAAAATATTTGCACGAATACATTTATTTGCGTAACAGAAATAAAAGAAGAAGTCGAAAGAATAATAAAAGTAAATATACGAAAACATGCCCCAACATTGAACTTTAACATTCTCATTCAATCTTCATGTGACAATTTTATCGGAAGAGCGAAGGGAGCTTAATGAAACTTAATGTCTACCAATTACAAATCAAGCTTTTAAAAAATTGCTGACGACACATTTTATTGCTTCAATGCAGTTTAATTATGTAATTAAAAGTTTTCACATCTTCATCTTCATTTGTACAAAATGGTAGTTAGATATGTTGAAGAAAGATGTTCAAGATAATTTCAGAAGCTTTTACAAATAATTAATGAACAGTTTCTTAATGTCCTTGCAATAAATGTGGTAAGTACTTGAAGAATAAGTTGAGCATCATCAAGAGAAGCAAAGTTTACGACATATGTAAATGCGAAAGTGTCAACGACCGCATAAATTCTGCGAAAAGTTCATATCTGCGTGGGAGTTAATCTTTTATAATGTTAACAAAGCCATAAACGTCGAAATATTTAATCAACATTTCCGAGATTGCTGTAAACCTCTTGAATTATTATTTTAAATTTAAAAACAACATGCGATTAGATAAAATCTCGCCACACTCCACTTGTTTATTTCTTATCTTGGTTAATCACAAACAATTTATTGATTTTTGAAGTAGCCCAATTGTCGAGATTTTTGCACCATCCCCACCAACGAAGCAAGAACTTCTTTTCCGTTTGGAATGATGAACTCTGGGGGAAGAACAAAGCCATGATTTCCGTAATCGCCATTTCCTCTCATTTCATAAGTGTAAGACAAAGGAATGCGGTGATGACCATAAGCATGATCACTGCTTACTCCCGAAGCAGCATCTTAATTAATTATGAATTATCAATCTATTCAATTTCAATCAAATTCATCTTACATAATGTTTCACGAGTTGGCCCAACAGTGTAACGAACTCCATCAACTGCAAATAATCTATCAGCTGCCGCTTGTCCAATGTTAAGATGATCATTAAAATTGGGCTTGATTGTGATAGAAATAATACTAAATTGATGAATTATTCTGTTGATGATTTAACTTACAATACGAACGCTTGTATGTCCGAAGGGGAAAAGCATCATATGAGCGAATGAATGGAATGAAAGATAAATGTCGAACTTTGCATAATTTTGACTGAGGAAATTTTCAATCGCTTGAGTTTCTGGTTCTGAGAATGGTCGAGAACCAGCAAAGGTATCAGAACATGGTAAACGAGAAGCTCCTAAATTGCCCGATTCATCAGCTGTCAACCAATTGAAGCCAAAATTTCTATTCGGATCAACACCATTGCAAAGTGTGGAAACAGGTGAACGAGTCTTGCGCCAATTTCTATTAGAGTTGCGAGAAAATTCATAACCATCAGGATTGGATATTGGAATTATGTACCAATCAACGTTATTTGCCAGATCTTGAATCTCGGGATCGGATGAGAAAAGCAATTCATTCAAGACATAAGTGGAAGTTGCACCTGAAATCCATTCGCGTGCATGAATGTTTCCCTCGATAAAGATTGCTCGATTGTTCTGTGAAATTTTAATAAAATATTGCACGAACTTCCTTCATGTTTCAAAAACAATTTGTTCACCTGCTTTTTAGACAACTTAACAAGCTTTAATGATCTCCCTTCAAACGACTTTCCAATCTCTTCGACAGTGATATATTGAGGGAAAGTTTGCTGAAGTTTGTCAAGCCAAACATGAATTTCAACGGTGCTGTAATAGCTTGTCCAATCCATATCACCTAAATCTGCTTTACGTTGCCTTTTTGGACTTTCGTTGTCAACTAATCTGTTTGAAAAGAATTTTTTAAGAAGATTTCTTTAAATTAAAAGGGAGAGAGAAACACAAACTTTTGAAAGTTGTCACTGTTTAAAGTTGTCTGCAAGTTGAACTTTTCAACAAGCTCTGAAAAGTGAGCGAATTGATGTGGTGGTACAATCACATCAGCACTTGATCCAACATAAGTTGGAGGATCAGCAAAAGTGTACTGAAGTAGAAATAAAAAAATGTTTTATAAGAATATTTGCACTCGATGTTGATTTTATTTTCCATACAGAATCGCTGACTTCTGACAGCTCCCTCAAGACACGTAATTGAAGTTCATTTTCAATGCTTATTGTATAGTAATGATAGTTATCGAATCGCGCTTTCTCTGCACCCACAGCAGTGAAGATGACCAAGGCGAAAATTAAAATACTTAAATTCAATTCCATCTTTTCGATATTTTCGTATCCCAAAACGACACTGAAAAGTTCTCACTCAACCAAAGCAGCTTAAATATAAATTTGTAATCATCGTCTCAAGTATTCTTGAATCCGATAAAATTGTAATCTGCTATTGATTTCATTTTTGTCCATAAACTTGGGACTCGGTTCCGTGTGCAAACAAACGATTCATTAATAGAAAGAAGATTACAGATTGTCAAGCAGATTGTATAATAAGATTGGATATTTCATAGGCTTTCTTCAATCTTAATTTGATTTTATTTGTCACAAGCAAGGTGAGTGAACGAATAAATGCCCTGAGGTGTGATAAATCCTTTCCATCCTGACATCAACACTTCATTGCCAATGGCAGAAAAAAACTTCAATCCTTTCTTGAATTTGAAACTTAAGCTTCAATAAACTTCTTGCTTGTTACTTTAGTAACTAACAACAACCGAAATTTTTGTTTTCTGTCTCTAAAGACACAAAGGACGCAAATATTTTCGACATTAATAGAAGAATCAAAAATTTCATTGTGGAATTTCCGAGAAATTCAATTCAAATCCTCAGAAACTTTTTTGGGACGTTCGATTTTTCGGTATGTGGCTTCAAAAAAAAATTCTGACCTTCGTTACATTTCTTATTTCATTGATATAAATGTAAAAGATCTCTTTACGAACGGAGGCTTAAAAAAGTTTAAGAAGAAGAAAAGTTATTGTTACACATATTGAGCCCATTCGTTCGTAAAGCTTTGAAAAGTTTTCTTTCTGGTCTGATAAGTGCCTCGATGATTGAGAACTGAAAATAAAGCCCGGAAATGGTAGAAAAATTCTAAAAAAAGAAAGAAAAAAGAAAAAATTCAACCTTTCGTTACGATTGCACCTAGGAATTTACACACATTGGTTCACACCCGCAAAGTAGTAGCCGATATCAATTTCTTTTGATCTTGAGAAGCCTTGTGGGGTATAAAAGGGATAAGCTTCGAATAACCGAAAAATATCGGTTTTTTTTCAACACTTCGTTATCGGAAAAAGGCCGAAAGCACTTAACTGTAATCTCCATGTGAAAAGTGTTCACGAACAACATGATATCAGAAACATATTCATAGCTTCTACTGGGCAGTGAATGAGATTATATGTTAATTTTATGATTAATGATGTCGGACTCGCATACAACATATTAATTTGATCAACTCATGTATCAGCTATATGTAGTCGATGGTGAGAATGAGAAGCAAAACGAGGGATGCTTAAGGAAATATATTTATTTGTTATTCAGAGAGCTTTTATAGCTTTTCAACAAAGTTGATATATGTATAAACATTTTTATGGGATTTTAAGAAGCATCATGGAGATTCAAGTTATCATTATGACTTCGCTAACAATGACTGATAAAATCTTTCATGAAATCACACAAATTATTATGTTACTACTTCAAGCCCCTCTTAAACATCGTAGTTTTATCTGATATTTTCATTATCTTTTCTTCTCTCATGTTCCTCGCTTGCTGAATGAGAACAGCAAGTTGAGGAGAACAAAGATTTATTATTCTATTTATTTTTACTTTAATACACTTCTCTTCTCATTCATTTTCCATTCTATATTTTTTTTCTCTTCTCTTTTTCAGCTCATATTTTTATGATCTATTACATGTTTTATGACATAGACACAAAATGAATGGGGCCGAGTGAAAGATGAAAGATACATCAGGATCATGGAGCAGCAATCTCTGATACGTCGTTTGCTCCCTTTCTCCCCTCAATCTTTTCATTTGCTTTTGATGATGTTTTTCAATGAGAATGTCTGCATCGTATCGTGTGGGAAAAAAGAGAAATTGTATTAATTTATTGTGTTTTTTTGACATGAAATTCTGCTTTCAAAATTATATATTGATGTTGATTATCAAACTTTGATATCATATAAAATTATAAAATATAAAAGTCGACTCACCTACTTGAGGAAAGGTTTATGATTTTTCAATAAACTTTTTAAAGCTTTCATGAAACTTTTCCGATTAAAATATTCTATATGATTAAATGTAAAGAAAACTTTGGAAAATTAAAAGAAGATGAAGAAAATTTTCTTTCAAAGAAGGGAAACTTGCAATTAGCTCATCTTGTGTATTGTTAAAAGCCTCAAACACACCACATCAAATACCATTGAGAAATATCATATTTTCCTACTTATCTTCAATGTTTTTTGAAATTTTCATCATTAAATGATGTTATCTTATCTATCTACTTAAGAATGTTTAATAATTAAAACTTTTCCAATCAATTTTTTTCTCATCTATCTACTTTGATAAACTCTTTTATGCAAATTTACCTCTTTTAAAATTTTTCCCATTTTACCATATTTCAATAATGGAAATTAATAATTCAATTAAAAGAAAACTGATCAACCACGAAAGGAAGAAAAAGCTTAAAATGTCGAAAAAGAAAATAATCTTCCGACTTGCAAGTTAATTTTAAAGTTTGTAGTTGCAATCAACAGTGACATACTTACTTATAAAAGGGAAAACCGATGCGGGAAGCAAATAAAAATTACAATCTACCGAACAAAAACATCAAAAGAGAAAAAATCGAACTGAACCCAATTCATGTCACGTCTCGCCATAAAAGTTGTTTTTTCTTCCTTTCGTGGTTAAATTGGAAAAGCATGAATTTTTTTTCTCTTTTCCATCATCGATTCTTTTTAAGAGTTTTTGTTTGAGTTGAGTTGTTAAGGGTGAAACATCCTAAAAATCAAGGTAGAATTGAAACAGCAATACTACTTTTTTAAAGTCATTTCGTGAATACTAAATTGATAATAAAATAAATTAGCTTAGAGCAAAACTTTTTAACGGAAACGAAATTTTTGAAAAATTTACATGAACCATGAAGACGATAATAGCGACATTCTTCCGCTTGCGGAAAATTGAAATTTGTATCAAATTTGTAAAATCATTAAAATGTCAGGAAGCACCAAGTGGTTGAGACCAGATGAGGTAATTTATAAAGTCTTTCAAATGGTCTAATGATTGTTGAAAATAATTCTTTATTTTAGTTGATCAAAATTCAAAGAAAATGTCAAAAACTTCAGGAAAGAGCGGTAAACAATACACGAGCTCAAAGTCAGAATCTTCCATCAGTCCCTTACTCTAATAGATTTGCTAATGGCAAGCGAAATAATCCATTCGCTAAGTAAGTAAACAATCATTTTCATTTACAAACTCTTCATTTTAAAACATTTTGTTTCATAGAAATTCAGATCAAGACTCGAAAAAACTTAAACAGAATGAAGATCGTAAACTAACAATTGATTCAGATGACACATTATTCGAGTTACTTCATACTATCGAAACAACACGATCTGCTAATCTTGTAGCTCCAAGTCACGAACTACCGAATAGAATTGTTAATAAAAGTGAAATCGCTGTTATTGACGATGAAGATGAAGATGACGAAAAAGAAGCAGAAGGTCCAAAATACTTTAAAAATCTTCCCATTGATTGGAGCATTAAAAATAGAGTGCGAATATTAAGTAAGACAATAATTGTAAACAACAATTTAACATCAAGTGAACAAGTATCAGGAATGACTGGATTTGTGCGATGCATTGACATGAAATCAACGTCGTCAAGTATAAACATTTCTGATGGGGCAAAATTCAATCAGAATTTGATGTTTTGGCAATATCCACATTTACCATGGCTTAATCTGGTTCAAAGGAACGCCAGCTCTAATAATGCCTTTAAAATGAACACACCTGAATCTGAATCTCTGTTAGTTCAATGGAAAGAAAGTTTCAGAAATCTTTCGCAACTTCTTCGTGCTCTTCAATGTCCTTATTTTTATGTATTGACAAATCAATTTATGGTGTTATTTCGTGCTGCCGGTATTGGAGGAAGAGCTGAAATGCATGCACTCGTTACGCCAACAACTCGTGGATTTCGTAAACTTTTGAAAGAAGAAGAAATCGAATTCACTCAGCCGTTAAAGAAAATTTATCGAGAAGGATCGACACCAAATACAAGTATAGACAATGAAAATCTTAATCCTGGAGTGGAAGATGAAGAGGAAGAAGATGAAATGAAATTTCTGGAAGATTTAGGCGTTGATACATCAGACATTAAATTTAAGGAAGATGTGAAAACAAGAAATAAAGAAACAGAAGACGACAATGGCGAACTCTCAACGATTGTGATTGAAGGTGTTGAATGTCAAGCTTTCTTTGCTTTTCTTCTGACTACAAAAACTTTAATAACTAACGTTGGTCGTCTGGCTGGCGTTCCACCAACTCTCATTGCTCCAGTCGCATTTTTAGGGTCTTCACTTCAAAAACAAACAACACGAGCGAGTAAATTACGTTCGGAGAACGAAGATTTCCACTCAATTGAACTTCGTGGAGCTATTTTACCACACACAGTGCATTCACTTTGCTCATGGCTTTCTGAAATCAAACAGAACTTCAGCCTTACAATGGCCAACTATCCTCAAACTGTCGCTTTCTCAAAAGTGTCCCGAAAACTTTTAGAAGATTCACATTTGTCGAAAGATGAAGCTGCTTACGAATTACGATGTAAAAATTTATCAGATTGCGGTGTCGCCAATTCAATTCTTAAAAGCATGTGTCGAGATGGTGGTGAAGCTGTAAATATTTTAGAAAGACTGCAATTTGATCATGAGAAGGGAGGCTACTCGATCTTTTAGTTTCATATTTATTACATCTTTTTTTAAATAAAAATAATTTTTTTGAGTGTTTTAATCGATAATTATGAGTTCGTCTATAGACCAATCTTCAAATGAATTGTCTGGGAGATAACGACGAATTATGATGGGAATTTTACGTTGCTTAAGTTCTTTCATGGCTATTTGCAGTGGATCTGTTTCACCTTCTAACTCAACCATTATTGGAGCACACATTGCAATTTGTAAGGCTCTTGTACCAAGGACGCGTGCTCGCTCATATTTTGTCATATATTTTGTGGTAATTCTTTTAGCTTTTGGGACTGAACCTCCAGCCTGTTGCCCCGGCATAACAAGCTCAATGTTATCCCCTTCCTCCTCTTGGTTCATTTCATCCATATCTTCATCAACATCATCGTCATTATAGTCGTCTCCAACACTATAAACGTTTAAATATTCGTTATTTTATGTTTTTTTTTTAGTGAAATTAAAAATGTAAACAAATATTTTTTTAAAAGCATGAATTTCTTACTCATCAGCATCATAATCGGCGTCATCCATGTTTGTTGTGTGTAATTTATCCTTGTTGCACTTTCACAGATGGAATTTATTTTATTTAATGTAATTTAACAAGGATTTCAAAATGTTAATAATTTTCACGCTTTTTGTGTTTTTATTTTCTATTCGAATATCGAATCGTGTTTCGAAATTCGAAAAATTTTATTTTCAAATCCAAATTCAAATTTCCAATTTCTGTTATAAAAAATTATCAGCTAAATTTATTATTCGATTAGATTTGTCAAACAAAGCCTCAAATTCATTGTTAACTAACAAGCATGAATCTGAAACTAGTTGATGAATTTAAACAACGAAACTTGTGTTATGCTATCCCAGTGGAAGGGTTAGAAAAGAAGTAGAAAAGTATAAAAATCTCGCTTGAAGCTAAAGCAAATTAATTTGTAGATTGACTTGATTATAAATTAAGTTGATTTTTCAAATCACTACATTCAAAAACACCCCTTTCAGTGATGATTCCTCTAATAAATTTGGCTGGTGTCACATCGAAAGCGGGATTCCATACAGAGATTCCTGGTGCTGCAATTCTTTTGCCAGCAATGTAAGTCATTTCGTGTTCAGGACGTTCTTCAATGACTATTGAGTCTCCAGAACTTTTTGAAGAATCAATGCTAGTAAATGGCGCACAAACATAAAAAGGAACATCATGGAGTGCTGCAAGACATGCGATTTGGTAAGTTCCAATTTTATTCGCTGTATCACCGTTCATAGCAACACGATCGGCACCAACTAAAACAGCTTGAATGTGCTTCTTTTGAAAAAGATAAGCAACCATTGAATCACCTGAAAAAGAAAGAAATAATTTTAACAATCATTTGGTAATTACAAAGTTTTTAGGAAACTTACAAATCAATGTCGCTGGTACTTTGTCATGAACCATTTCAAATGCTGTTAACCTCGCGCCTTGATTGTAAGGCCTTGTTTCAGTTAAGTAAACTCTATCAAGTCTTTTCATCTCATGAAGCCTTCTTACTACACCTAAGGCAGTTCCATAACCTGCAGTCGCCAATGATCCCGTGTTACAATGAGTGAGAACTTTGATAGTTGTTTCTTGACTTTGAAGATTTGAAAGAATCGCATCCGATCCATGTTTGCCGATATTTTTGTTGTCTGCTATGTCTTTGTCAAGCATCATAGTAATTGCATCAATAAAATTCTTTTTCATGTCTCTTGTAGAGCACGTTTCATCACGACTTAGTTGAATGGCTAGTTCAAGAAGCTCATCAGCAGCAAGTTTCATATTCACCGCTGTTGGCCGAGCACTTATTAAATAATTTAATTTTCCTTCAATTTCTCTTAACAGAGTTTTCTTGTCTTGAAATTCTTCTTTCCAAATTTCTACTGCGAGTGATAAGCTTCCAACAATTGCGATAGCTGGCGCACCTCGAACCTAGTAAATTAATTTATATTCAAATTAAAAGTGTCACGATGCAAGATTGTAAAATTCGCTAATCGAATAAAACAAAATGATATCACTAACCTGCATTTTATTTATGACACTCCATCCATCTTCTACGCCTTTAATCTTAATATATTGAGTTTTCTCCGGTAATAGAAGCTGATCAAGAATTTCAAGCAAACCGAACTCCACATCGAACTTTATAGACTGCAACACCATTTTTTGTTTAAATTCTAAGTTTTGAGTGAAACGAGCGAAAGTTTAAGGAGATGGAAAACGATTTTGGTTGTCTGATAAGGCAAGAGATTACTAATAAATGCTATAATTCTTATCAAAACTACCGACAAAAGAGAATAAAAATGCTTTCGATGTTTGTTTTCGAGTTGAACTTGTTCCACTGTCTACTCACAAATAAAACGCACAGAATTTAAAAGTCTTCAAATTTCTCCGTTCAACAACATAAAATTAATTAAACAGGGAATAAAGAATGAACAATATTTATTTCATATAATGTACGATTGATTTTTAACAGATCAACATATTATTTTAGAAGTAACTTTGCACTGCTATAAAAAGAAGTCTTTGATTAATTAAATATATTTAACAGAATATGAAGGTTTGGAATTTGGGGTCAAAAAGATATCTCTAGTTATCTATGTAAACATAAATATATCAGCTTAATGACTTTATTTTTATTGAACTGCGAATCATTGCACGATTTTATCATCTTTCAAGTTTACGATATACCTACATATTTGACGATCTATGTATCGTTCAGTTTATGTAATAATTTAAAAAAATCATTATTAAATAAAAATTGTTTTAAGTTGAACCTGCAAAGTAATCTTCTTTTTGATTTGAAGCATAATTTCACTGCTTTAATATACTTTCAATGATTTAGTATTAAACTTCACACTGTATCGTCATGATACATCCATTTCGTACGTTTTGGGTCTTTACTGCAGGTTTTAGTATAGATAAGGTCATCAGGTGGTCTTTCTTTCTTTGTTGCTGAGCTAAGCATTGATAAGATTGAGAGGCAAACAGTTTGAACTGAAAGTGCTGGCGTCCAATCATCTGACAAGATTGATAAACATATATGACCATTGGAATAAATGTGAGAATGTTCAGGAATTTCCTGTCCGATGAAAGTCACACTGGGCGAATCGAATGGATATCGATCATTAAACTTAAATTTCAATTGGAATGTTTGACCTTCATATAGAGATCCTTTAGCGGCATCAATTTCGACGATCCATCTTAAAAGAAAAAAATAATTCATTTCTTCGAATGCAGTGATATGAAAGAAATAAATTAATTCCCACTCGTTAATATTTTTAGAGATACTATCAGAGTCTAAACGTATTCCTGGAGTTGGTGTTGTGATTAATGACATCAATTCCTTGCGTAGTCGTCTCTGATAAGAAGAAATCAAAACATGAATTTTTATTTATTATTAATAAAAGATCATTTCATTTAAACCAAGTCTATACAATGCATACATATTGATTTCATATGAAACGTGAGCTTACCTCAGATGGGCTACCAGTAGACATCTCACTGAGCACTATAGTTTACAAAGAAATTAAATAATCCAGAATTCAAAGATTTTGTTTTGTTAAGTTTAGTCCGAATAAAATTTAATTGCAAGGGGAAGGAAAAGATTTTTGTCCTCCTTAAATTTATTTGCAAAACAGTCGTTAAAAAATAAAATCTCATTAAACGTTTCCTTCTATAAAATACAAGAGTTGAGTAGATAAATTGAATTTTTTGCATTGTTACTAAAACTCAATCGAACGTTTTTGATACTTCATTTACTGAATATTCTTATTTGAAGCAATTTAATTTAATAAAATTTTAAAAAAAATTCGAATAAAAACAATACAAATTCACAACAAAGACGCCATCTAAAGTGTAAAATTTGAATCTCCGAAAGCAAATAAAATTTTCTCAAATTAACAAAAATAATCAAAAATTTGAGGAATAATAAGTGAAATAATTGATTGATCTGAAAGCCTACAATCGAATCTCCTCTTTCGTTATTATAATTAGCAAATTTTCATCGAATATCAGTGTTTTAGAGAAAAGATTGGTTTTGTTATTGACCTTTTCATTTTCAACTTTTTTTTCGGGAGATTTTGATCTGAAAGTGAATCGAAATTTTTCATCAATTTCTAAGTTTTTTGTGTTTCCTGGTGCTACAATCAACAAAGCTGGATTTCTCGAGTTTAAAAGATGGATTTCTCGAATTCGTTGGAGGGTAAGTAAAGACTTGAAATTATTTTCACAATTCATTCCGCAGTAAGAAATGTTTATAAACAATGTCACAAGATATCGGTCACAGTTCTAGTACAAGTCATTACCCTTATTATCTTCCTAAACTATTGAGCTCATTTGAATAACAAAATTATTTATAACTCATTGCATTAGCTTCAACTTTTTGACATCACAGACGCAACTTTCCCGTTCTCAGAAAAACGACGGAAAAAGAAGATGGGAAAAATCAAATTTGTTATCAACGAGTTGCTAAATAGTCTTAAAGTGAAAGGCATGTGTGTTAATAATATTGAATGAAAAAAAATGTAATGTCGAGTGACAAAATCGATTGAATTTTTTTCATGACGAGTTTCCTTTTTGAATTTCCTTCCTTTTCCCTTCAATTTTCTTGTCGCGGAGGCAGAAAGTATGTTTTTCAATTTCATCCACTGTTACGCTCCATCTCTCTCTCTCACAATATTGTACGCTTTTTTTTCTTCGTTTCGACTCTCTCCTCAATTTTCCACTTTCTTTCACCCGACACACCAACGACGTTGGAAAAAGAAGAAAAATCGGATGGTACCGTAAAAGAGAATGGAAAATTCTGCTTATTGATTTTCTCAACGTGATTTTTTCTTTGCACGACATTTCAAGGGCTTTCACATATATACACTCGCACACACACTTAATCCACACGACAATGGTTTGTTGGAAAATTTTGTTTCTGTTTTAAAGAATGTCTTCGTTTTCATAAGAGTCAACAACGAGAATCAAAAATTTGACGTTCCGTGTGACTATTTAATTTATTCGAAAGGAGTCGAAAATCAATTCGAAGTTGTAAAACAACAAAATATCATCTGTTTCAGTTTTTGTCACTGCTGGCAATTGTTCTTATTTTTTTATTATACATTCAAATTTCAAGTTTCGTGATTAATACGATTAGAGTGAGGTTTTTGTGTTATAAAGTTGTGCGTCAATAAAATTTCAAGCCTTCCGAAATGTGGCCATCTACCTAGTGTTATTACAAATCTAATGAGCCTCAGAAGCTCATCAACTGTAACTTCACCTGTCGATTCAATTAAATATTCTACAATTTCCGGTGATATTACGAAACATATTTCAAAGAACATTTACCTACCGCTGGATATCGAGGAAACCGTAACTTGCTTTTGTCGGTGAGTTTCCAATTGTTTAACACAATAGTTTAGAACACAAGAAGAAGTCGATTCATGCGCGCATTTTTATTGATATTTATATAAACATATTTTAAAAAATTTAGTGGAATAACAGTGAATCAAATTCTAAATCCAATCAAGTTTATCTTGAACTTGAAGTTGATGTTTCTTCAACTGGTGCGTTAAATGTCTGATCGATCGAAGCGGACACATTAGAGTTAGAAGACAAAATAGCATTTGAATTATTTAATTCTCCCACACTCATGTTCGTAATGCTTGCAGGCATTAAGCTTGAATTGTTAGCTGTAGGCGGTCCATTAGAAGAAATCACAATTCCTTCAGGAATAAATGGCTTGATAAAGTGCCAAAAAATAGCATTTGCTCCGTTTGGTTGCAATTTAACTGATACAGAGCTTCGTACAGTGTTGCCTTTGATTTCTCTCACCTGAACAGCCAAAGTAACAATCAAAACGATGCAAAATATTGTCGCTGTCTTCATACTAATTTAATTAAATTGTAAGCGTTGAATTTATATGATGCTCTGCAGTAAGATGCTGCATTATTTATATCATTCTGCGCCTGTTTACATAGAATGGCGCAATATTTCCATACACGAGTGTCTATTGATTCAATTGCTTTTTTCCCCACTGAGTGGGAATTTTGCCACGTGATTTATAATGCAAAACAAATATTAATGAAATTTGCTCCACTTAACGAACAGGAAGAATGGTTCGGGAAGAAACAGCTGCTCACCCTTGCTCTACTGCCTCATAAAGTTTTCATCAGCACAACTTCACATTAGCATCTTTTTCAATGGAACCTGCAAGGTCAAAATTTATTGCGAAAGAAATTAAAATTAACGATGAAGCAAAATTATCGAACGATTTACTGCCCACATTAAAAAATACAGAATTTACGTTGTTCACCAGAATTGAACGATTTTCTTGAAAAATGCATCGATAATTCGCTGTCGAAAGATTTTTTGTGGTTTCTACCTGCATCTTTGTGCTCTTTTAAAAAAACTGCAATTATGCAGATGCTTACAGACAAATCTTCTCTTTCATGTTTTATGATTTTTTGTCTACTTTAACATTTTTTTTTGTCGATTATTTTTTTTTCTATTTGGGAATGTTTTGCAACATGTTTCATTTATCTATGTATTGCATAGTGCAACATTTGACTCTAGGGATTGTGAAATGATATATACAAAATTTCGCTTTTGTCAATGTTTACATTTACGTTTAAATGGAGAACGAAGCCCATATGACTTCCTCTGATTATGACACCAACCAGTCGATTCCAATAAATCAAGTTTCTTCACGGATAAAACTTCATTTGTTTCCTAATTATTTCAAATACGATGTGAAGCACCTCAAAGCAAACCGCTGAATTTTATTACGTAGTCGTTCATGAAATTTGATCCTAGTTTATTCTAGCATGTGCTTCTCTCTTCCTTAAATGTTCTAAGAAACAGTTGTTGTTCACAAACATTTAAGGAAGAAGGCTGTCGTTATGATGATACATACGTCGAACGAAAAGGATCATAAAAATGTATGTTTTACGACTTCTTCAAATTCACACGAATAACAAAAAAGAAAAGGAAAGAAAGGAAAAGTTTTCCACTCTGAATTTCATCTCGGGTACAATTAACTGCCCTGATTAGTTCCATCTTCCAGGTAGAGTGAGAAGATCGGACAAAGAAAAAGCGGAAAAGTAATCTTTAATTTTTTTAGGAATTACACTTGATACCTGATATGACGATCGGATTTATTTTTAAAGGTATTAGAGGACAGAACTATAAATTAATTCGAGTGTTTCATTGAGGGTGGGCGACGTCAAGTGGAAATTGTAATCAGAATCTTAATAATAAATTACATAAAGGAACAACATTGATTTGTTTCCAACTTGTGTTGTAATGCTGACAAACATTTGAGTCAACCTCAAAGTGTTTCGAACTGAAAAGATTCAACAACGATATGTGCTCCGATACTCAGATATTAATGTGCAAACGAAAAGTAGATTTTTCGGACGGTATGTTAAAAGAGAAAAATAAAATGCGAAAATATGTTATAAACGAGTGAAAAAGAATTATTAAAATTGCTCCGCTCATTTTCTTTCTTCTTAAGCTTTTATTTCAGTTTCGCGAACGAAACAAAAATGAACAAATACCTAAACAATTTCCACTGCGATGAATATGATAAAATTAAACGGTAACTTTAATACTCTCTTATTGAGACTGTTCGTGTAAAGTTGTTGCAAGAGAGCTGTAAGAAGCTTCGTCTTGTATTTCTTTAACACGATGTAACATGTTATAAGTATGAATTCAATTATTCACCGTTCCGGACTTACCTCACATTATGAATGTTGATTAGAAGAAGTTAAAAGGATCAGCGTGAAAAATTCATTTGAAAGTATTCCTTCGTCTTCTTTTTATTACTTGTTTTGCTGAAGTCTCGTCACTTCAAATAAAAAAGAATGAACGAAGGAAAATTCTTTGAAGAATTATAAGAATGGAAGGAAAAGATGAAGATTCATGGCAAAGGTGTGAGCGAGAAGGAAGTGAACGTTAAATGTTTCAATGTTTTCATTTGAATGTTTCAATGTTTTTTCTTCAATGTTTTTCAAATGTGATTCAGCCAACAAACAAAACTTGTCTGAGCTCAGTCATTAAGAAACTATCGTCGTGTACAAGTCGTTGGTTATTTTTTTGTGAATAATTCGAACCTTCATTGGCCATGAGCTGAAACTGCTGCAGTAGTTTTTCATTATTTTGCTGTGCTTTTTAAGGTTTTGTTTGTTATTATTAAATTGTTCTTGTTTCAACTGAAAGTGCTTTCTTCGATCTTTTTCTGTACAATTCAAGAACACTCACTTTGTTGTTTTCAAGAGAGACAAAAAAAAGTGTGAATAGCAGTCGTGAACTTTAATAAATAAGAGAAAAAAGTTGCATCGTTATAAAAAAAGAAAGAAAAAAAAATCTGTTCTGATTTCCGTGAGTAAAAAAGTCGTGAAAATAAAATTTTCACATTAAGAGGAAAATTTAAGAGTTGAAAGAAAAATCATTGAAGCGAGTCGAAGTTTGAAGAGAAATAAACTGTTTAACAGTTAAGCGCAAACGAAGGTGATGAAGAAGAAGAATGAGAAAAATATATCGAGCTTATGTTGCACAGCACAATAAACAGTTTGATTGCGCAAGAGAATGAAACTTTCTTTATGAAAGATGAAAGATTCTACTTAGAAAGAAATATCTTTCTCTTTATTTCCTTTTCTGTCCGAATTAGTACAATGAACGGGACAAACTTGTATTCTATATTTGCAATGTCCCTCATCAACTGAATATGTAGTGCAACTTAACTGAAATCAATGTCCATCATTTGTGTGTATAGTTAGTTTCTTTTTCTCTTTTTTACTTCTCTATAAATTTAAAGATCAGCTGATGCTAAATGTCACGTTATGAAAAAAATAAAATAAAACGAGAAATAATCCGAAGAATCAAAAACAAAACGAGAAGAGAAAAATTTTAATGTTGTGCAATGGGATAAAAACCAGAAACGTGGACATACATTTATGAATGTGAGTGAATGTTCGTCGAAAATTTTCGCTAAGAAAAATCACCAATACAGTGATTTAAGCTGTCGGAAAAAAATGGACATTTTTCACACATCGGAAAATTTAGACATTTTTTTGTAGAGGAAAAATTTCTATTTCGGGAAAATGTCACTTTGAAGATGCACATAAAAATTTCGTCAGATATTTTCCAGATTCCCATGACATTTTGTTGTGTAATTTCGCGTAACTTGTACAGTTTTTATGACTCAACCAGCATAGGAATAAAGCCTCAAGCTTTAGCAACTATCTAATAACTTTTATCTCTCACTGTCCCTCCAAATGTATGTAAGCACAAGCACATTCGTCGCCAGTCGATAGCGTACATTGTCGCTGTTGTGCTACCAATTTTTTTCTCACTCACTCTCTTACTTTATTCCTCGGTTCTGTTTCAATGTCATTTAATTGAAATTAATTGAAAGCAACCCAAAACAACAAAAAAATTGAATGAGGTTGAAGAGAGGAATAAAAAAGGCATTAAAATGAACGTTTATTTTTGGAATTGACCGCGTGTGGCTTTTATTTTCTGCGACGACATAGAATCGCTTTATTTATGTTATTGTTGAACTGATAACATGATAAAAATCTACAGGAGCTTTCAACTGTTTGTTAATTCTTTCGAAAACTTTGAAGAAAACGAAAACCAAATCAATTGTCTTCTAAGAATGTTGATTTTGACAACGAAGTTCTATTGTGTCTCATGTTCCAATTATATTTATATGTTTACGCACAATCGCTTTGTGATCAATGTGTACATAAATGTAAAATCAACAATAATGAAAGGTTGATAAGAAGGGAGGGAAGAGGAAAGAAATTTTATTAGAAAACAATGAATCGCAATTGTAACAATTCCCATTTAAAGCTATTGTTACATGAAAAAGTCAGATTTGATATGTGATCCGCATATACTTAGATCGAGTTGCTTAAGATTGTTTGTCCATACCGAAAGACGGCGTTTAAGAAATTTAATGTTGAAGTTTAGCAAGAATAAGCTTAAGTTTCGGTTCGTAATATGATATGTTTCGTTGTACAATTGCAGAAATGCAAAAGAAGTAATAAAAAAAATTTCCATGGACATGTCTTGTGAATTGTCAGTTGACAATGATGAAATAACAAAACAAACTGTCGAGACCTCGAACGCAAGTAAATCGGGCACAAAACAAATTTCCATCCGTAATTATGATGATTTTTCTTATTGTTACAGTTGGAGTTATGGAAATTTTTTGTATATTTTTATTTCTTTCCTTCAATCGCTTTAAGATTTCGTTTCTCTCACTTTACATTGTATTCTAAACGTCATAGACATCGAGCGGCTTGGTTTGAAGGCATCACTGAATTGAGATCATGTTTCAAGTCACTCCATTGTTTAAATGTATGTAATAAGATGAATTGCTGGGTTGGTTGAAAACGATGATTAAATAAGAAAAATGTTCCATAAAGTCTTTCAGGCTAAAGCGTGTGATTGAAAGAGGGGGGAAGAGATTTGATGGGTCAAAAGAGGCATCAATTTGATGAATCCGTTAAAGCTATTAAAGCTCAAAGGAATCATAAGAAATTCTCCGAAGAAGGGGAGAAAATGATTTTGCATAAATTCATTCTCAGCATGATTGAAAGAATTCTTTTAGAGGGATGATGTTGAAGATTATGTTGATATGCTGCGAGACTCCTCGTGAGTTCTTATGAAAATATTTCCAAAACATTCTTTTCCATCATTCACGTTTAATAATACGAATTATGAACTTCAAGTAGATCTTTAAATATGAAGGTTTCTAAATAATTCATGGCTCAGAAAAAGGCTCGCACGCGAAAAACGTTTCACTTGCCAGGTATTTATGCACACGTGCATCGTATCAAGGCTTTTTCTTCTTCTTCTTCCGCTTCGATTTGCAATTAATTTTTGCAAAAAAAAAAGGCAGAAATTAAATCAATTGGCTAAACAAGTTTCGTGATTTAAAGCCAAAAAAATGTTTTTGTTTCTGACTTTTTACTTGATATCGAAAATGAAAATTTGCAATTTCTGTTTGCAGTTGTTAGGAAAGATTTCATCATAAAAAGCTTTAATCAAAAAAAAAGTAGAAAAAGTGAAGTTGCTACAGGCTAAAATAAGCTAAACATCAACTCAATTTCATGTTGTTCATACAAAGAAAATAAGAAGAAAGAAAAATTAGTTTGCTGAAGTGTAACAACAACTCAACGAATTGCGCATTGGGAGAACATCATATGCTTGCGTTTACATAACTGCGCGAAAAATCATGTAAAAAGGAAGTGAAAAAATATAAAAAGAGAAAGAAAGAAAAAAGTTTTTGTAACTACAAAAAGCAAAAGTTAAAAATTTTCTCTATAAACGCGACAAAAATCTCAAAACGTTGACGAAAATTGAAGGTTTAAAGAGTCTGGTGAGAATGTTGCGATCACCAGCACATATAATCGGCCCAACGGCCACAGCACCGACAACAACTTCGGGTCTGTTTGACTCATGCCATCGAAAGATAAGACTGATAGGTCCTGTCGCATTTCTCGGTGGTCTCATGTCGTAAGTATTCTCAAAACCTTTTTTAATTTTTAATTTAAATCAACATATCTAAGTTATCCGAAGGTCATTAAGGAGTCTCGTCAATGTACACAAAACATTCTCTCATTCGTTCTAATTCATAAATTCTTCAAATTGATTTCTTTCCAACGATGATTTCCATTTGAAAAATTGATTAAACTTAACTCGCCTTACCTTTACTTCTCTTTTAGAAGGAATGATCGTGTTAAAAACGATGATTGTTGTTTTTTAACGGAACTGAATCTTCCCAATTCAATATTCGTCTTCTTTTCTTATTCGTTTTAGTTCAACTTTGTAAATGTTCTCATCCGACGTTTATTAATTGACGGAATGAATAGAAAAAGGTTTCATGAAAGAGTGTAAAGGAAAAAATAAAGATTCGGAATGTTCTTTAAGAAAAAATAAAATAAAATAAGAAGATATGTGAAGTAGACTTACTACAATTGTGCTAGACTTTGTTGAGATATTTTGTAAAGCCCTTTGATGGAATTTCCTTTCATCATAAAATTTCAGTTTTATTTCTTTAACTTGTTGATGGGAAATTCTCTTCAATCAAGTGCTTATGAGTGCGACTTTAGGGAACTCAACTCAACTCAACTCTAACAATTTTTTGTTTCTTTTTCTCACCTTCAATTCTAAGACAATCTTACAAAGCTTTTTTTTCTTCTTTCGACTTATATAAGTAACGAACATTACGCGGGAATTTATTAATGCGTAACATTATCCGCAAATGGCTTGATTTCGACGTTTGCTTTTCCAAGCATATAAGACGTGCAAATTAATGGCGGATTTCTTCTTGCCTTAATAATGATAAACACTTCTCAAGGTTTCCTATTTCTGAATAAATAATTTTTAATAACGAAGGAAAACTTTAATCCACATTCATTACTCATTCATTAATTCATTCTTCTTAAATTGTAGTTATCTACTTTAAACTAAAACTCTTTTTCAATTAAATGTGCTCATTTCTCTCAATTGTTTCATCTTTTTGTAGATCATGTTTCATAATTTTATATGAAACTTTTGCTAGTGTAATGAACGCTCGTTCTTTCACTCACATCTTATCTTTATACTCCAACCGACAAAACTTCTTCGTCTTCTTCTTTGCTTTTCTCGTAAAGTAGATAATTGAAGGTGTTTGGTTTGAAACCAAGATAATATTCAAAAGAAATTCCAGCACTTTATCATTAGACAAGTTGTTGTTTCTTAAGAAAAGCAATGAAAATTCCTTCAACCGGAAGGTGCCGCGTGAGAGACGCGCTACGCATTTTCTTATCTCATGTTCTTTGTACAAGATACACAACAAGAAGCTCATCTTTATTATTCTTCTGTTTTGAAAGAAAATCTCGAAACATTTAATTCCATGATGTTGAAACAAAGTTATCTAATTAAGAAGATTCTTCATGATTTCAAAATTCAGCCAGCAGTATCATGAGTTAGTAATTTTAATTCAACATTGTTGCGTCACCGCCCTTTGTGTTCCCATTTATCCAAAGCTGGTTGATTTTCTCTGTGAAAAATCACGAATCTGTTTTGAATGAAAACTTCTGTTAATTTTATTTAATTTATTTTTATATTTTTTGCTTATTTTGTCGAATTTTTCTGACAGCTTTGAGCTTCATTTTACGAAATAAATTTTCATTCGCTTTTAGTATAGTTTGACTTTTGGTTAGGACGGGGGAAGTGAAGTGAAGTTTAAAAAAGAAAGTTTCTTCATGATCTTTCTGACGTGCCAGATGTTCTGATGATCATCTCCTCGCATTAGTTTGGGTGAAGCTTGAAAAAATATTTTCCACTCTTTGTTTAGCGAAGCGAAAAACAATTTACATGTTTGGTTAATTTCATTGAGATTAGAAATGGCCATTTCTTATTTCCGGAAGTCTTTTCTTCTCTCAGTTTCTCTCAGATTGTAAATCAGGCCTTAAAAGCGATTTCATGAGATTCATCGAGCATTAACGGTAACAACGGTCGATAGCAATGCCAGTGCCGCCGCGTGAAAGGAGAATACTTCACAATTCACTGACTCAAGAAATTGGGTTCTTGATAGAGCATTAACTTTGCTTTGGAAATAAATAGAACAGAAAAAAAATCGTAAAAAGTGGAATGAATAAATTTATCGTCTTTTGATTTTATTTTTTATTTTGCGTTTTTTGATGTCGTCTTATGCAATCTTTTGTCTCTTCCACGTTTTTAATCTTCTTCTAAATTTATGAAAGCGAAGACGTTGAAAATAGAATCGAAGAAACTCTGTGAAAAGAAACTAAGAGTCTAAAGAATTTTTCAACAAAAACGAAGAATTTAACATTCAAAGAATTCTATTGCCGAAATAAACTCCACGAAAACTTAAAATCACTTTCGCAAATCGCGCAATTTTCCACGCTAGAGACGTTGTTTTGAAGGAGAAATCAATTTTGGTTAATTTGTTTCTTTTGAAACTGAAATCGACAACGAGTATTTATATAAAGAAACAGTTTCGCTGTGAGTTTTTCCATCACTCAAATTCGAACTTAATCGATTTTCACACGTTTGCCTAATGTGATGTGTTGTTGTTTTAATTGATGGCAAATAAGAATTTGCTAGGAGGTTAAAGACATGAAACGATCTTGCTATTGAATCTTCTCTTCTTATTTAGTCGTTAATGGATTCACAAGTGGGTGATTTGTTGAAATTTCAAATCTGTTTGCTTTCTTTACGATTCGATCATTTCTTGATGAAAACGAAATGAAAAATTGAGATCAAAATAATCACGTTTGTTCGCGAAACGAAAAAGAAAATCTTAAATTATCCGATTTGAAATTAAGTAGGCGAAGTTCCAATGTTAAGTTAGCGTGCTGGGGGCTTAAAATTTTCAACTAATCATGGATTGATGTCTCAATATTTTTTCGATCGTGTAATGATGAAAATGAAATAAAATTTCTCATGATTGTTTACTTAACAACGATTGCTGCTCTGTTCTTAGCTTCACTTCTTCTTTCTTGCAACTTTTTCTTTTTTGAAGTTTGATTGAGCATTTCTCTTTGCCATTATGTGATTTATAAGCTAACCAAAACAGTCGCCAGAGTTATGTGTTTCTTTGCTTGAAATTGATCTGCGATAGATCATTGAAAGTCAGACAAGCGGGAGCTCTTGTAGGGAATGTTAAATTTACTGTGCTGACTACACATGATTGGACGGTTCGTATAATATTTAATAGAGAAAAAAGTTTCAGCTGTTGAAATCGGGGTGTGAATTATTGAGAAATCGAATTTAAGAAAAAAAGAATTAAGAGCAAGTCACAACAACATTTGTCCTTGGAATGAACGGGCGGGCGTGATTGACGCACATACGAAACCATAAAAAATTTTCTCCCAACTTTTGTTAATACTCACACGTCTCAACATTTGAATCAACAAACCGGGCAACATTTTATGGCTCCAGCATAAATAATCTGCGATCTTGATGTTTACCATAAACTCCAGTTTGATATTTTGTTTTGCGTCTCTCATATCGCCCCCGCTTTTGATAGTTGAAAATGTTTTTCCACTAAAATTATGTTTTTTGCAATTTGTATCGTTTATCTTGTTTCTATCTAAATAGAAGAAGAAAAATTGTAGGAAATTGTAACAAGTTCGTGCCTTATGTTGTGTTTGCATCATCATCATCATCATCATAAGCAATTAACGTGAAAAGTTATGGAATAATGACTCGCCATTGTTTCTTCTTTCTCTGTTTATTCAATTTTTCTCGGTTGTTATGTGATCAAGCACCATCGTCGTGTCAGTTTAGTTTCATTTTTGTGCTTTCGTAGAATTATTTGATGAACATTTTTATATGTTTGTTGAAATTAAATAATGTTTTGTTATGTTCAATAAAGCTTGTATCATTGACATTAAAAATTTAAGCCCTTTTTGCGTCATTCGCAATCTGTTGCATGTTTTCTTTTTGACGAATTGATTTACTTATTGCTGTTAATCTTCTCGACCAACAACCAACACGAAATATCATCTATAAGTCACGCGCCTTAAAAAAAAAACTGAAAAATCCAAGGCATAATGAATTAAGCACACTTTCTGTAACTCATGGAACGTCTGTCTATAAATCAGGTCATGCGCTGCTGTTTCTTTTTCTTCTTGCGTAATGAAAATTAATTTCCATCATAAAGTCTAAGTTTTGCGATAAAAATCTTGGTTGAACTTTAAAACATGATTTATGAATCGTCCCTTAGTCCCACAACAATCAAAGTTTCACGTTCTCCATCATATTCTCGTTGAAAATTCATGAAAATGACTTCAAATTTTGTCAAAAGATTGACGATGTAATGGAAAACGAAAGCGAGAGAGAGAGAGAGATGGAACAGTTTACATTATCTTTTAATTATTGGAGACACGATTCTGATGTCACAACAGAAAAACAATCAGAATGATTGAGTGGTCTTGGATGACGAAATTTCACTTTTGTTTTTGCAAATAAGTAGAGAGATGAGCAGAATTTGTTTGTTCATAAAAGAAGTTACTCAAATACAAAACCGGTTTTACTCACTTCCCTTGTGATTCGTCTGTTGCCATTGTCATGGCTACATGCTGACTTGTTTTTTTACTGCTTCTACTACTTATTCATATTGTAGATACAGCACTAGTCAATTACAAATTAGAAAATCTCGAGAAGATTCTTCCATCTCGAAAGTGCTTCTCCGGACTTAGAATTCTGGAGACGTTTGGAACTTTTTATGGGATTTCATCAATTAATAAAAAGCCAACAAATCACATCATCAGACTACTCGTTGACATTTCCAAAAGGTGAATTGACAATATTGCCAATGGCACACAAACAAAGAAATCAAACGAACATTGGAGAGAGCTGCACAATGACGAAATTAAGCATTCAACAGTCGCCGCCAGTTAGTCGCTTTCATTGTGTGAATGTTACAAAAAGTCGCGCGATCTGATTGAAACATTCGTTCAATGTTTTCTGTGACGCAATTCACAATGTTTTCATTGATGTTGCTTCTTGTGAAACAAAAGAACTGTTTGTGGGCATATTGTGATGATGTTGGAGCAGCATAGTTGCTTCTGAATGTTTCATGGCCTCTCCTCCTAAATACTTCAAACGTTACTGTTTTTATTTCTTCTTCTATTTATAATAAAACGCAGGTTTTTGTATTTTTTTTTAATTCTTCTTCTTCTTCTTTTGTCTTTCTGCTCTCATACAAATTTCTGATGATTTATCGCTCAATTTCGAGGCCTCATTATTTCCAATAATATAAAATCGCGCGTAGTAGAAAAAATGCATTGTTTTCAACTTTCCGGATGAATCGGATTTGGTGTTTGGTTGTTACCAATCGATGGCTCAATTATCACATCAAAAAGCGGAATTGCTTCGTAGCAGCACAAATTGTGTTAATTTTATTATTATTTTTTCGCGCACTCGACGCTTAACCTTCAGAGTAGTTTTCCATTTTTAATGTTGACAATGAAACCAATGATCCATAAATGCGGTCGGCTACAGCAATAACTCTTGGAATTAAAAATTCGTTTTCTATTGTTTGCACTCATAAAAACAGGGTCAAGTTGAGAAGAATGAAGAAGAGATTCATGCTTAAGACAGCTCCAGTTTTATTTTTATAGCGAATTAAGTAAACACTTCACACCCGCCTGCGTCGAAATCACAAAACAACGACAACAAAACCAACAAATTATTATTGTTTGTCGCGCACCAATTGTTGTCATTCTTTCTCTCTCACTCTTACCACCACCCATCCCATCCCATCTAAGGGAATGAAAGATGTTCTTGAACAAGAAGACGACGATTGTGACCTGGTGATTTCCATAACTTAACAATTGACGCCACAACATTTTCTTTTAAAATAATGGAGCAACGAAATGGCACAGAAACCAACCAAAGAAGACAATTGTCTTGGAAAGTTTTTTTTTTTCTTCTTTTCTTTATTTCTCACTTTTAATGATGATGATTCAACTCTGTGAAATTACCGAGCGACTCGGAAAGAGAAAACTAAACTCGCTTGTTATTTTTATTTGAGAACAGTTACAATTTCGTCTGTTGCCGTTTTTATTTCTTCTTGATGCATAAAATAAAATAAAAATTATGTACGTGCTCTATCTCCACGGTTTTGTTTTCTTTTCATGTTTTTAAGCTCGTGGAAAATTTGTTTTTCTTTTATGTGTGTTTTTTGAAAAGGTGAAGGATGAAAAAGGTTCGCGGATAATGAACAAAGAAAAAAGTTGCTGGCTGTCTCTCACATTCATCTATTTAATAGATACTTGCATGTGGTCGTAGTTTCTTCTCGCATGTTTTGTGTTATTTCAAGACCTCGCCCATTGCGAAAAGTAAATTTACGCATCCAAAGAATCTAATTTCATTTAAAATTCCTCACATAAATAACACATTCGAAGTTTCTTTGGCAAGTTTCAAATTTTTATTTATTTTCTTACGATGAAAATTCGCGATTTCGTCTTTCGACTGTTTTAAGTTCAAATTCATGGTTGGAATCGCCAATTATATTTTCTTTCGCCTTTGTTGATGACACATTGTCATGGCTGGTGGTGATGAACGACGACGACAACGAATGAATTGAGGAAGAAAAAAATACAAGAAAACTCAAAACGGCAAAATTCGCGCTTGATGAATTTTTGGTTCGATGGCACTTTGATATTTCAAATATATTCTAGTTTTATTTAGACAGTTCTTGATTGCTGTCTTCCTTCTCCTGCTTCTATTACAGATTCATGACTTAATCGCTGGTGATTATCTCACCTATTAAGCAATGATTCTCAAGTCACTCTTTTTTTTCTTCTTCATCTGAAGTATGATCAAGTTGAAGAAGTAAAAGACGAATCGTCGTCGAAAATGCTGATGAATAAGAAGGTGATGTAGTATTTAAACATCTTTCATCCTACAGATGATCGTTTCTTTGTTAAAGCAATTTGTTAATCGATTTGAAGCTTCTTCAAATTGTACAAAATGTTGAGATCATCTTTTAGTTGATGATGAAAAAGGTTGTTGAAGAAGAAAGAGATTTCTTACACACAGACCAGACCAGACCAGATGTTGATTGATGATTTCACACTTCCATCGACGACATCAACAAAGCATTTAATTTGCTGATACGATCGGACACTTTATCGATCTATCAAAGGAAGGTAAAAGAAGAAGAAGAAGACCTTATGTCAACCTGATGATGAGTAATTTTATTTTTATTGTCTTGCTGCTCGCTTTTCCCCTCTCTTCATTTGTGACAAACTACTTGCTGCCCGCCTGGCTTCGTAAATTTGTCTCATTTGAAATTCATAGTTGATCGTGACACAGTTAAGTGGTTTTACATTGTTGTTGTTGACGACTCTCATTGCTTTAAGTCCGCTTGATGGATACAAAAGCGATTTTCTGTTGTTTTTTTGTCGTATGAATTAGTTCTCCATGCTCTTTATGATTGGGGTCTGCTTCTTTGCGGTTAAATATTGTAATTTTTAATTCATTGCTTCAACTTATAGAGTTGAATGTTCGGGATGATTTCAGATTTAAATAAATTGCGCATATAACCAGGATATTGTGAAATTAATGCTTGTCATGTAAATATTACGTCACTCCTATGATGATTAATACGAGTGCAAACATTGACAACTGAACTTTATCGGATCTACATTCTCTCTGACGAAATATATAAAACGTTTTGTTATCAAAGTCATGTCATTTCTTATCGTAAATTTTTCGAAAAAAAAAACTGGCTGTCATTGAATCATCGCAACCACTTGATCACGCACCCATACATTTATTTAGTCATTGAACAAAAAATAAACATAACAAAAGCTTCATGCGGGAAGCGAAATCAACCGCGAAAGGGAAATGCGGGCACGACTTCAAAACAAAAGAAAGAAAATCTAAATGAGATACGTTTCTGAAGATTTAATGTTACTGAACTATATTTACTAGAATATTTAATTGTTGAGTGTTTGAGTTTTGATATCAGTAAAATGTTTGCCGTTCTATATTTATCATGGCTGATAAATGGCGTGATATCAAGTGGGATCGCGAAAATCAGCCGACAGCTTTTGATTTCAATTACTATTTGCGAATTTCCCTTTCAATCATATGTAATAACAAAAGATCAAAGACACGTTTACAATGCAAATAAGCGTTTTGTTTTTAAAATCACTTGTAAAGCTTTCCTTTCCGCGAAATCTTATCGTTATCAACCATAATAATAAAGTTCTCCCTTTTGTGATTTTATTGCACAGAAATTGACAAGCACAAACACACACAAAGTATTAAACACCTGATAAGTTGTGTAAAGTATTTAAGAGTATCAAAGTGTGATATCTACGTTCATAATTTTTTTCGCTCTCATCCACCTTCGCTGATTCTCAATTTTCATTCAACCATTTCGTGCTGAAGATTGTTGACGGTTCGAAAGACATTTCAACGGATTTTTGTTCGTATCGTGTTGTTAATTTAGTGCGACAGTTTCATATTACACAAGCTCTTTGATTTCGGTTTTTATTATTATAAAATCTTCCACTTCCGGTATCGTGGTGATTTCCCTTACAGAAAAGAAAAGCAAAACTAAAACAAATTACAAGTTTTTTAAAAAGAAAAAAACTGCATATCGACGATTAAAAATGTGCGATCAATGCATGGTGAAGTTTGTATCGCTTGCGTTTGCAACCGTAAGACAAGTTGATCACTTCCGTTGGTATCAATCGTAAATATTACAAAAAAGAATCGAAAGATTTTTTCCTTTTTTGGTTTTTCTTCTTATGAAAACTTTTATTTATTACGCAAGTGTTAATTGTGTGTGTGTGCGTTATCTAAGTACTTGCTAGTGAGAGCATTTAGCTGAATATTTTTACTTTGCTTATTGGTGAATCATTCACACTGGGAGAGAAACGAAGTTGCGTGTGGTTGTGGGAAGCGGTGGGTCGTCGACGTAGACGTAAACAGAAAAATCGCGTTCGTCTCGAGTCAATTTCAGAAGATTCTCTTGAACCTGTAACTTTTACATCAAATTCGCCTCAAACTTCCTTTTGGCGAATGTGGGATGTTGGAACTGTTCCGGGTCGATTAGGAGATGCTATTGGCATTCTCGTACGTTATGCCCATCAATCCATCGCCACGATTCTCTGCCCAATGTAAGATAAAATATTTGGAATTTATGTGTGTGCTTTAGCTCTAAGTCTTAAAATGTAATTAAGATAATGGCAATCACCACAATGTTGCTTTCATTTGTGTCGTTAATTTTTTTTCTTTTATGTTTGTTGTCATTACAATTGACCAAATCAAAACAAATCGAAAAAAATTCCTACGAAAAGCTTCTTGGCAAAAACAGAGACAAATGATCTTTGATATCTCACATTGTATTCTTCTTTTTTTTGGGCTGTTCAAGCCAAATTGATTGTTAACCACAACCAGCAGTCGTAAGGGGAGAAAATTGTGTCATTTCGATTTGTACGAGCCATGAGATTTAATTTCGCATGATTGATTTTCATTTTCTATTTTTATTCATTGTTACAAAGAAATATGAATTCAACTCATGTTTCTATTTAAAAAGAGAGAGAAAGAAATTTTTATGACGTAAAGCTCAGTGGAAAAAGTTATCTTAAACCTTTATTTCTTGTGAGCATCGTCAGATTAATCGATAATTATAACATGAACATTGATGGGATTTTCTTAGAATTTATCATCACTTTTGCGGCTGATGAGATCCCGTTAAAGTTAATCGCTTGCGCTTAGTTGGTGTAAAGAATCAATGATTATAAATCTGCGTTTTTATGAAAGCAATAATCTAAGAATTTAAGCATCAATGAAAAGATATTTGAAGATTTTTAATGTTGGTTTTGAACAATCAACATAGATTTCATGAAACATTGGTGAAAGTCTTGAAAGTCCAAAAATTGTCAACGTTTCTAATGTTCGTGATTGAAAAAGCTTTCTAAACTTTCGTGGATCTTCTGCTGGTGAAGCAATCGCGAGGATTCTTAATTGCATTTCTCCAATTTCCTTGAAAACTTCAGTTGAAAAATTAAACGAGACAAGTGAGAGAATTTTAAGATTCTTCTGAGATTTCAGGATGTTTATCGTCGTTTTACTGATCAAATTCTCCACTTGATTAATTTTGAAATACGTGAAATAAAGCTTGAGCGTCTCCAATGATAACTCGGCGATTGAACTTAACAAATAAACATTCTTTTCATGAGATATTAAAACACTGAGTGTTTTTAATTGATGTTGATTTAAAATAACTTTGGAAACGACTTCATTTGAAACATTATGAAATTCCAAACTTTCAAGGCAATTTCTTGGGAGTTTTATGAAAATTTTTCCAACTTCATCGTCGCATTCAATGACACATAAATGACGTAATTTCTTTAGTAACTTCATAATGTTAACATGTGTAGAAGTCAAGAGTTGTCGCCCATTGCTATTGTCTAATTTTCTTATTTCCAGATATTCAATCTTATTTGCCATTGACAAAATCATGAGAATGTCATTCGCGACCAGGTTGCAACTAATTTCAAATTTCTCGACTTCTGAAGCAAACTTTTTAAATGCTAAGAGAAGTTTCTTGACATTCTTGATGTCTTTACTTTCCGAGCTTAAGTTACGAACTGAGATGTTGAAGAATTTTCGCTTTGTTGTCATTAAGCTGTTGACATTTTCGTCATGTGAGAACTTTATGAACAGCGGAAGTGTCAGATGAATTTTATTACTTTTAATTATTTCTTTCTTACCTTCTTTGAGTCTAAAATCAACCAAAATCTTTTGACATTTCCAACAATTTTATAAAGATCTTTAGAGACTAATGCAATGTTGTTAAGGTCACAAATTGTCAACCATTCAAAGATCTTTAAAATTAAATTCTCAGGCAATTCCATGAAGTTCATTTTGCTATGAAAAATTTTGTGACATTAAAAAAGTTGACTGAGAAAATTGATTGCAATTTTTTTTTATTTACAGAAAAGCCCGCCGTAAGGAGCGTGATGGCGACGCGTCTCAAAGTGATACAAAAATATATTTAGAGGAAAGTGTACTTGAGCTGCTAAAGTTCACACCGGCAGAATTACGATCCATGGTCGACCTGCCGGCTGGCGTAGATTATAATGAATGGTTAGCTTCTTATAGTGAGTATCATCAAAATTGTCAACTGCCTCGAACACTTCACTCATAATATTTCCTTCTCCCAACAGCTATACAAATATTTGAATATGTAAATTTAGTTTATGGTACAATAAGTGAACATTGTACGACAACTGGCTGTCCCGATATGACTGCGCCGGGTTCAAAGTAAGTTCAAGTTGAATTTTATTTTTGATAATTAAATAAACGACATCTTTGTGTGTTTCACTTTAAAAATTAATAGAACCTACCTGTGGTACGATGAAAAAGGAAAAAAGAATCGTTGTCCCGCACCGCAATATATCGACTACGTGATGACCTACACACAGCGTACGATCAGCGACGAATCTTACTTTCCCACCAAATACGCGAATCAATTTCCATCTGGTTTTGAGTCGCATGTAAGGAAAATGATTCGTTTGTTGTTTCATGTCATTGCGCATATGTATGCCGCTCATTTTCGTGAAATTGCCCTACTCGGGCTGCATCCGCATTTAAATTCAACATTTGCCTTGCTGGTGGCCCTGCAAAGGTAGGAAGGAAATAATTTTGGATTTTTTCTGAAGAAGTTTTAATGATTTTGAATTTATCTTTTGAAGACGCTTTAACTTGATCGAGCCCAAAGAGATGGAAGTTCTATCGGATCTAGAAGCAGCACTTCATCTTAGTGATGATGCTTCAGCTGCTGTAACCACATCAACATCGTCATCGTCAACATCAACGACCCTCGCGTCAAGCGTGGCCAACAATAATAATTCATCATCTAGTGTTAGTTCCATAAGTAATTTAAATAGCAATACGATCGTAACGCAGGCATTAATCTCATCGCCTTCACGTTCTGGAGCTACGGCAGCGTCATGTGATGGCGCTCAAAGCCTAAATAGTCAAATCGATGATGTCAATGTGATCGTAAAGCAACCGGTGAGCGGGGGTGATGGTGTAAGTAGTCTGTTGAACAATAACAACGATTTGTCAACAAAAGATCGGACACATGTGACAGCCGTTGTCGTGGGGACGCCCCCAATTTAACGTCAATTCAAAATCTAGAAAATAATCGTCTTTTCATTTTTTTTCTTCTTCTGACTTTTCTTTTGTGTACCATATTTAATTTTCCCTTTCACAGAAATGAAAAGAAAAGAGTTTTCCATGATATCATTCATTTGATGTCATCTCTCGAAAGTTGGAAAATTCTGAGAAATCTTTTTGTTATTGTTCACAAAAAAAGAAGTTAAACCAAATATGTAAGAGAAAATGATGAGAAGAAATCAATTTTATTCCTAATTATTCTTCTTCTTAATTCTTGTTTTGTGATTGAGTAAAAAATGAGTTTTCTTTTTCTTCATGCAACTTTATTATCTAATAATTTGAAATGAATTCGTTTCATCAACACACTTAGAAGAAAAAGACACTAAAGATGAAAGATAATCGTCGTTAAACTGCATTAATTGTTAAGCATAAGAAGAAGAATAAATGAACAAAAAAATGCTATTTATAAAACGAAGATAACACAAATGTGACAAAAAAAGAAAAATAATTAATCATAGGCTGCCTAAAATGCCTCTTTCTTCCTTTTTCCTTGCGTTTAAATTTTTGTTTCATCTTATGGTTTGCCTCCATAGGGAGGAAAAGCAAGAAATAATTTAAAAGGAACGAGTTGCATGAAATGAGAAAAATTAACAAAATCTAGTACGATTTGAGATCTACAAAAGAAAAGTAAGATCTACTTGCAGAGGTTACGCAATTAAATGAAATGAAAAGTTTCAAAAACTTCTTAGATTTATCGCTTTTACTATTTATCGTACAACCAGAAAGGAAATAATTTTTTGTCCCTTTAAACTGAGAGGAAAAAAAACACTTAAAAAAAGAATTGTTGCTGCAAATTGAAAAATAAGAAAATGTAAAAAAAATATTTATTTAGTTATCAACTTGAGAGAAAAAGAAGAAATTAAAGATTTAAACAGTGAAGAAAAGTTACAAATTGTCTTATTTCAATGGTTTTTCTTTCAGCTTTTCAGCATTTTCATGATAAAAATTCTTTTCAATTCATATATTTATTTTTAGTCAAAATATGCTTTTATTTTATGCTACAAAAATAAACTAAATTCACGTGAAAAATATTGAGAAAAATTTTGACAAGGTAAATAAAAATCTTTTGAATTGAAATCCATCACGTGTTCAACGTTCAGTGCTGTCATTGTCGATATTTTTAATGGCAGCCAACAGTGACGATTTCTTCTTCGAATCAATGGTTTGTTTTCGAGTGCCGTTGCTGACTGCATTTCCATTGGTTTTGTTGTGATAATGAACGTAGTTTGTAGATTTTGACGACAAGATGGATGGAGAGTTATCAGGTGGCTGCTTTATAAATTCCAATTTTTTAATCTTCGTAATTGTGCTTTGTTTAGAAATTTCAGTTTTGTCATCAGCGAGAGTCTCACAATATTCATCCAAGAATGATTCACGGCGAAGAGTACTCATGGTCATTTCACGTTGAATGTAAGCGAGATCACCGTCTCCTCTACCATTAACAATTGTTTGTGGATCTTCTGACAACGACGATGACGACGAAGAAGATGTCAGAATGTGTCTTTGTTTCAATTTTGTCTCCAATTCATTTACATGCTTTTTATGTTCTAACAAATCCTTTGCATTGTGTGTCTGAAAATAATTCCAACAATGAAATTGTATTTTTAAAAATGTTTTTCATATATTTCAAGGAAAACTTTTTAAAAGAATCGAAGAGAATTTTTAAATCAAAACTTCTTTAAATTTAAATTCTAAATGAACAACTGAGACATTCTTCGATTCCTTTACCTTGAACAGACTCATCATTACCATTTTTGTGCCATTGTCTTCATTATTAATCAATTGAAAATCATTATCAGACAATTCACTGTCGTCACTCGATTTCTTCGTGTCTTGTTTGGGGTGCAATGGGATGAGTTTGTCATTTGTTATGTTTGGCTTGTTTAACAATCGAGCACGATTCATTCCATTACGAACGGAGACTACTAAATCATCATTGTCTTGAGTGTATCGTTCACTGCGAAGAAATCTCTCAGATTTATCGATTAGTGATTTGGTCATATCGATTTCATCTTTCTCCGGAACAGTTTTGACATTGCCGTTGAGGTTTGGTAGTGGTGAGTTGATTTTGATGGATTCATCCGTTTTCTTCTTCACTTCCTGACCTTCACATGGCGGCAATATTAATGTTGTTTGTTCCTTGTCCTCACCATTATTGAGTTGTGTTGCTGATTTCGATGAAAATGCCCGTGTTGGTGATTTCAATCGTCCGTTTTGGCGAACGTCCTTTGATGACTTCTTATCGCCATCAGCTTTCGTTCGTTGCATCATAAAATCAGACAATTCAATTTTGTGAACTAAATCACGATACTTTTGCTGTTCCATGTAAATATTTGATTTGAAAGCTTTCGTTTCCAATTGCAAACGTCTTGCCAGCAACTTCAAGTCATTGTCTTTGTCTAGCAAGCGTTGCTCAAGATCTCGAACACGATCAGTAAGTTTTTCACGTTCTTCCAAATGTTTATCTTTATTTAATTGCAGAAGATGCTTGTTTTGATCACTGAGGGTAAGAATTTGTGTTTCTTTCTGTTTCATTTTTCCTAGCACATCTTTATGCTGTCGTTGAAGATTGCGACAACGTGTTTGCCAAATTCGAACTTCTTCAGCGTGTGAATGTAAAAGTTGGGGAAGTTCAGCACTTGAACTTTGATACTTTGTTAATGCAGAGTCTTGACGTTTATGAAGTGATTTAAGTAATCGATTTTCAGCTGTGAGTTCCTATAATTTATAAATGTCACAATGTACATCGACTTTTATTAGATTTTTCAACTTACGGAAATTCGATGATGAGCTTCAGCGATTTGATTCTGCAGCTGCTTAAATCGTAGCAATCGAGCGGAAATTACTCTCTGCTTGACTTCACTGACAGCGGGGATTAAAGTTGGGTTTCGATCGCGATTCCGTTGAATGTTTTTCCTTCGATTTAATGCTGAGAATTTAGAACTTGACATTGTGAAGTGACTGCTGTTCATGCTTTTCGAAGAACTTCTAGAAAAGTTTTCTTTTAAAATGACGATGATGGTGATGATGTAATCGAAAAGGAAAAACTTTTTTTCTCAAAGGAATAATGAAACTTACGTTGGCGTATTCATTGAATTTACTTTTAATTCATGTTTACAATCTGGTAACATCGTCACAACTGACATCTTATTTATTTGAAACTCTCAAAATAAACAAAATTCTCAAGAAGTCTCAACAATTTTCACGTTATTTTGAGGCAACTGAAGTGAAATCGTAGAAAAAGTTGTTTGCTTTATGTCGCCAGTAGCAACAACTTCAACTTTTTCCTAGACTTTTTCTTACAACAAAACAAAACAGAAACGATTTCTCACGACTGATTTGTTTGCGCCTTCTGAGGGTTGTGAATAAAAAAACTTTTATTTCTTTCAACTTGAAAGTCTTCTTCAAAACTATTTTAAATATTAAACTTCATTGATAAATTTATCTCCGATCTGTCTTCGTTCGCTTGTAGGCGGAAAATGTGACAATTGTCGACCTGACCTCAATAAAAATTAATAGGCAATTCAATTAATTATGAAACGTAGCCTACATGAATCAACTTAATCACCGTTAATGGAAAACTATTTTTACCATGCTTTCACCACTCAATACACGACTACATAAATGCAAATCGAAGAAAACAAAAAATTAAAATTTTATTTGATCGATAATCATGCGATAAAATGAATTCAGAAGAAGACAATTCAGTTCTCGTTGACACATGAACTCAAAGTTTTGATGTTCAGTAAACAAACTTCTGTTGTCATCACAATTGACCATCAATTGTTTTATTTAACTAAAAGGATTGAAATTGAAAGTAAAAATAAAAATATGATGGGGGAGGGAAGTTAAACACGAAAGCGACATGCAAGTCTAATAAAGTTTTACGTGTCATGACCCTGAAAAAGTTCACTCATGATTTAAAATTGCTTTAATGCGTGTGTGAAGCTACTTAAGATTTAAGTAGCGAAACCTGATTATTCATACAAACAGCTCATTTTAGTTTGTTTTTAATTATTTTTAATCAGCGACTTTACGTTACCAATTACAGCAAAAATAACAATTCTACGTTTCTATATTAACAAAACATTGCAACATCGGCTTAAGATAAGTAAATGTAATTCCTGTTCTTTACTGTTTAGAATGTGAACGTTACAGGGCTTGGGATTGGAATTAATGAAATTGGAAGATTTTTTATTTGTTTTAAGGATTCCAAGCTCTGATTTCTATACATGAAAGTGTCTGCTTAATTATGATACAATTGCTTGTGTTGTCATTGTCAGTCATTAAATAATTCTCGAACCAGAATTCTCCCAATCGTCAAGTGCTGTCGTGTTAACAAATCCAAAATTCCATTTCTGATTCTTCTCATCACGCTTGCATTTGCTTACGAATACTTTTTTCTCATCAAAATCTCCTTGAAGACATCGACTTGAGTGAAGATGAATGATATGCTTCATTTTCTGGTCATATTTCCAGAGTTGATTGCCTTGCATGCCGTGACAACCGAAGAGAAGAATTGGCGCTTCGCCACTCTCCGAAACATCCCAACATGACTCACCATGCTTAATTCTTATGTCACGTTGCCAACTTAATGCAAAAAATTGCGTCGCATGTGGTTTCTTTTTATCATTTGCACAATAATACAAACCGATTTTCTCTTTGTCACCATGACTTAAAGTGTCAACACAATATGATGGATTTGCAATCGATTGTATCGCTCCAGATGCGAAATCTGTAAATAATTCATTTTGATTCATTCATACAAATCAGTTTTCCATTTCGAACTCACCTGGTGGATCAACTGGAGGATATTTCTCAACTAAATCTGGTGCAATCTCTTTGATGAACCAACTAAATGGTTTGCATTGCAACTTTTCTCTTATGGCTTTCTGCGCTGTTAAATCTCCAGCGTCAATTTTCTCATATTTTCCAGGACTTCTCGCATATAAATAGTCTTTATATTCATCCATCCAAACCTCAGCAACACGTTTGTAATTGATTGAAAGGAAATCTTTCGAACGAACGTTAGAGAATGGCGCGTAGCCTCGGTAGATGTGACCAACTCTTGAACAAGGTGCATCAACCATTCGTCCATGACATTGCCAAATCTTGAAGCTTAATTCATATTGTTCGCCACCCCAAATATCGAGGCCAGGATCGTAACCGCCAAGTTCCCAGAAGAACTTTGTTGAAATTGCGAAAAGACCTCCAGCCATGACAGGCGATGGAAAAGGTTCTGTCGGGTGGTCGCAATCTTCTTTACGTAATGGTAAACGTTTGTAGAAGAATTTCCAATCAAATGCACCTCTTGCACCTTCATCTTGTGCTCGATATTCGAAAGTATCGTAAGCAATCACATCGATGAAAGGACAAACGCATGTTTTATAATCTTCTGCGATTGGTTCGAGAAGTGGCGGCAACCAATTAATGTTGGCTTCTGTATGGGAATCTAAGAAGATTAATACATCACCAGTGGCTGCTTTTGCTCCAGTTAAGCGTGCTGTTATCAATCCACCTCGTTCTGGAAGATGAATCACTTTAACTTTCGGTAAGTTTGCATCGACAAATCTGTCAAGTTTGTCTTTAAGAAACTCTTTTGTTGAATAATCATCAACAAGAATTATCTCGGTGAGAAGTTCACGAGGTGATCGATTAATGACTGAATAAACTGTGCGAAGCAATGTGCTCCAATGTTCATTATAAAATGGCACAACGACGCTAACTGATGGCAACTCATTTAAATAATTTTTATCGCGACATCCTGGATGACGAATATCTGGCACAGAACGATTCAATGATATTTTGTCACTCAACAAAGCATTAAATCCATTTTCATGGAAGAGTTTGTCTTGAAGTGTTTTGTTACTTTGATCAAGTTGCTCAGCTTTTCCTTGTTCACCCAAACCTTTCCTACTTTGCTCATCACTTATCAAATTGTAATCGTGCCAGTCGATCTTCTTTCCATTAACATTCTTTGGCCTTCCACTAAAGAACGATCCATGTTTGGGATGTTGTTGGATTTTTGCTGATCGATAGAAATCTTTCGGTTGTTGTTTTGACTTGAAGAATAAAATAACTAAGCAGATAACGACTGATGCTAAGAAGGCTAATTTAATTAATGTTATAAGATTTCGTTTCATATTAAACTTTTATGTTTGTTTTTATGTCGTCTGAAATGAATATCATTGATTTTGTTATACAACTTGTTAAAATAATTATGTCGATTACCTGTTTCATTTTTCCTTCCTGTTTATGATTTTTTTATTAGTTTGTAATGTTGCCTGGGTGATGAGTGTAACTATCGTTCATTTAAACAGCAGCGAAATCTGTTGTTGGGGAAAGATTCTTCATTAATAAACAACTTTCATCATTATTAAATTTTTTCTTTTAAGAATTAATGAAATTTCATTAAAAACTCACTTGTAATACTTTTATAATCTAAAATTGTATATTTAAACACTAGACTTGCTTAATTTATATTCAATTAAACATTTATACTAATATCTGTCATTGCTTTTGTTCGAAATGCTTCTAAAACTAAAATTTTGTTAGAAACACCTGTAAGAGCAATTAAAAGAATCTTCAAACGTAAACAAACTTCTTTTATTAGTATTTTTAATTCTTCATCAACTTGCTCATGCAATTCTGAATTGTTTTGATACAAAAAAGTTCACTTGTTACTGTTTAACTCCCAACTTCAGTTTATTTTATGTTTTTAAAGTGAAAGAAGCTAAAAATTTATTTCTCAATATTTATTTTCATTTTGATATTATTCATTGTAAAACATCGTATAAAAGACCATCATGACGAAAGAGATTGCTTACATTTCATACGGTCCTGATTATGGTGAACTACTGCCAACAGAGGTAATTGTCAGATTTTAGAGATAAATTCGGAATCATGTGACCTCGGTTTTTATTGGACGCGTAATTCGTCTAACAATTATTCCGTAAACAGAAGAAAAGCAACACAACAAAGAATTGAAAGTATGATGGTTAACTTATTTTTCCTTTAATCCATCAACAAAGAAGGTGTTTAAGAGATACCGCATAGTCTACGTATAGAACCAGGTGATTTCATTAATCTTTATCTCCTTATCTACCTTTATGCAAACATGACGTCGAAAATAATTATTTCTAGCGGTTTTCAACAAGTAAATTACGAAAACAATTAAAGTTTTACGGAAATAATAATAAGACGTTGCTTGTTGTTAGACGAAATGCGAGTTTAAAATTGTTATTTGTTAATTAACAAGTCGTTTATATTATATTTTTTTTTCAACAATTCACAGATTCTTATTAAAATCTTCGAGTTCCTTCACCCGTCTGATCGCTTCAACGCAAGCCAAATATGCAAACGGTTTCAAGAGGTCAGCGAACATTACAAATTCATCAATGATTCGCAGCTTAATTTCTCGAAAATCACGTTCAGTCGACATGAAGCTCCAGCCAAAGATTTTCTACACAGCTTCAGAAGCTTTCCAAATATTTCCTTCACGGATGTTGAATTCAGTGATTGTGAAGAGTTTTGGCAACGTCATGGTGAAGCTGTTGAGACATTAACAATTAATTCATGCGACATCACTGTGAGAAAGTTAAAAATGATTCTCAAGGAGACTCCGAATCTCCATTATTTAGAAATTCAAAATTCACGTGAATTATTTATGAGCGGAAGATTATTTGAGGAAAATGATTTGCTGCTTGAAAATGTTACTTCACTGAGTCTACCAAACAATCAGTATTTGTCAGATTGTCTGTTCTCGCGCATCACAAGAATTATGCCAAATTTAGCAGCTCTTGATTTGAGTAGCAATAAAATTTCATTTCACGGTGGTTTGTATAAGAAATTTTATCCAAATCACGACAACGGCGATGATATTGGAAGCGATAATGTTTTCACCTTTCATTTCATCAAAAAATTCATCAAGAATCGAGCTGATAAAATCAAAGAATTGAATTTTAATTCAACACTTATTGATGGCAACACTCTTCAATTGTTATCGGAGATCGATGAATTAAATCTTTCAAAATTACATCTTCGACAATGTGACCAGCTTACGAATGATGGATTCACAAGTCTCATCAGAGTTCAACCTCAACTGACTTCGTTAGATTTAACGTTTTCAGTTCGTATTACTGACTCATCCGTCATAGCTATAAGTGAAACTTTGAAGGATTTGAGATTATTGAAACTCCGGCGATGTCGTTCATTAACCGATTTATCGATCAAAATGTTAGCAGATCTTCAATTTCTTGAAGTTCTCGACATTTCTGAATGTGAGGCTTTAACAAGTGCTGCAATAACTGATGGAATTGCTTTTAAATCCAACGTCGTGTTGAAGGAACTTTATTTAGCTGCACTCAACATTGACGAGAATGCAATCACCAAAATAACCGAAAACATCCCAAATCTTCGTGTCTTAGATTTGAGCTTTTGTTTCAATCATGTTGATGATGTTTGCGTTCAAATGATATTTAAAAATCTTTTATTTCTACGTGAACTTAATTTAGATTCATGTGAGAGAATAAGCGATGAAGGACTGACAGGAATGTCAATGAAAGAGAAGCTTGAAGACTTTTGTAAGAAAGAAGAACAACAAGAGAAGGTTAATGAAGAGATGAAACAAGAACCGATTGTTTCCGGTACCATAAATAATCTTCCTGAACCAGCACAACGCACAATCTTTAAGATTTCACTTAGAACAAAAGCAGAAGATGAAATTGTCAGCGATGCACTTCGAAAGAAAGCAATGATGCAAATGGCTATGGAAATAAACACAAATGAAGAAGAAAGCAGCAACTTTTCGATCAAAAAACTTAAAGGTTTGAGAGTTCTAAAGCTTGGTAGTTGCAATAAAATTTCTGATGTTTCTTTGATTTACAACTTCAAACTGCCAGAATTGAGGGAAATTAATTTAAGCAAATGTCAGCAGATTTCCTACGATGGAGTCAAAGCTTTGGTTGAGAATTGTCCAGGACTTGAAGTTGTCAACTTTTCTGAATGTCACAATATCTCTGATAAATGCATTGAACTCGTCGCTACTAAACTGCAGAGATTAACTTCATTGGATATAAGTCGATGTTTCAAATTAACTGATTATTCACTTGATTATATCGCGTTGAACTGCAAACGAATTAGAGAACTTAACGTTCATGGATGTCGTCAAATGTCTGATGAACCGCATTTGAGATTAATTAATGCGGTTTCATTGAAAAATATTTCGTTTGCAAAACCTGGATCCAATGTTGATTCAAGAGCTCCAATTCCACCATCATTTCGATTGGCAAGCAATTCAAGAAACTCGTTTCCGTTGCCGCTTCCATTTCGCTATTAAGTGATAATCCTTCGAGCTGGAATTGAGGGAATTTTTATGAAAAGCTTATTCAAACTAAATTATACCAACTTTTCTTATAAATTATTATTAAATAAAGAAACTATTAAATTATTCAATCAAGAAAGTTTTCTTTTTTTTATTACTGATAATGCTAATTTCACTCCTTTAATTATTTTTATTGTTTTGCTGAGAATCCAGTTCTTGTTTTACGATTGAGGTATTTGTAAAGGAAGCTTATACGTTTTTCCAACTCATTCCATTTGGTTGGTCTCTTCTCTGGAAAACCAGCATTCCTCATTATTTTCCTTTTACGCAACAGAACTTGAAATTCATTTCCACCAACACCCCGAAGCCAGGAAGGAACAGAATAAAGTACACGAGTTGGATGAAGATTGTCATTTCCCAATATGTCAATGTAGTCATTTTGTCCCATTAAAGCTCTTTTTTCAGCCCAAGCGTTTTTCGGTCTAAAAATTTAATTTTACAATGAAAAAAAGGTGAAAATTGAAAGATCCAGAATAAAGTTAAATTTATTTACTTATAAACTGGTATAGGTAATTTCTGACCACAATTAAGTCTTGGTAATAATCCTTTGTGAATAATGTCATCTTTGTATCCATATCGTTTTATTAATGGACCTTTAGCGATTTTACTAGCATAATAACGTGTTCGTACTGGAATCACTATGGGATTGAATAAATTTTGCACAAGTCCTCTGACGAAAGACATATTTCCGTATGTTAAATTATTCTTTATCCTCTATTTTGTGTGAATATGGCTTTTAATCACTTTTTAACTCAATTATACTCAGAGAAAAATTATTTTCCGGTTTTATTTTAGATTTTTACGAATCAAAACAAAATAATAATGAGGGGTATTCAGATCATGTTTCTATAGATTTACACCCCTCAAAATTCACGTGTTGTGTTTAAAGAAGTAAACAAAATACAAAAATATATCTTAAAATAATTAAATATGGGTGAAGATGATAGTTTTATGGATAAAAAGAAGCCTCACAAGTCGAAACATTCAGGTAATGCAACAGGACAAATTCATATAATAATTTATTTTAGTTGTTTTATAAGAAAAGGTTTCAAAAAAAATATTTTTTGAAAATTTTAAGGTGTGAAAGCTGAAAAGAAGAAAGGAAAGAAACAACTTCCAACAGATAGACAAAAAAATCCTAAAGGTTTTGCAATCACATCAGCTCGAAGTGCAGAATTGAGATTTCGAAGGAAGCAAGACTTGCAAACTAAGAAGCATCACATACCGTTAGTTGATGCAACACCTGAAGAACCTCCACCGATAGTAATTGCTGTTGTTGGACCTCCAAAAGTTGGAAAATCTACTCTTATTAATAATTTAATTAAGAACTTCACAAGAACTAATGTCACAAACATTAATGGACCAATTTCGATTGTTGTGTCAAAAAAACGTCGTTTAACAATCATCGAATGCAACAACGACATTAATGCAATGATTGACATAGCAAAATGTGCCGATCTCGTCTTACTGATGTGTGATGCAAGTTTTGGCTTTGAAATGGAAATCTTTGAGTTTCTCAACATCTGTCAAGTTCATGGAATGCCGAAAATTATGGGAGTACTTACACATCTCGATGCTATCAAAAACACGAAAGCTTTGCAGAAAAAGAAGAAACTTCTCAAGCATCGGTTCTGGACAGAAGTTTATCAAGGTGCAAAATTATTTTATCTCTCAGGAATTCAACATGGTGAATATTTAAGAAATGAAATTAAAAACCTTGGACGTTTCATTCATGTTATGAAGTTCCGACCATTAACATGGCGTGGCCAACATAGCTACATTTTAGCTGATCGTGTTGAAGACATCACGAATCAAGAAGAAATTCGTTTAAATCCGAAATGTGATCGAAATGTCGTTCTTTATGGATATGTTCGTGGAATTCCACTTAAGAAGAATTCAACTGTTCACATTGCTGGTTATGGTGATATCAAAATTGATGAGTTGGAAGCATTGTCTGATCCATGTCCAATGCCATCAAGAGAAAAGAAAAGAAATTTGCTAGAGAAGGAACGATTGTTATATGCACCGATGTCAGGTGTTGGCGGAATTGTTTATGATAAAGACGCGGTTTATATTGAACTTCAAGGATCGCATAGCCATCATGGACGAGAGAATGAACAATCAAAGCTTGTCAAAGAAATTATTAACAAGAAGGAAACTTTCGATGAACAAATTCAAAATCAAGAATTTCGATTATTCTCAGATGGCGACGTCATCAAGTCGATGGATTTCCAAGATGATGATGACGATGATGAAGAAGTTGAGAGTGAAAATGAAGGAAGTGATGATTCCGGAATGGATTCAGAACCAGAAATGCCAGAAATGAATGATGGAAGTGGTTGGAAACCAGATGAAGATGATGAAGAACTTCAAGACGAAGACAATTCATCAGATGAAGAATATCAAAACTTAGAAAACGACCCTGATGATTTAATTCACATGTCATGGAAAGAAGGTGTCGCCGATCGTGCACGAGATGCTTATTTAGATCGACAATCAAACAATCAAAATCTCATGAAGTTAGTTTATGGTAAAGCTAAAACTGATCAAGAAACAACAAATGAAGACGATGATGAAATCGGCGGACTTTTTAAAAATGTCACTAAACACCAAACACAATTACATCATGAGAAACAACAAAGAGATGCAATCGAATGCCCGTTCTTCGAGAATTATGGCGAAGGCGTGAGAAATTGGACTTCAGAAGAAAACAAGAAAATGCTCGTCAATTGCTTTGTCACTGGAAAATGGAAATCATCTGAAGATGCTGAAAAACTTCTTGCGCTTGATGACATGAGTGATGGTGACAGTGAAGTTTATGGTGACTTTGAAGATCTTGAAACTGGTGAGAAGTTTACAGGAAAGGAACAAGAAGATGATGAAGACGTCGAAGAAGCTCCAAAAATTGATGAATCAAAAAAGAAACGAAAGTATGAGAAAGATGAAGAAGCTAACTTGACACGTGCTGAACTAATGGCGAAGAAATTGAAGCTTAAGGAAAAGTTTGATGCTGAATATGACAATCCTGAACTCAAAGACAGTCACAGAATCGATGGCGAAGAATCCTTTTACGAAGCATTAAAAGCAGAAGCTGACAAACAAGCGGAACTCAATCGAAAAGAGTTTGCTGAACTTGATGAGAATGTTAGACTTGAAATTGAAGGTTTTCGAGCTGGTCTTTATGTTCGTATGAGTTTCAAAGATCTTCCTTGTGAGTTTATTGAAAACTTCGATCCAACTTATCCAATTTTAATCGGAGCATTGAACATGGCTGAAGAAAATATTGGATTAATTAGTTGCAAAGTAAAGAAACATCGTTGGTATCGTAAAGTGTTGAAGACAAATGATCCACTAATCATTTCGTTAGGATGGCGACGGTTTCAAACTGTCCCAATGTTTGCAAAAATTGAAGATGATTTAAAGCATCGTTTCTTGAAGTACACGCCGAATCATGTGACTTGCAACATGAGCTTTTATGGTCCAATTACACCGCAAAATACCGGATTCCTTGCTATTCAAACAGTCAGCAGTGACATTAAAGAAATGAAACGAATTGGATTTCGAATTGCTGCAACTGGCGCTGTCAATGAAGTTGATAAAACATCGCAAATTATGAAGAAGCTGAAATTGGTTGGAACGCCACATAAAATATTCAAAAAAACGGCATTCATATCAGGAATGTTCAATTCAGCATTGGAGGTTGCCAAGTTTGAAGGAGCAAAAATTAAAACAGTTTCGGGAATACGCGGACAAATTAAGAAAGCAGAACGTGAACCGCCAGGATCATTTCGTGCAACGTTTGAAGATAAAATTCAAATCAGTGATATTGTTTTTTGTCGAACTTGGTTCAAAGTTGATGTTCCACAATTTTATGTGCCGATTACGAATTTATTGCTACCAATCGATGCTAAATCACAATGGCAAGGAATGAAAACGCATGGACAATTGAAACGAGAGAAAAATATCAAAGCCGAGGTTAATGAAGATCATTTATACAAGCCAATTGAAAGACAAGCACCAAGCTTTAGGCCATTGATCATTCCAGCATCACTTCAACGCTCTTTGCCTTACAAAGATAAACCGAAGAACGCTTCGAAAGATCCTAAACAGAAGTTTGAAGCCACACGTGTTGCTGTTATTCATTCACCTCACGAACAGAAAATCACTAAAATGATGAAAATGTTGAAAGCAAATCATCAAGCAAAGGAAGAGAAACGAAAAGCAAGTTTAAATGCAAAGTTTGGCGAGAAGCTTAAGTTGAAAGAAAAAGAAGATTTGAGAAATTTGCAACGACAGAAGGAACTTAAAAAGAAAGTTTTTCGTGCGTTATCAAAAATTCAATCGAAGGAAGAAAAAGGAGAGAAAAGTGGAGGAAAGAAAAAATTTCAAAAGAAGAATCGCGGGAAGAAAATTGGAGATGAATAATTGAAAGATTTTTAATTAAAGAAATAAAGCAAAATGTTTAATCATTAATTGTTAATTTTTATTGTATTGTATTTTCTTTTTTTCCAGGTTTTATTAAACTTATTTGAATGCGATTGATTTCTCTTACAGATTAATTTTATAAAATGAATTAAGCTATGAGTATTGACTAGCAATTTTGTCTTCACTAGATATGAGCTTCTTGATGTAAATAAAGGAAAAGAGAAAATATCTCAGCAGTTGAAACCATTATCTACATCGTCAATTAATGAATTGTCTATAAATGCAGCAAAAGTATTAAAAATATTATTGAAAATGTCATTTGAAATGAACTTGACAAATGAGAAAAGCTACATTTTGGTTAAATGAAATGGTAAAATTGTAAAACAGAATCATTTGCAATTTAAAATTATTTCATTTTAAATTATTGAATTAGGTGAAAGATTTCTCATCATCATATTTAGTTACAGTCAGAGTTTTACATTTCATTTCTCATCGGAAAATCATTTTTCTACAATTGAAAAAATGATTTCTGTTAAAAAATTTGTTTGCTTTATATGAGAAAAATTTGCTTACATTTTTTATCTAGATAATGTTTGATTGTAAAGAACGATAATGAATATTTAAATCTTTGACAAAAATTATTTTTTTGTTGTTTAGTTGACTTTTCTTTAATGAAATATTCAAGTTCATGAACAAAATAAACATTTCCATATCATGTAAAGGAAAAAATTTAAACATCCATAAACGAGCATTGAAGATTATGATGAAACATTTTATTATTATTTTCATCCCTTTATTTGATTTTGTTAGGTAGCTAATTAAGATTTACCTATCAATATTTTGATTGATTTTCGCAGTCAATTCCAAAATTTCGATAATAATACTTGAGATAAAAAGAGATTTTCATTAAAAATACGAATTGAAATAGAACAGTATCAAAAAAACTTCATCAACTCATAACCAATGTAAGCCTTTTTTTCTTTTTTAAAAACCTCAAGACAAAAAAAAACATTTCTTTATTTAAAATCTTTAATTAACATGAATAAATAAAATAATATGAAACTTTTAATAAGAATTTGGCAAAATATTTGAAAGATGTCCATAATACAAGAATGAAAGCGGAGCATATTCTTGTAGAGATACGGAGGAAACCCCTCGAAATCGAACTGAAGAGAGCGGGAGAGAAAAAGATCATTCTTTGTGAACGACCGGAGCAGTTTAGACGTGTGATAAAAAAAGCTCAATTAAAATTGTAATTAAAGTTGCTCAAATAAAACATAACTTTATATTTATCACGTAAAAAGAAAAATAAGTATTTTAAATCATTTAAAAGAACATCGGAAAGTCACAAGTGTCACAATTCTAAAGTCAGAAAAGCATCTCAATCTTATGACAAAATCAGAGCGTATGTTTTTTTTACTACTAGCAATTAAGCCATGGCATCTGATCTTTTAACATATTGGGCCAAACTCTATATTATCAGCGATAAGTTTTGTTTTCCGTGTAGCTAATATTTTTATATAAGAAATAAAAAATAATTCTATTTCTCGAAAACGTTCCCTAACTAAAGTCGATTTAATGATGATGATGATATTGTTGCATTTTATTGTTGATTATTCTGTTCAACTCAGGAATGCATGTGGTAAAGCAGATTTCATCTTTAAAACCTTTGAACAGAAATTTAACGAAATTTTGAAAATCAATTTATTTAAATTCTTAAAGAACGTTAAAAAATATTTGTCTTACCTTGGTTCTACCACAATATTCAAATGTGAGTTTGATTTGCCGATCGATCCTATTTGGAAAACTTATTCGTAGTTTGTAGAGAAATTGCAACTGAAAAAGGAAGGTTATGTTCTTGTTACAAAATTAATTATTAAATTGTAATTAAATTACCCATTCTTGCGTCAATCGAATGATATTGAAATCATGTTGAATAAGTATTCGAATCATTTGTTAATCTTCACGAAATAATAGCCAACTTCATTCCACGTGGGAATTTCATCAGGAACCATTTGACTTTATTCAGGTTTTAAAAATCCTGTTGTTTAATTAACATCATTTCGAATCAGTTCTTGTTTTTTATTTACATAACTAAATGTGGTGATAAAATAAATTATTAACTAACTAAATTTTAAGTAAAAAGTTAACTTACATGTGACGATTAACGCTTGATAAATTTTAGAATTTACTTTGAAGTGATGCTGTCGGGATCTAACAATCAACTGAGATAATTTCACTTGTGTGCGCTTTTTTGTATCTTTCAGAATCGACAATCGAATTGATAAGAGAAGTTTGAAAAGTTTTCAGCTAAAAAAATTGAGAGAATTTTATAGCAACTCGTAATGCGTTCTTTACGTGTGAAGTACCTAAATAAATAAATTTCTAAGAACTTTACTCTTTATCCAACTGAAATAAATATCTAGGTAAATGAATTTAATTCTGTAAAAGATTTGACAATTTATTAACTTTTACCTCAATCCCTCTGACAACATTTAGAATCAATAAAGGGTTGCTTGCATTTTTGTTATCAGAAACTGAACAAAATTTTAATAAATATTTACCTAAGTGATAAGAATTAATAAAGGAAATTTATTCAAATTTATTCAGTTTCAGTTTTTGAAAATTGGCTTCAAAATTTATAAACACAGTAAGGTCAGAAATTGTAAAAAGAAGAAAATAATTTTACTTTAAAAGGAATCTTTCCCAATGACCAGTTTCATCATCAAATTAAAAATCCAAAATAAATCTTCTAGTTTATCATTCAATTGGTTAAATTAATCAGAAGCAAAATTGAGAATTTATGACGATTTTTTTTTCAAAGAGAAACAAGAAGCGAAAGTTAATTAAAAGAAACATTTTTAGATGAAAATTACGTTGTAAATTGGATCAGATGAAAGCAGCAGACAAGTTGAGTACCGAAAATAGAAGTTTAAAGGGAGATAAAGAAAGCATTTCTCTACATTTTCTCGGCTCGACATCTTAAAACAATTAATCTGAAGGCGGGAATTCTTTCTTAATTTATTAGGAAACATCAATTTCGTGCATTTCTTACATATTTTCTCGCGACATAACATGAATAATTCTGGGGAAACCTGAAACAACAAAAAATGCAATCAACATTCTTCATTTCGAACTTCTCGTATGCATTTATTTATTTACACATCAACGTCCCGACATTCGAGTAGATAAATGTTTCAAAACGGCAACTTTTATTTTCCATCTCGATGCATTTCTCACTTCATCCAAAGCCGTTGAATGCTAAATCAACAAACGAAAATTATTTACGATGTCATTGTGGAACAAAAGATTGCAATTTTTTGACAAATGTAATCTCAACATTAGCATATATGCGATGTGTTCAACCCTCGGTTAATTCGTTACAACGACTGAGTAGACAGTAAAATAATAAATAAACATTTGTCCAAAGCCATGAGTAAATACATAAAAGAGTAAATCTCAATTGATTCATGCTGGCAAAACATGCCACAAAAAAAATTCGTTCAGCAAACAATAAATGTGAAGGGAAAAGTAACTTAAAAGAGAATTTTTATCGTGAATTCAGGAATTTCCGGTTTTATCATTTCAACAATCACGTAAGTCACGGCACACGTCGGATAATTCTCAAAAGGAAACACAATAACAAAAAGACTTACTCAATAAAATGAGTCCCAAGATAACAATGAAGAAGTCATTACACATTCCTTAAGCAGGTCATAATACGATCCTAAAATATTCAGATTTCCATACAAAACAACTAATAGTCGTAACTTTTAATTAACTTAAAAGGAATATTCTTTGTTGACGACATGACCTGTTGAATGACATTTAATGTTGTGGTGTCATGAGCTCGCATCATAATCTTCAATCATAGAAAATAGCAATTAATTAACTCAAATAAATTGTTTTTCCTTTCTATTCATTTAAATCTAACATTTACTGCGATATTTCACCAGTGAATTCTTTTCAAGTTTCTAGGGATAGGAAGCAAAACCTACGTTGTTTCAATTGAATTGCTCGCGTGCTTCAATTAAATTCACTCAGAAAAAGAAAGCATTTTGTAAATGATTTTTATTTTCAGTGCCGTCCAATACTACAAATGACTTCATACTCAACATAAAGTTGTAAGTAAAGCATGGAGATAGCAAGTCACACCTCATTTTTACTGTAACGATCGAATATGGTATATGTTAAGTACAAATTTCTTCCGAGGGAGTGGGAATAAAATAAAAATAAGGCAAAGAAGTCTAAAAATAAAACTTTGACTAAGAGAGAGCGAGAAACAATTCGCAACTGCTTGTAACAATTTCAACATCTCACTGCATTCCTTCTCTCGAGAATTTCTATCCATCAGTACTCTTTAAACACTAATTAATAATTAACAATACTACAATTTGAGAGCTTAATAGAGCTGTTGTGAAGAAATTTGTACAGCACATTTTCATGGGTCGTCGAACATTTTGCGCTGAAGTTCTTCCGTTAAAGTAATTTGGAAGTTAATCATAATTTTCACAATGCTTAAGACACGAGAGTTCAACGATGTTTGAACCATATGGAGCGCTGTTTTTCTTTCTCTTCTTCGTCTGCTTATTATTGCCGTCTCTCCATCCCATACACGCTTTTTTAGTATTTTGCGAATTGTTAGAATAACGAGCTAAGGCCATTAATTCACAACAAGCAATGCCAATACAACAGCAAAAAAAAAACTGAATGCAAATTACTAATGGACAAGAATTTTCGAATTCAGTTGTTGTTGGTTAATACTCGTTCAATTGCTTTGACTATGCAAATGGATTTTGTATGTTTGTTTGATGTTTCTCTATGGGAATATACAAAATATTTAAGTTAGAAGGTATAAAACAAAAAGAAATTTAAATGAGTAGGTGGAGAGAAGGAAATGGTTGAAAATCATTTAATTTATTATCTTTCATTCTTTGTACTTAAGTAAGTAGCCTAAAGAAATAATTATTCCACCCCTGAACTTACATGATTTATTAGGAAGGAGAATTAATCTACATTCAGTATGAGCGAAACTTGTTCATGAATATTTTGCAATCCGCAAGGCAAGTAAAACATTTTCTACTACAACAGTGAGGTGAACAAAATATAAATTTATGCTTGATGTCTTAACCACATTATAAACGTCAATTGTCTTCAATGTCACAATAGATTTCGACCAAAGTTTTCTTTTTTTTTTATCATGAATTTCAGTCTTCATTTAAAGTTTTTTAAATTTCTCACTTGAAGTTTTGTTTTTAAAAGAAGAGAAAAAACGAGTCGAATAATTGTTGTTATGCTTCGCAAAAGAATGAAATATAAAAGAAATGGAGCTGCGACTAATTGAGCTAAAAAATGCTTGAAGTATACGGATTATAGTAATACAATTAACATCCCGCGCAAATGAGAAAAAAGCAGTCAATTGAGTTCAAAGTCGGAGATCGAGTGAATAAAAAAAGCATGTCAGAGATGAAAGAAGAGCAAGCAAGCATCATCGGAAATGCATCAGATGAGAACGATAAAATAAAATAAAAAAGAATTAATAAAAGTAACAAAAATCAAATGTCACGATTCGTCTCAATTTATTTCAAGCTCATCGTCGCTTGAATGAAATATGGCAACGTTGCAGTGAATAACTTTTAATTAAAGGGTTCCATTGGGAATGTATGTATGCAGATGCAAAAATAAATAAATCAAGAAGAAAGAGAAGGAAGAAATGAAGCAATTAATTAACGAGTTTGAAAATCCATTCAATTCTCAATCAATCTCTATTTAAAGTTTTAAGTTGATGTAAAAAATCAGGGTTCACGAAGTGGAAGTGTTTAATTCGACATGCTGCGTAAACATGAGGAAGCCCTCACTAAATAACAGACATTAGATGAATCTTAAGTGATCGAGATTCGAACAAATTTGCTTACGCATGCTGGTGAAGCAAAACAATTTCACGATTGGTCATTTCTGATATTTGTTGAGGTAATGAAAGCCAAATGAAAGAAAAATTTTCTAAATGCTTCTAGTTTTTGTTCTTCCATCATTGTCTGAATGCCTCCACGCTATACTATCGTTTATAAATTGAAATTCCCTTTCCATCTTTGTTATGAAAGAATTAAAATTCGAATGTTTTACAACTCCATCAATTTTCCAGACATGATTCGTGATGTTTTGCGTTTTTAATGAAGCAAATAAGCGTGGGTAAGCTTGAACACATTTCTCAAATTAAATTCAACAGTCGGGATTATGAACGTTAAATGACGACACACCTTTCGTTACAATTATTACATATTTTCCTGTATTAATCTTCAAAAATCCCCTGTGATGTGTTGTGCTGTTGAACAGGTTACATGCTATTCTTTATTATGTTGAAAAGTCACATTTATCATTTGACAGTAACAACGAATTAGAAGGAACAGTGCAACAGAAGTCGAGAGGGGATCGGCTGTATTTAAAAAATAAGAAATAAAAACAAAACAGATCCAAAATGAAATATTATTGTGACACTTTAGGGATCTTTCATGACACTTTTTAGATTCCAGAAGCTCAAAAACCACTCATGTCTTGTGGCTCGAATGGTTTTTTATTAATGAAATAAATCTTATGAAAAGCGAACATAAACCTTTCAAATGTCAACCGCAAAAACTTCATGGTCGATCATAAATCAATTGCTTTTCAGTTTTCCCACATCACGAAGACGTAATTAACATTGCTTTGTGATATGCATGCACAACATGTGTACATTATGTTAAGGGAATTTTAATTATGATTTTTCTAGTTAGAATATTATTCAAATGTCACTTCACGTATTATTGTTTATAAATAGAATTATTACGTTAATAGAAATGATTAAGAGAAATTTGATATCCCAAATGAGGGGCTTAAGCTTTAATGGAAACAAATGTGCCGTCGAAATGAAGCACAATGGAGAAATTATTTAAGTGAAGAAATATGATGAAATTGAATGATAATGTAATGATTTTTCAAAGCATAAAAAATATGCTTGAAATGAGATTTATAATTTTCTCGCTCAGCGATTCATGAAATTTGTCTTAATTGAGCCATTGAATATTTTAAGGAACATTTAAATGCTTGAGAATCGGAAACAAAAATCTCTCTCGTTGATTGATCGGCTTGACTTCATTTCTACTTCCCGGGAAAAACACAAAAGTCACCGAAAACCATGTCCATAAATCAGCACGCTTGTTTGGGCACATAAAGTGCAACATGATACGTGAGTTTAACGTAAATTTAAAGTTTCTACATTTTTCACATTTTCATTTCTTCCTCAATGCTGACATTTCGCTTTCTTTCGAATTTCAATTGAGAAGCATGTTAAATTATGGAAACTACGAAAAGGTCACGTAATGTTAGAATGTTTGATGTTTGTGATAGGCTTCAGGAGAAACTCGTGTGTAAAAGTTGGGACATTTGTTCCGTCAATAATTTCAGTAAGTTCCGATGAAATCATTAGATATTGATTTTATTGTTTTGATATGGCTTACAATAATCATTTCGTGTGAGACTAACTGCTAAGCAGTCATCTAACTACCGTTTACTTACTTTCCATTAACATCTTAAGTAGGTATTATAAAAATCCGGTTTTAATAAACAGGAAAGAATTGCTATTAAAACTCCATGTGAAGTCAATTTAAAGTCTTAATGCAAGTTAATTAAAATTTTATATATTGCAAATTTAATTCTTAGATCTAAGTCTGTCATTAAATGTTACTTCAAATGCCTCAACACAACATTCTTCACCTGAAAGAAACTTAAAACCCAAAACCGAATAATTTTTCGTGTGTGAAAACACAACTGAAACCGGAAATGAATTTAAATTTTTTAACAAAACGAAAACGAAGTTGAATTCAATTGTCTTTTAGTAAAAATAAAAGTAAAAAAATGTTTTAAACAAAACAGTCACTAGAGAGGTAGAAAGAATTTAGTTCTGGTTTGTTTATTTCGTCCATTACATTAAGAGATATCAAGCACAACATAAGCATTGTAATAAACGACGACAACGACTACCTAAATAGAACCTATGAACATAACATGGAAATCTTTGAACGGTCGTAAAAGTCAACTGCTGATTATCACGGAAGGAAGACGACACATCGGTGAGACGACGACGTCGACGGTCAGTTAAATGACCGTGCACGGCTTTAAAAGTGCTGAGTAATTGACCTCAATTTCTTTTTGCACAAACATAAAGTGACACATCAACAACATCGCGCTTAAATAAGCATAAGAGTTGTTCCACTTTTTTCAGCGGATCCAAGAAGAAATAAAAATTATTTATCAACTCGTAATCTTTCGCTTCCTGAAATGTTGTACAATCACGGAACCTAGAAATTTCGTTAAATTAAGAACTTCGCTTTGGGTAGGTCTATAATCTCGTCATTATTATCTATGTCTCAAACATTAGATTCAATTCTTGAAAATCAAAATTTATTTCTTCTTTTATAAGCTTTGAACTTTCAAGAGAAGGAAGACAATGGGCTTAGCCAATTCAGAATTGTTTTGAAAATCAATAAAAAATTGTTTCTCTTCTATTCTTCGTGGTTTTACGATTGTTTTGTTACATTCTAATGTTGTTGGTTTCTTTACTGATCATTCGTAGCTTGGCTTAGTCTATTACTTAGTTTCAAGACTCTTTTAAGTAAGAACAATACGCGCCAACTGTTAATAAAATTGTCTTCTTACTTACGAACATAGTTCTTATGTATTTATGTATCTTTTTCACCTTTCGAAAGGGTCTTACTCTTTGATAGCGAAAGAAAGAACAATAAAAGCCTTGAGAAAAGCTGAGAATCTTAAGATCAACGATGAAGTCACCGCAGCCATGAATTCTTTCTTCATAAAACTCTCTTTAGGCTTAACAAAGAAACTCTTTTTATTACGTTTCCAACGTTCCTTTTTCTTCTTCATTCTTTCTTTGCTTCTGCTGTTTGCTATCGTTCGTAAACACGAGAAATGCCAACTCGAACTTCAGCTCTGAATTGCACAGTTGGAATATTAAGTTTGTTTTTTATTATTTAGCCAGAGTTGTTAAAGTTTAATTTCATCTATTTGTCAATCTGAAATCTCCAAATATTTTAAAAGATAAAAAAAATTAATTATCTTAAGTGACAATTGACATATGACAATCAATTGACAACCCTGAACTTCAGATTATTTCTGGAATTCACAACGAAAGAGAGCAGAAAATGTTTCGTCTGTTTCTTGAAAGAAAGTTTTACAAAATTTTTAAGCACCCGCATCATAAAAATGTTCAGCTATAAAACTTAATTTTTAACTGTTCAGTGGTTGTTGAAGTATCTTCGTATTTAGATTTAACGCTTTGGCCTTCCTTCTTTTCTTTTCCATAAAGTTACCCAAAATTCCGAGAAACCCGCAACAATTCTTGTGGTTTCACCACCAAAGAAGAGAGAGAAGAGTCGATAGATCGGAAATAGCGGACGATGAATTTTCTTCTTATTTCTTCAGACTTCTGGGCGTTCAAACTTTCGTTTAAAATTTGCTGCAGCAATAAACGAAATAAATTCTAATGTTGTGCATTATATAAGTAAGAATTTCCGGTTGAGTCTTTTCAAGCCTGTGAACTTTCTCAAGATGTTTTATAATTTTGTGCAACCCATCGGGATCAGTGATGCGGAATTATAACAACATATCGCTTTGAGTAAATAAACTTACTTGAATGATTGAATCCTGATTTGAATATTTTCCTTCAATATGTTTTTGAAAAAGTTTCTTTAGGCTCCTAGACAATCTTAAAATAATTAGTGTGATTTAATTATTCTAATTATTGATCTAATTATATTTTATACAAGATAGTTTGACGTCTATCTGACAGGGTTTTGAATCATTTTTTATGTTCTTTTACCTAGAATTTCAATCAAGACATTTTCTATTATTAATAAAATCATTACATATAATTTAAGTTTGATATAATTAACAGTTCAAAAATGAAATGCTAAAAATTCTGAAAGGCTCAAAATTTGACATTTCCATTTCGAAAGCAACAGTGAGTGGTTTTAAAATTTGTTTGTTCTAATCAAAGATTTGTTAGTGATCTTCATGGATAGAATAATGAAATTCTTGAACAATGGATTGGATTTTGAAAGAGAATTTCAATTTATTGAGAAGATTTACAAGATCATATGTAAGGAAATTGTGTGATTTAAATTAAAATAATTCATTTTTATCACATTATGCAGCTCTCGACATTTTCGGTGGAAGTAAAAATGTGTCAAAAAGATTTTTACTTCAATCTGCAATTTATTTCTTGTTTTGGGTAGTTGTTTACTCGAAGAATGTTTTTGTTGACTTCGTGTCAAATAGAGCGAAACAATTTGCCGGAATTATTGGCATCTTTGTGTTTTATCAGGTAAATTTTATATTTAGCAATTAAAACGTTTTCATTTAAGTAGCTCATCATCAAAAGATGATCGTGAAATCTTACGCAATATGTTCACAACTTGACATCGTTAGTAAGATAAAATCAGCAATAACAGAAGATGCAAATTGCACAACTGAGGAAGAAATGCAGATTGAGATTAAATATCGAAAGTATTCACGAATTCTGATTGTTGGAACAGCATTTCTTTCTTGCTCAGTTATGGGATTATCAGTTTTGTGGTCATTGATTTTTATTAAGCAAATGGTGATGCTTATTAACATTCAAATTCCTTGGACTTTGTAAGTATCAAGAATATATCTTAAAGGACTTACAGTCGAAGCTCTATAAGCGGAAACTGAAGGGGAATTCACTCATGGAGCTTTTCTTCTCATAGAGCTTTCGACTGTAATTTCAAATACATTATTTGACAGGCCAGACACTCATCCATCTCACGAAATAAATCTTATCATGATGTTCCTTTGGCATTTTATTTCAACTACTCTAATTGCTGGTAAGAATTAATACAAGAAAAAATACCTTTAAGAAAATATTAATAAATTAAACAGGTTTCGATTCGTTCTTCATCTTAGTGACATTTCATTGTGTCGCTAAAATGTCTGTTTGCTGTTCAAAAGCATCAAGAATCGATGGAAAAACTGATGAAAATTTTATTTCTGATTTGGTTGAAAAACATTTACGTGTTATGGAAATGATCAAAATATCTGCAAAAATATTCAACCAAACATGCTTTCATCAACTTTTCACAACGTTTGGCGTCATAGTTTGCTCAACTTTTAATTTTACAAACAGATTTGAATTATTTCCTTTTGTGATGCTTTCAGCAGCGATTTTCCAGCTTTTCTTTTATTGTTTTCAGGGAAATATTTTGTCATCAATGGTGAGTTACATTAATTTATAATTCAAATGTAATTACTTTT